CACTGGCACAGTTTTGCATACCATCATGCTAGACATGCTTTATAATGAACAGTCTTAATTGAAGCTCCGGTTACTGCAGCATGGATACGCCTGGCCGGCGTACAACAAGTTAAGCCAGTTATGTGCGGTTAGTTACATTGTTCGAGTTACCCTGCATTCACAACTAGCACGTACATAGCAGTTCTGCTTTAACCTTTGGGTTATGTCAGTCAGGATACGGCCCCGTGAATGCAGACGGCCGGAGTTAAAATGAGAGCTGTTCATCGTCCTACCTAGATCACGATCGATCTTATCAAAACATTGCACGCACTGATGCACTAAACGGAGTACTTCGGGAGTACTTATTTCCGGGTCCGAGGCCGAGATGATGTCATCAGTGTTTTGGTGTTTGTTGGCCGTCCGGTAAGTTCCCTTGATACCGAAAGCATTTTCGTGTATTGTTGCATGCTGTAAGTGATCACTCGTGTTGCACCCCCTTAGGCTGAGGGAGGTGACAACGATGAACATTCTCATCGAGCAAGAATGACAAGATGGCATGATCGATGCGGAGAGCGATACTGCAAACACACCTCATTGTAGATAGATGGACATCGCCTTTTCAACCCCGCAAACCAAAGTCATCTCATTGCACATAGCCCGAACACTTGGAAGCAATCAAAAGTGATGATGGGCATAGACTTCAGTTGCCGCTTGGTGCAGGAAGCAATGGCGAGCTGCTAGTACCTGAAACCGGAAGGGATGGGTTTAGTTGCTTGCAACGTATTGGCATTGGCATGGTGCGCGAAGTACCTAATCAAGCCCCTTGAATTTTCCTTGGAAGTGCAGTCGGTCCAACATGCATCCTACATGTTGGCAACCAATGAAAGTATCATTCGAGGAATAAGTGAAGTTGACTCAAGCTTCGAAACCTTCTTTGCTGTTATGACCCATGATTGTCATTCGCTGTACCAATGTACATTAACGAAATGATAGCTGAATGGGCTGAACCGCACAAAAGCTGAGGATGCTGAGGACATAAAAGCGATACAAATGTCCGGTTTACGCTCATATATCTTATTCGGGATGCTCGCTCACGTCAAGATCCGTCGAATAACCGCCTCCGACGTACGCCGCCACCGGCACCCCAAATGCAAGGCAGGTATCAAAGACCTACAAGGACGGCAAGTTGAGAATTACCCGCTCAGATGCTGCTGCCACAGCTGCTCGAGTTTGGTGTCTCGCTGCGTCTGTAATCCAGTCGTGTCAAACGTTTCAAGCTGCGACATGCGGCATCTGACATGAAGGCTTGTGACCGTCACCAGAGACGTCTCCGACCGGCTGCAAGGACTGAAACCCCGGCCTGCCCTCAAGTATCAAAAACGTTGGATCGTCTGAAACCAGTCTTACCATCCGCTCCCGCTGAAAGAGGCCTGCGTCTGTAAGCGATAGCCTGCAAAGACCACGAGCAAAGGGATGCAGGTCACGTGGACGGAGAGTTCTCAACAGGCAAAGATCGTTTCGCTAGCTGGATTGAGTGTCACGACTCACAAGACATGCGCCTCGAGTACCGATCCAGATGCATGTCGGAAAAGTGCTAGACGTGAACGAGCTCTCGCTTCCGGCCCCGTCTTCTTCCGACATGGATAATTGCGACTTGACGAAGCCGAATCGTGACGGCCAGTCCCTCCTATCATGGTTGAAACGCTTCACCTCCCAAGACTGTCGTCTTTGTGCGGGTCCACCCCGGCATCATACAGCACGAGATCCGGCCGGAAATCCGTGAGCACCCGCGGAAGATGGTCCGCCACTACCGCCAGGTATTCCTCGTCGGCCAGGCCGTCCGGAAGGGGAACGTCCAAATCACTGCGCTGAAGGAGGAACCGCGCCTCAGGAACAATCGGAGCGTCCAGATGGTAGCAAACAGCAAGAAGCCGTGATGAGCCAAAGCAACTGCTCGTAAACGAGAAATCTTTCGGAGTTTTGATAGCCAGTCCGCTCAACTTTCTGTCGGTTGACTTCAGGAAGGTGGAAATTACACCGTACTTCTAGTCCGCCGGAAGAGAACGTTTTAGCCGCGGAAATCGCCCTCCGTCTCCGCCTTTCTTGGTGGCTACGAGAAGGAGTGGGAGCGCACCTGCTTCTTTGCTGGGAAGTTAGAGGCGGCATGCACGCTCATCGTGAACACTCGAGGCTCGTGTGCCAGGATGGCGGCCGTCCCGTCTCCCTGGTGCACGTCAAGGTCCACGATGAGGACCCGGGACACAGCCCCCCGCTCCAGTAGGACTGCTGACGTCACCGCCAGGTCATTGATGATGCAGAAGCCGGAACCGAAGTCGCGGAACGCATGGTGGGTACCTGGCAATGACGGGCGACTCAGGGATTCTCAAACGAAGCTATCTAACGTCTGTCCGGATTGAGACAGCTTAGAATGAACACAAAGATGAAGCTTGTGAAGCTTACACCTTGGGAACTTTCGTACCTGACTTTACACCCTGCAGGATCTGCCTGGTGTTGCTGGGCGGTCACCAATTCCGAGTTGTTCGCATGTAACTCCGGGCTTGCTTCAAGTTTGTGCCCGCGACAGGTCAAGATTTGTAGCATTTACAATCAGACCGATCTTGCACCTTGCCAACGTGGGTATCCTAGGACGGATGAATCAGGATCAGTTTTACATGTAAATAAGAGTTGAGGGTGCAATTGCATACGCACCTCCTGCGGTGTTGCAAGCGAGGCCGTACTCGAGTGCCAGCTCCGCTGTGAGCAGCGTTCCTGCCACTTCGGCCAGGGTGCGCGTCACCAGCACCGGGCTCCAGGGGAGGCCAATGCGGCGGAGGCTGGCGGCCGACAAGGTCCCCTCACAGAATTCGCGCACATACTCGGGGTCGTGGACCTGCAAGGGAGTCAGGCTTTTTGCCAGACGTGTGTTCATGGCAATGGTGCAATATGGCGCTCTCAGGGAAGATCAAGGTCAAATTGAGGTTTCATGTGGGGCCCTCGTGCAATTCCTTCAGCTACTGTCAACAAGTTGAACTGCAATCAAGAAGCGCAGAAGATGCTAAACTTTACACAAAGTCGACCGACCTGCAATACATCAGCATCACGTTGGATTCACTCTGCTGTGTGGTCTATGGTTAAGTTGGCAATATAAGCTGGCCTCACCAGGCTCATTTGTTCCATGGAAGGCAGCTCAACAGGAATATGGACCTGGAGGGAGGCAGCCATGAGGACATGAATGAAGTAGAATCAACCTATGATTCTCTCAAGAAGTCAATCTGATGGAGACGGCTCAGTAGCCCAGGCGTAAAATTTGTAAGAGCTCTGTCAGACCAACATTTCCCCACCATCATCGTTCACAAAATCATGTCTTGCAACAACCACAAGGTCAATCCTTTCGAAGGCACTCCTTATTGTGGGTGGCACTTCGATGGTGCACAACTCACTTGCTCTGGTCGCACCACCTTTGTCTCCAGCAGTCTGTCATAAATCGTCTGGAAGATCTTCATTGGAAAGCGGTGCGACGACGGCAACAGGGGGGCACTGTAAGCTGGGTGCCACACCACAGGCAGGCCAGCTTCATTCCTGATGACAGATGCGGACACGTCGTTAGCAAGGAGGGGCGCATCAAACAGTGAGCAACAGAAGAGGGGGACAGCGGTCCTGCTTTCTTATCCTGCAACTTCGATCTTTGCAGTTGTGCTCTTACCCTGGCACCTAAAGATTATCTTTTTGTAGAATATTCAGAAGAGCGATAGAAACCGAGCATGGGTGACATCTAGTGCTGGATGGGTTGGATACCTGGTGAAAGTTGAGAACTGGCGAGTGAGCCCCGACAAGAGGAGAGCTGGGTCAAACTTGTGCTCTCGGCCCCCAGCCTGTTCCGCAAACTGGTGCCCTCTAATCGCACTGCCTTGCAAAGTACAGACCCGTCGCCTTGAGGCCTTGCATGAACTCACACACATGCTCCTTGCACTTGCAAGCCGCAGTTTCAGCCGGCACGCGAGCCCAAGAAAAGCCATCCTTGGGTATCCACTCAAAGTGCCCTCCTCCGGCACCTCCCCTAGTTAGCAAGTCTGCTTCGGTTGCCATGCTCAGGACATGATTGGCTTCAGCTAATCTCCCAAAACAGCCTCCACTAGTAATTAGAAAGTGAAGGAGCCTTCTTACTAACAGACTTCTCTCCTGAAGCCCCTTTCACGTCCAAAATACCATTCACTTGCCCCCTCGTCTGTGTCAAAGGGCAGGGATTGCCAGCACCTGGAAAGCCCACGGCACAAAGATCAAGCACGCCCGTTTGCAATGCTGCAATGCATGCTACGACGGCCACAACCAGCTATTTTATCCCTACTTTGGTCCAGGTCACAAACGTATTCGTATTCTTCGTTGCTGTAGCGTCTGCCTTTGATCTCATGCATTGAAGAGCCAATGCCAATGGGTGCCCAGCTCTTGCTGTGACCACCTCATGTGGTGACGCTGATATACATGCTGAGTGGGTGACGTCACCGAAATGTGTTGGGGGAACCCCCTCCAAAGTTCCTGGGGGCTGGTTTGGGTTAATTATAAGAGTTGGTGGTTACTTCTCTGGAGTCCATAAATGTATGGTTGTGTCAGACTATCGCTTGGCTTCATATAACCCGGGTTACCCGTTTCTTGGGCTGGGGGTTTGTCTGACCCAGCCTCGTCAGCAGGAAGGCGTCTCTTCTGAAACTGATCTGTTCCACTTCCAGTGAAAGTGCTACAGCCTGAGCTGGCTGGAATGGGCATGGGCCGCCACTGAACCATATGTTGGTAGACCTTTCAGCCACGCTTCTTCCGTTGTCCTCCTTCTCTGCCAGTGCCAGATTTCAGCTGCAATCTTGCGTGGGTGAAAGAATTGCAGGGTGCAAAGACGCCAAGACGCCAGCTCTGCCGCTCAGAACTTTTTTGACAGTGATGCTTGCCCACATCACAGATGTGCTAAAACATCAGCTCGATGTGAAGGCACAGCCTTCTTGAAAGCAAATAATCTAAGGGCAACCAATTGCCGCACTGCTGTCGAAAAGTGTGGATTGGGTCGTTCCTAAAAGTGCTTGCTCAGCTCTGGTATCCTGGTCATGACCACCATGGCAGCTCAGCAGGAGAGCACTCTGGTGCACAGAAAGCTGCCCCCCTCCAACCTTAGTATCCCCGATGTTCTGGCCGACAGTCCTCGAAGAATGCACACCCCTAGCCCACTGGGAAGGCGAAGGTCGGGGTGTCTGGCTGTGGGACCAGGGGAGGCCAGCTCAGAGGTGGAAAGACAGGTAAAATTTTGCTTCTCCAAGGCAGCTAATGAGATTGCATTTTTTCTGCAGTCTCTGGGTGCATGGCCCCTTGCTTGATGCGATCATCTGGGAGCTTCCACCTTTACATATTCTTAACTTTTTGTATGCACTTGCCCTCGACATCAAATTCCAGGTCCAAGGTTTCTGTTTGGACAGCGACTTATGGTTCCACATCTTTATTGGTGCTTATCTTCCTTTTTGTGTCAGAATCGTGGGTTCGAGCTATTCAGGACAAGAATGTGGGGCCCAATCAGTCTTCCAGCTTTGGTTCGATTGAAAGACGAAGAAAAGTACGGGGCATTCAGCAGATTCTGACACAAGCGTTAACCCTGCTGCAGGGGGTAACCAATGCAGCGGCAGCCCTGATTGGCCCCCGAAGAAGCCTGCTGGAGAACTTGCACCACTCCTATCGAGAAAGTGTGGAGGTGCTGGGATTCACCATTACACTGCTCAGGGCACTGGGGTGAGGCTTCAACAGCGAATGTGCTCTCTCAACCTCTGCGATCAAGTCCGATGGATCTATGAATATCCAGACAAGGATTGTCCCCGCAAGTCTGTCTCAACAGGTCTGCAGACATGGAACTCTGGAAAATCTGCTTTTGTTGCTGAATGAACACGGAGCTTTGGCAGCTCCATCTCAAATGTGGGCACTAAAGGAAAGCTGCAGGAAAGTCTTACATGCATCTTGAAATCCAGAGACACTGATGGGGGCCCCCTGTCTTGCAGGTTTGGTTACAAGTGGATCATCAAAGCCTGGAGTCTTGTCGTCTTCGCCATCCTCCTCATGCCAGGCTTTTTGCAAGGTGAGGTGGAGAACCTGTTTGCTGACAAGACGTGCGCCAATTGTGTCAATCCGCGCAGAGGACATGTCATACATTTTCAGCTTTCTGGAAGCTGATTGCATTGTTTGCTAGAATCGCTGATGTGTTCTTAGCCTTGAGCAGAAATTTCAACTAACTAGTACGATCTAATGGCACCTGCAGTTGTGTGGTTCTACTACACGTCGCCCCAGGTCTATCGGAGTCTCGTGTATGGAACAAAGGCTAGGAATAGGTGAGAATCTAGTAAGTCAACGTGAATTGAGATTATACACTCATCAAGCAAAGCTGACAACCAAGGCCAATCTCGCTGGTAAACCTTAACAGTCGCTTTCTAAGCACATGCCTCATCCCTTTGCCACGCACTGGTGAAAGTTTGAACTTCTATGATCCATTTAGTATGTAAAACCTCTTTTTTTCCGTATGTTCCAATTTAACCGACTGCTGAACATTGGCGCAGGCTGGACCTGTACATGCCTCCCGGTCACCTTCAGCGCCCCCGCCCCGTGGTCGTCTTTGTAACAGGTGAAAATCTGGACCTAAACTGCCGACTCCCTTCCGAGGTGCGTTTGTGCAACCAAGCTCTTTCACCACAGTTGAACGGTGCGACATTGAAGATTTGTCCTCGTTTCATCAAAGCCAAACAGCGTCACCCATGCTAATAGCACGATAAGGACGTGTTCTGGACGTCCAGGTGGTGCATGGGTGATTGGGTACAAGGCCTGGGGGGCACTACTGGGGCGGCGCCTGGCCAACAGGGGGGTGCTCGTGGCCTGCCTGGACTACCGGTAAGAAGCCACTTGTGCTGGCTACTCTTTGTTTCCCGCACAGCCACTATCACGGTGTGGCAGCGGGTTTCTGAGTACCCAGAAGTTTAGGACGGGATGTGTTAACGAAGTTTGCTTTCCTGCCAGTTTCTTCACTACGCATGGTGCGTTTAGAGCTTTTAACGCACCAATTCACGCACCAAATGTTAAGCGGACAGCGCAACAAGTTGAACCGGTATATGTCCCTTTCAAATTCACCTTGTGAGTGGCGGCTCCGACCAGCAGATACAGCATTTTCGGGGCATGCTTCCCGGTTGCGTTCGATAGATAGGGTGTACTTAGTCTAAACTTAGGCTAGGTTGAGGGTAAGTTTAGTTACGTGACCACATTAACTGACGTCATCCTAGTGAGTAGCTTTAACACGTGGAAGAATCCAGCGCGTCGGATGGAACCTGCTCTGAGGTTCTATGGTCCGATGATCACTCCTGTTCAACCTCGCCGGCTGCAACCGCGGAAAGATGTTCGATGACGTCAAAGTAATAGCTAAAGTTCTAAAATTTAGTATCTAAATAGACCCTATCTATCGATCGCAACCGGGAAGCCTGCCCTGAAAATGCTGTAAGTACAATCGACCATGACTTTTGCCATGCACTGAAGCTGAGAAGTTCCAGAGCTCAGGCATCCTGGATACGTCGTTCTGCATCGTTTACTTACCTCCACTCACCTGCCCTGGTTTCCACTGTACCCTTTTCGCCTCCATTACCCTTGATGCACATGGGAAGAAGTCGTCTCCTCTGCTACTGCCAGGAACTTTCCCCAGGGTAGCGTAAGCGACATGGTCGCCGACATCAGCACGGGCATCGAGTGGGTGCTGCTCAACATCGGCGAGTTTGGCGGCGACCCAGGCCGCGTGTACGTCGTAGGGCAGTCGGCGGGGGCGCACCTGACGGCGCTGGCGCTGCTGCGGCAAGCCATTAAGGAGGCGGAGCTCGAGGAGCGGAGCGCCAACGGGCCCAAGCACGTGCGCTTCCGAGATGCCGCGCCCGCCAAGTAAGCATAGTGTCTTCTTCCCGACTGTGGCCAAAAGCACAAATGACGGTATGCTCATAATGGTTTGTGCACAGCTCCATTTAGAAGTACCTTGTCGGAACGACACTGGTCTTGGACAGGAAGTAGCCAGTCTCATCGTCTTTTGCTCAAAGAGGGCATGGGCACGTCCGCGATCAGCGACCGATAACCAGGGTTACGGCTATTGCTGTCGCCGCAATGCGCACGTGCTATACTTTGGCAGCGACATTGAAGGTGGAGTTACCGCATCGAGGAAGCCGCGAGAGCCACGTGGATTCCTTCAACCACAACGCCCTCTAAAACGAAATGCGGGCGATGTCGGACTTCATCGACCTTGCAACCCAGTCGGAATTGGTACTGAATTCCTAACTGTGCGCGGAACTTTGGACCTTGTTTTCCTGCTAAAGTGGTACGAGCTTTATGACTAAAGTGGTACAAGCTTGTCCCGCTGGCGCTGCAGGCTTGAGGATCGCTTTGGGCCGCCAGATCCCTCGCAGGCCACGGCGCCTGAAAACCCGACACTTTCCACCAGTTCCCATACCTCCTCGGAGCCCCCAGCCAACTCGAACGGCAACGCCTCAAACGGGGAGCAAGCGAAAGCGTCGCCTCGGAACGGGGTTATGAAAACGGCTCCAAACGGGCCGCAGGAGCGGGGGGGGCGTGAACTAGACTGGTATGCGTCCCAGCTGCGGGCGTATATTGGCGTGTCGGGCGCTTATGACATCGAGGACATGTTGGAGCACTGGCACCACCGGGGGCTCTACAAGACCATCATGCTGACGTAAGAACACTCACTGGAAGCGCCCAAGAACGCTTTTGGTCTGACGCTGCGATACAGCTTTCATTGAGGGAGGGGCGGGAGTTCCCCCTTGTTGCGCCTCTATGAGGGACTCTGCAACTGATCCTCTACAGCGTAAAGCACTCCCCTCGCGAAGGAAAACATGCGGGCAACGACGCTTGCGTCAATCGCGACACTTTGGAAAGAACGCCTTGCTGCTTTGGGTCCGGATCCGGTCCAGGTATCCCAGCTTTTCTCGTTCAGCGAACCGGTTCGAACTTTGAGGACTGTGCTCTAGTGCTCTCCGCCGTGCATCGACCCCGTCTGCGTTGTTTCCTCAGGCTGATGGAGGGCCGCCACTGTTTACCGGGCTACTCCCCGACCGTCCTCGCCCGCAAAGCCTTCACCGACAAGCGACGAGACGCCGGCCCGCTGCTACCGCCCATCACTCTACTGCACGGGACTGCCGACCGGTCCATCCCGCACCATGCCAGGTGGGTCTCTTCTCGGCATCCCTCCCTGCATTTCGGCGTTTCTGAAATATCAGCGGTTTTTCCCGTTGCACCTTGAACGGGGCCTTTAATGAAGCAGAGGCCAAACCGTAGCGCTTTCCGGCATTCTGGACAGCCACTTGGGCATGAGCGGACTGCGGCCCAAAGCTTGCATAAAAGCCCCTGCGAGGATCAGAGCCTGCTCTCTCGTGCTTTCTGCGTGTCGCCAAATCCTGCTTGAGGACTTCAGCGACCGGTTTGGCTTCATGAACCGAGTCTTTGCTGTGTGCTGCAGCCTCATGTTTGCGGCCGCGTTGAGAGAGGCCGGGGCCGCCGCGACTGTCAAGCTGTACCAAGGGAAGACGCACACGGACCCCATCATTGAGGTCAGGCGCCCCGTTTGCCGCAAGCCAAGCTTAGGGTGTTTCTCAAGCCGCTGCAAGTAGATGTTGCAATCCTACCGTACTCTGACTTTTGTCTGCTTATTGCGCGTTTCGCTGATCGCACAACTGTAGCACCTCTGGAGCATTAACTTGAGTGCTGTGCTCGTTCGTGGGGTCAAGATTGCAAGTCGTTGATAGAAGGAGGGGTGAGTCTGCTTCGCCTTCGAGAAGTACAACGAAGCACCACCGTTCTCTGTTCTCCGTTCAGGACCCCATGCGTGGCGGCTCGGATCCAATGGTGGAGGACATTCTGGCCGTCATGAAAGCGGACAACCTCGACTTCCGAAAAGAACCTGTGCCAAGCCTCCCCAAGGAAAGAATGCTTCCCGAGCTCCTCATAGAACTCGCTACCGCAGCCAGCCCTTTCTGAAGCGCGCAGTGGGATTGCCTGTACAGTAGAAGCATGCTGAAACATATTTAGACCTGCTTATATCATAGATGAAAGTGTGTCGGTTTGGGTGTTCTTGCGAGTCCGTGTGTTTGAGATGGCGCCTTCGTGAGGTGCGACGGTTACAGGATCTGCTGGCGGCTGCAGCCTGAGCCAGATAGTCAAAGTTCGGATCGATTGATCGAGTCCCCATACGTGAGAAAGACGAACGGAGTCAAGGGCTGATACAGATGAAACGTGACGTTCAGTTGCATTCGGATCAGATGCTGTCAGACCCCAGAGTCACACATCACGGGCTATAAGTACGGTCAATCAGTCAATTTGGGCCTTAGATCTCGACCGGCCCAGCTAGACACCAGACGAAATGTATTTGCTTAACGTTGAAATGCAGTCAACACTAGCCACCGTTCGCTCAATATACCGGTGTGTGATGATTAGGCGTGTATATCATAGAGCGCGCCGGCAAATGCGCACACGTCCTAGCTATAAACCTTGGAATGAATCCCTCTATTTACACGTCGGACTCGGATCGAAGAATTGCCCCAAATTGCCGTTTGTGTCGGCACTGCAAGCACATACGGGGCGAGTGCTTCGTCACCTGTATAATGGTGCTTTTTTAAGTGAGCCCTGAGTCAATTGAGAGCTAGTGCGGTCGAGCCGCTAAAGCACGAGCGCCCGCCTGGCACAAACGTCAGGGCCGGCGCTTGCACGCGTATCCAATCACTCTGAGTGAATGAAACAACTCAACCAAAATCTCGAGGATGTAGACATGCAATGATTGAGTCTTTTCGACATTCTCGTGATTGACGCTTTCGATGTCTACTGACCACTCATAAAGCTGGCGCAGTACAGTTTGTCGCAATGTGGCACGTTTGCCGGTTGCTGGAGTGGCCTGTTCAGTCCTAAAGCGTCATCGTCACCGTCCGATCCCTAGCTACAAATTGTCGAAGCGTGGACTCACGAGTCCATTATGGACACCACTAGCAGCTTACTACAGCACTAAAAACATCTAATTAACTAGAGGCGGCCTGCATGGTGGTCTGGCTCTCGGTTGATCGAACCGCGTTTCGGTGCTCTTTCCCAGATTGTATGGGCGTGTTTTCATGGAACTTATAAATTAGCTCCTCATGAGGCGGATAGCCCGTTGTCATGCAGCTCGTTCAGATTTTTTCAACTTTCTTTTTCGCAAAATCGACTGTTTATATATTGACATTAAAACTTCGTCTAAGGCTCAGAACCTGCCGGCAGTGTCTATCCTAGCCCCAATCCTCGATCTAGCTCATCTGGTGTAGAGCGGCTCTTGCTTCCGTTCCGGACCAAAGTTTCCGCATGTCGGCTACAAAAGCGTCAACCCTGATTCCGGCTGACGTGCGGCATCGTAACTAGATGCGCGATGTCTGCTTGGGCAGCGAGGTGCCAGCGCTTGACAAGGCACTCCGAGGGGCGGGGAAAGACGACAATGAGTGAGTTCTCGTGCCGCCACGCGTCGACGCCCGCCGCGCGCAGTTGCTCCGTGGCATATGCCGCCACGTCGAGGGCCCTGCGCACCATGTCCCGGACCGTTCGAATGCCCCGACTGCGAAAAGCGTACCACAGCACTAGCGGGGTGAGACCGTTGCGCGAGCCCGAGAGCGTCGTGTCTAGCGCGCCCACATACTCAATGTTGCTGCCAATGCCCTCCACGTGGCAGCGCCGTGCGAGGACCACGCCGCAGGGGATCGGCGAACCGATAAGCTTGTGGCCGCTAACGGATATGCTATCGGCGCCGTCTGAAAAGCCAAAGGGCTGCGGATTGGGGGCGAAGGGCAGCACGAAGCCGCTCAGCGCCGCGTCGCAGTGAATGTACGAGCGGCATGTGGCCGCCTCGGAGACGGCGGCTTTGATGCGCGGCAGGCTGTCGATGGCGCCCGTCATGGTGGAGCCGATGTTGGCGAAGACAATGGCCGGCAAGTCGCGATTGGCCTGCGACAGGGACGGGGATGTCAAAACGGTTTTCCCAAAGTCTTACCGTTAACTCTGGTTTGTCAATGTAACACCACACTTGCGGCAGCGGGTTCGAACGCCGATGCGATGGTATGAGCAAAACACATCGGCGAAAGAAAGAAGCTCCCGCATGCCTTACTTCGAATGCAGATAGTAATCTTTTACCCTATCTCCATTTAAAGTTGACATCGGCACCAAATGAAAACGCTTCGTTCCGTCGGCGCTTTGCATCGATCCGCCAGCGCTGGCTAACGCAACAAGCGGACGGACGCGGGCTTCCGTGGTCCGCTTCGAAGCTGGTACAACAGAATTGGCCGGTCTTTAAGCAGCCCAGAAGGACGGAGGCATATAAATCAAGTATCAATTTTCACTTTCAATCAGATTTTCGAGACCGCTTATTTCAACGTACCTGTAAGGTTTCTCGCAGGTGGTTGTAGTCCATCTCGCCCCGCCCGTCGGTCCGGATCCGCACACTCCTCATCTGGAGTACCCGCAAGATTTTGAAGACACTGTAATGACACGCGTCGGAGAAGTAGACGATGCCACGTGGCAGCACCTCGCGCGCCAAGTACAGCCCATACATGTTGCCCTCGGTGCCCCCGTTAGTGACGTACCCCGACACGTCAGCGGGGGATCCCCCCGTCAGCCCGCAGAAGATCTCCAGAACCTCGCGCTCGAAGTCGTGAGTTTGCAGCGCACTTAGGTTGGTGGGCACGCGCTGATACGGATCGCCGACGTTATTTAGAGAGAAGCGCAGGAAAGGGGCGAGGACTTCGCTGTAGTCGAAGTCGAGGTTGAGCGGATAGCCGATGAACTCCTCGCGGCAGGCAGAGACGCGCTCGTATAAGGCGTCGAGGCGTTGCTGGCAGTACTCGGACGGCAGAATGGGGCCTTCGGAAACTGCGTCACCTCTACTGCACAAGTCAAGAGCTATGATGAGTAAGTATGCCAAGAACGCTATCTTCGTTTGGCAACCGGAAGAAGCAGCCACTTACGGCTAAAACAGGGATTTACCGGAGTGACCGTCGCGGGATAGACAGGGCCACATGACAAATTCGGATCAGAACTGGCCCGGTCCTTGCGAGCAGTGTGTTTGACGGCATTCCCACAAGTACAGCCTGACGTTTGTGTGTCAGACACTGAGGAGCTGATGGAAGCTGTGGAAGGAGAAAAGGGACTCCAGTTTCGCAGTGTTGACCCCAACACCAGTAGGTACTCTGTGCGCGCACAACTCAACCTGACTGTCTAGTCACCCGGTCGCTTTCGCTTGGCTGATAGTAGAATTCAAGGGCTGCATGACCAGTATCTCCGCCCTCGGCCAAAATCTCACTGGTTGGTCAAGACTTTCCATCACTGTGGGACTACGTGTGTGTCTCCCATGCATGCCCTGGCAGGCTTCAGCTGCTTGCAAAGTCGGTGTAGGGTTCGAAACAAAGAAACTGAAGTTCATGTTCCTCCACAGGTTCTCACAGCGGCTGACTGGCACCATCAAGCCAGTGCTTACATGTTCCGCACAGAAGCTCTTGACTCAAAAAGGCCAAAAGATTCGAGCTTAACGTGCTCATATCCGCTGCCCCTTTCAACAGTCTTACCCGGCTCTAGCAGCACGTCCTTGCTTTCGAGTTGTGCAGTCCTTTGGGAGGTCCGAGGCTTCCGCTTTTGGTCGAGTTGCATCGCTCACTTTCGCGCTTTCTTGCCTGCCAACCAACGAGCAAAGACTCTCAGAATAGGACGTCTGAAAAGAAGAGCGTTTGCACCTGAAAGTCATACGTCATTAAAGATGTTGATGCTTATGAAGAAGCGGCCTTCAACCTTAACGTAAGGAGGCTGTCAATGTCTGCTTAGGCTGCCGAGCTTTGGCTTCAAAAGATTGCTCAAATTGACCCTCAACAATCAGGTAGCCAAGAAGGGAACCAGGCGAGATAGAGTGCTACACGTCTGTCCCAGACAGAGATTAATGCTTGTCCTCCTAACAAATCTTTGGAATGACAAACCTCCTAGGATTGCTGGCAGTGTTTCAGAGTCCAACATGCTGCCAGCTGACCCTCAAGTTCCTTAGCAGTGTCAAGGCCAAAATTCACCGTGTGTTTGCCATTGGAGGCCTCCTATTCTATTGGACAGACCCGTGCATCTTAGGCAGTCCATCGTGTCATATTTCTGCAGATGGCTCACTTACACCTAGATCTTTCTTTTCAAGCCGGAAATCACTCAGGGAGCAGCAAAGCTCTGTCAATAAGTCAACAACTGCAAAGGACCGGACTCCCTTCACTCTCTTACACTATAAACCTTGACCCGTTTTAAGAGCGGTCAAGTAGGACGGGACCGTACTGAAAAACCAGACAACTAAGTACGAAACGTACTGAATTCTCAAACGGCCTCTCTTTCATGTCGCCGCCGCTCTGAAACGGGTAAAGCTCTATTTTAAGGACGGAGGCGACCTTACGTCATCTTCTCATCATAAGGTAGATCAAGTACATTGCCGCACTAAACTTCAAGTAGACCGCCTTTCTCGTGTAAACAAGGCCAATATATACCGGACCGGTTATGAGCGCGGCTTGAGCGGCCAGTGCCGTGAGCCTGGCCGCGCTGCTGCGCGTGGCCGGGCATGCGCCGGCCGCGCCGGCATTCGTGCGGGCCAGGCTGGCGCCGCGCCGGACTAGGGTTTTGCATGCAGGTTTGGCATTGAATCAAAGCCCACTGCGCATACTTTACGGTTTACCAGACTAGGGTTACACCCTGTTTCTAGAGCGTTGCGACAGCGTCACAGTCTACAAGTCATATCACAGCACGAAACGCTTCGCAGGTTCCATAAAGGAGTCAGGACCCTCAACGAGGTGGTATTTTAGGGTTTCGTTTTTGAAGGGGCTTGCACACTCTGGGCGCAATATTGAATGAGCTTCAAGTTCAAGCTGCAAGCAACTTCAGAGCAAAGTTTGCCAGGATTGAAAGCTCCTCAGCTCAGCCATTCCTTCCTGAATTCAGAGCTCAGCAAACAAGGAGGGAAGGCGCAATGCTCACGAGAGCGCAATGCTAAACGCCTTCGCAACTGACCATATACCTAGTCTTCTAGTCTTGAAGTGAGCTGATGTCAGGCGGTCCCACGCAGGGTTCCTGCTCACTCAGAGAGTGTTACTGGTGTGTAGCAGCAGAAGCCAAAAGACTCAAAGGTGCCAGGTGCAGACAGGAGGATCATTGGTAAAGAAAGATGCAAGCTCGCAAAGCATGTTTTCCATGGAAAAAGGCGTACATCTGGCAGATCCCACGAAGACGTCGATCTACTTTGCCTTCATGCAGTTGCATGCAGGTCTTCAAGCAAAGTGAATAGGCCTACATGCAAGGTAGACGAACAGGACGACAAGCTGCGCAGATTGATATCGGTTCTGGGCCAGGTGAGGGCACAACAGAACAAGAAACTGTGTGGGCATTTAGAAGAGTTTGCGTAGGATTTAAATCTCTTTCTTTGACTTTTTGTGGCTAGCCAGCTCGTCATCTTCAAGCAAATGCAAGTGAACATTCAATTTGTGTGAGTCAGGACTGAGACCAACTTAGACTCTTGACAAACAGTCACCGGCATATGTGATCAATGTGCCACTATCGTCTCCTTTGAGTTGGATTCTTCTGTGTAACCATTGCAAGGCCGGCCTATGCGACCTGCCACTTTCAAGCATTTCCACTGTTTTTAGCATGAGTGCAGCTTTCTCTTTTCCATCTTACATTTTCAGATACTCACGATGGGATCTGTTTGAGCAGAATGCCTAGCAGAAGCTTGCAGCCTAAAAAGAACAGGGGCTCTGTCAGGAGCAGATTGTGTTAAATGCATCAGATCGCTTGTCGAGGATTCACACGTGGGAAAGAATCGTGCTTCCTGATCAGGCTGTTGCTCTGCAATTCTACTCCAGAAGCCCAGCCCTTAAGCTGAAGTCTATGTAATTTCCATTCTCCTTCAACAGTGCTGCTCTCCCGGTTGAGCTTTTGAAGGGCGCAAGGCCTCTGTCTTCTGTTACGGCGCGACGGGAGCGGGGAAGGTGCATACAATGCTGGAGAGCACGTGCGATCTGGGCGTCATGGTCCTGGCCATCCAGGTAAGTCGCTGACATCATTGACATCCATGCGTCTTCATCAAAATTATACCACACACACCGTGGCGACTGGCATCAGCATGCCCGCCGCTCACAGCAATTATCTCCCTTCCACTCGGAGCCTGACCCGTGTCTTTCCCCAGAATTCCATCGAAAGGACCACGCGCAGCGCGCAGTCTGACGGGCATGCGCGTTGCTGCAGAAACTGTCGCTGATTGACCTGGGGAGAATCAGCGCGCTCGCAATGTACGTGCGCACGGTGCGCAATCTCGAGCCCACGGATATTTACAAGAGCCTGTTTGCGCTGCGCAGCTGCATCCGCGCGCTGGTCGATGGGAAGGGCCACGTGTCCTATAGCAATAGCAAGCTCATCGTCAGCTGCTCAAGGTGGGGCCGGAATGTTATGGCCAAAGAGGTTTCTGTGGGCATGAGTTACTTACCTTGCTTTTTGGTGCTTCTGCGAATGTGTCATAGGTTATTCGCACCTAACATTTTTCGCCCGATCTGTTCTTTTCTCGCGGGTTTCTTGCAAGGCCTCGCCGATCCTGTCCATCTCAGACGGCAGAGCAATTTATACCTCTCGGTTGTTTGATCTGGGGCCCCATAGTCAAAGTGCACTGTTAAGACCCAGGACTTGTCAGTCAATTGGTAATCTGATATTCTAGAGATTTGCCAACAGCTCCAATCTTCCTTCTGATCGTTTTTGACGTTGCTGCCAATACGCACCGCTGACGGTCAAATCACGCCAGTGCCTCCAAATGAAGTTCGGATTGGAAACCATTGATTGGATCCTGGTACATATAATAGAGAAATTCTGCTACAGACTTTGTTTCCTATATCAGTTGACCCACTGATACCAGTTACAAGATCGTTCCAGGAATCTTTGGGAGGCGCGTGTCAGACCGCTCTTATTGTCGACATGAGCCCCGCCGAGCAGCAGCTGAGCAATGCAGAACACGCTCCCCTGGGTGGGCCGCGCCACGAGGATACAACAAGGTGACGTGTCCAACAACCAAGTGCTCTTCCGGTCCGCTCGGTCATGTGTATGAACACTCGGGGTCAAATTCTTGGTTGTGGACCAGAATGGCGTCGAAAAATTGTTGTGTTCTGTCAACGAAACTCTTGAATAGAAATTGAGCATCAGAATGACGGAGGGAAAGTTGAATATGAGGATCTAAGGCCGCGGACCTAACTTCATGTCTAACTTTTGCGCCTTGTCAGTGTCTTGCCTGTAAAAGTTGCGGAGGCAAAGATTGTGGATACGGCTTTCCGGCTGCGGGCAGGCTTGAGCTGATTGAGCGTGTCCTGTTTGGTTTAAAGTTTCTGCAAGTCCTCAGTATCAAAGTTGGATATTTGATGTAACGGAGGGTCAAGCTGGAGTAGGACAAGCCCTGCTCCTGTCTGACCTGCTGCTTCTGTCGCCTCGTCTTGAAGCACTGTTCATGCTCGGGCAGATTGCTGGGTCACGTGTGCTCACGCAGTTCTACGAGGGCGAGCAGCCAATGATGTGGAGGAGAACTTCTTCCTCGGCTCCGTCAAGGCTGCGCGCGCACAAGCTCTGTAAGTATTTGTCGTCGGACGTTTGATTGATTCGATCGAAAAAGAATGCGCCTTTTCATTCTGCACGCGGTAATTAACATGAGGTGTATGCCGATTCTGCGGCGTGACACTGTCGTCAGCATAGATGCGGTATCCTGAAGCGCGCTACAGAAAAGAAACTCTGGCAGAAAGAAGTCCAGGCGGCATTGGCAAGGTCGACGCACAGGGATGTGAAGATTCGCAATCCATTTCATCTTCTAATCTTCCTTGCTTTTTACCGACCTTCCATCCTTTTGTATGCTGGAAAGCGAGGTCGTGAATCTCAAACTTTGCAGGAAGTAAGTAACGGCTCACTGCTCCGATCGTGTCGCTGATCAGAACGCGTTTGCAAGCTTGACTCAAATTGTGTCTGTCTTCGCATGTGAATTGTCCAACAATGGATTGTGAGAGATTCATACGGATTAGATGCAGCAGCGTCAATTTCGCATTATGTAGGTCAGGTAATCTGTCTACTCAACAGAGTTTTCGTCCTGATGGCAGGTCGCCTCTGCCGCCAAGCAAGCGAAGGCGAGGAGGAGCTCTAGGATGACGCAGCTGCTTATTGGAAACGTGGTAAGCATTCAGTGCCATTTCAAATCAATCACCACCACCATCTGAGGGTTAGCGTCCCCATCGGAAGACTTGCATTCTTTGCGGCTGTCGTGCTGAGTAGAACTTCTCTTTTGTCGTCACGTTTTGTCGCACCCAGCCAAGAAAAGGTGGCAGCCGATCGTAAACAAGCTTAGACCGCGCTTGCTAATGTCACGTTTGCTTGCGTGGTTCCGATGGCGAGCAGCCGCTAGAAGTAGGTTATCGGGGACGCGTCCAGGTTGCGCCGCTCCCGCACGCCGGCGCAGATGGGGAGAGCTCGACCGAGATTGTTCTTATGTGGTCGCGCTTGCTGACGTCATTCTTGCTCGCAGTTCTGCGACCGCGAGCGGTCGGTGGCCGTGGGGCCAGACCGTTTTTTTGGGCCTCGTCCCCCCCACGCGCGCAAACACGGGATGGGGGTTTGACCAAAGCTAATACTGTCATTTCGCCCATGCTGACGTCATCTCCTCTTGCGCAAATCTGCAACCGTGAGCGGCAGGTGCCATGGAGCAGGACGTCTATTTGGGCCGCGCCACTTTCCGCGTGCGCGCAAGACCGGGCTGGCTCGAGCACAATTGCTTCTGACATTTTCGCCACCTGCTGACGTCATGCTCGTTCTTGCAGTCCTGCGAGCACGAGCGGCCAGCGGCCGGCGGACGTGAAGAGTGACACGGAACGGGTACGTGATTGGGCTGCGCCCCTTTCGTGCGCACGATCACGGAAAAATCAATCAAGCAGCTGATGTCGTCATGTTTGTTCGCGCAGTTTCAAAAGGGCCGAGGAGCCGGTGGTAGAGCGGAACGTCTTCCAGAGATGCGTCCACGCGCGCCCTCTCGCGCGCGCACGGAACTTTGTATGTATCAGTTGTCAGACGTGCATTGATCGCACTGGAGGACAAATGCAATTTTTCGTTCTGCAGTTCGGTACACCAATGATTGCGGATCGCGAGGCGTGGGACCTGAGCACCAAAATGGATCAGAAGTTAGAGCACTTATTCCCCGGAAGAGCAAGGCACGTGGCAAGAGTTGAGGCCAGGTCAACGCACAAGGACGTGAAGAAGGTATCAATACAGTAGCACTTTACGCAGTTTATGGTCCGCGCCAGCTGTGGGCCCCTCTTCGTGTCAATGCCTCGCTGTGATCAGGGTCGTAAGAAGCATGAGAGCTCAACGTAGACGCACCCAACAGTAGATAGAAAATTCCGCTAGGTAGGACAACGTAGCGCACTTAATCACACTTGACCCCGTCTGATTCCGGTTTAAGATTCCTAGCGCTCTTAATTTGCGGGTTTTCAGTATGTTTCGTACTGGAAAACCGGACATTTCAGCCAAAATCGTCCTTATTTCAATCATGTGCATTTAGAGCAACGGCGCCCTTAAAGCGATGCTGTTTTAAGAGCGCCGCCGGTGTGAAAGCGGACACTATTCAAGACCGGCGCCGCTCTTCAAACGGCCGCTCTTAATTCGTGTCCAGATTTATAGTGTTACACAAGCTCTTGTACCGCTTTTGAATCCTGGTGAACATCACCACCAGACCACCGCTGCTCTCAGCATCATGGCCACATGAATGGACAGGCCTGCCACATCAGAATCTGATACAAGAACGCAAAGACCAAAGGCAAGGCAAATGCAAAGCACTCACGTCAAGTCATCTTGAGAGGGCTGCTTCCACAAACATGATGGGGCTAACCACCGCTTCAGCATCATGAGGAGCGTGTCGTATAGCCCCCCCGCCAACATAATTGCGGCTGCTGATTCTGTCCTGGTTATTGCTTGACAGATTTGCCAAGGGCCCAAAAGCTTGCCTTGATCTCTTTTTGTTCTGCTGCAGCTCCAGCGTTGGAATACGAACTTCACAAGTACATTAATACTTGGCTGCAGATGCGTCCTACAATCTCTCTACGTCTGTTTTCCTTCGGAAGCGACTGAGGCAGAGCTGAGGCACCCCCGCGGCGCTTACTTTCAAGCGGGTCACGGCCAGCCTGACTAGAATCAAGCAAGACTTGCCAACTGGAAGTGAATCCAAGCCAGTTCGAAAGATGGGCATGCGAGCAGCAGAATGCCAGATATCTACGGCTTCCTAAGGGACTGCAAGGACCTTCCAATATCTGCAGGAATCGCATTGTAATTTGTTAAGGGTAGTGATTGAGAGCTAACTATTCTGTTACGGGTACTGAAGTTGCCGTCCCCTAGTAGCCCTACTTTTGCTAGTAAAAGCCAATGCGCCCTAGAAACTGAGGGCCTACGGGCCCCACTCATTCCTATGTGCTCACCTTTCACGAGCTGTGGCATGCATAGCTACCTAGGTAATACCGTAGCTATCCTGGTCCCTAGATTCCTGGGATTGCACCTAAAGCAAGCACGGTGATGGAGTGCTGGTACAGAGTTCAGTGTTACCGGGCTAAACTTGAAAGTGCAATCTGCATCATGTACCTACGACTAGTAAGTGCTGCATAATGCACCGAGCGCTCGCGCGACCCTCGGCGCTCAAGGAGTGTCAGATTTGTAGAGCTTGTTAACTATGGGTTTACTTTTTTGGTTGAGCTTGGAGCACGGATGTTGTTTTGAGGTCTAACCCGGCAACATGACACCGGAAGAATCGGGGATTGGCACCGTCCGCGCGCCCCCGCCCCCCACCTGCGCAGTGCGCAGCGGCCGCCCAAGAATTAGGTAGTTACTAGCCTGTGGGAATCAGATGGGACAAGCTAATCATTGGCCTTTCAAGTTGAATCCTGTAAGGCTTGTGACGTAAACTGGAGTTTGGAGTCTGGAGTCTGGACTCGGCAGCGTGCACGTGAGTGCACTCTGCGGTGTGCGGTCCGTTATTAGGTACCTAGTAGTGCAAGCTGCTGACGTCACTGTTCTAAGCTTGGAGTATTAGAATTTAGGTAGTACCTTACATACGCGTGTCTGACGGAACGCACTTTGGGGCGCATAGCGCCCCAAGGAGATTCCCTGCGCCCCGGGGCAAAATCAGGGGCGCACGCTGGGGCGCACATCGCAAAATGGGCCCCGGGCTGCGAGCTTCATAACCACTTTGATCTGTGTGAGAATTAACAGGTTCATTTGGCCAAACTGTGCCCCATTTGCACAAAAAGTTCTGTGACTTTTATCTTCGATCATCTAATATATTCTTAAGTTTTGGAAACCAAGAGCTGCCCTATTGGCAGCGCAGGAAGCATGAAGAGTGGTGTTCCACAAGGCCTCTACAAAACTGGCGCATAGAACGGTCATCAAGTGGCTGGAAATTGACTTTATTCCAACAGGTCCTAGCTACCGACCGCATGATCCACTGCATAAGCAGCTAAATAGCTAAGGTCCGGGAAGCATAAGCTGTGAAAACAGACTTTTGACAAACAGCCGGCTTGACCTGGGAGCCCCAGGGTCCGAGGCCGGTGCACCCCCGGGCGTAGCCCTAAAATCCCATGCATTGGAAACGCGCGGTCTGCGCAATTCGCGCTCAGTCTGGATATCGTAAACAAGTGTTCATGCCGGGTCTATACCGGAGGCGTCCATGGGCTGTTTCAGTACGTGACTCTGCGCTTGATCAGGAGGACAGCCATGCAATGCAGTGAGAGGTGTGCCATTCAAGTTTAGACTTTGGACGGCTTCAAAGCAGATCGGACCCTTCCGACCTCACTATAGGTTTCGTCGTCTGGAAATGATTTGTATTGAAAGTTCATGCACGCATTCGTAGTTATTGCATGAATTTCGTGCGAAACCAAATGTCCTTGCATGGTCACCATCTCGCGCTGCCACCTTGAGTGTACACGTTGTTATCGGTCTACAGGCCTTCGGATGGCATCATGTCGTGCACGGCCTGTCACGCACTGACGCCGGTAGCTACACCGTTGCCACAGCTTAGACATGCATTCGAAGCAAGTGCCGGGACGATAGTTCACGTCAGAACTTCCTGACCCCGCAGCCCGTGGCGGCCCAGGTCGAACAATATTGCAATGCAGTACAAAAAATAGGCGTGCCCATTTGTGCTTCAAAAACGTTATTGCGAGCTTTCAGCCCACAAAAGCTCATGGCGTTACAAACAGCATCCTCCGTCCCCTCGAAACATTGCGAGTTACCTCACTTTTTGTTCTTTGAGAACAGCTTATCTACGAGCGTCCGTTTATACTCCTCGAAGGTGCCGTGGAACGGGGTTGCCGTCCCATCGTGCACAACCCACAGCTCGTCCACGCTGCCTGAGATCAGGTGCTGGTCGTGACTGACCATGAGGACGCCCCCTTGGAACAGCGCAAGCCCCGCAATCAGAGCTTCCACCGCATCGAGATCCTACACGGACAGAAGGTGCATGAGAACAAGAAGCTCGGCAGATGATTTGCCCACAAGCTACCACGCGCTTACAGCGGCGAACGCACTGGCGTTTCAAACGTGACTGTATTCAACGATCGTAAAGAAGGCAACTTAGATTACTTGGCTATATGTCTCAATTCGTAGAAACCTAAACCAGTTCAGCAGAGGTCAGCCAGCCTTCAAGCTTTTCTCAGCAGGATTGAGCGGCGACAGAAGAGAAGAGGTGGGGGGCCATGGAAGGCCGACACTCACGAGATGGTTGGACGGTTCGTCGAGGAGCAAGATATGCGGCCTGGAGAAGGTGATCTTCGCAAAGGCTACCCGACTCTTCTGGCCCCCTGCACAGTGCAACGGAAAACAAGAATATGCTCATCGCTCCATCGTAGACAGTGCCGTCGCAATACAGCCTATTAGTCAGACGGCCTCCCCTAATCAACTCATATCAGAATCTTACGATCTCGACGCCGATACGTTCAAATGCTCAATACTGAGGTGCTCGCCATCTTCCTCCTCGTACCTGCATCCGCCGCAAGCGGAGCACGCGAGCCCTGTGCCACGTGTTTTCACCTGAGAGCGTGTACATGGTTTGCAGCGCGAGCGGCCCCGTGATGCCGAAACTTCCGAGGTGCGCCCGCAGGCGCTGGTCCGGCACCCCCGGGAACTGCTTCATCAAATACCCGAGCGGAGTCGACGCCAAATCCAGGCCGTCCACGTGGTGCTGGCTGAACGACGCCATGCGCACCTGCCAAAAGCCAAGCCGGGCAAAGCTGAGATAAGCAATTGCACTTGGCGAGGAACCAATCCTTCAATCTATGAGATTCTACGTGAGGCCCGTTCGTAAGCAGGTTGGCGACAACCAATGTTTACAAAGAAACACAATGCCCTGAGAACATTAATAAAATGGACCACGGAACCGTGAATTGCTGACGCAACTGCTGCAGCATCGATTCCACTCTGCTGAACACAAAACGAAAGCAGACAGGGCTGACATTCGACCCGCCAGCTCTCAGTGCGCCCAACAGCCACAGAGGCCTTCCCTGTTAAACATGTGCTCGGCCGCAAAGGTGCCCCTGCGTACCTTGGCCGATCTTCGCACCGTCCCTTCCGTCGGCTCGAGCTCCCCTGAAATGAGCTTGAGCAGCGTCGACTTGCCGATGCCGTTGGGGCCCACCATGGCCAGCCGGCTGTCCAGGTCGATGCCGAAGTTGAGGTTCCTGAACAAAGTCGGCCCGCCTGCGGAAAACGCCCCAAGTATTTGTAACGATGGAGTTCAATTCCAAGCCAAGGGAAGACCTTTGTCACCTACGTTTGGCGCATGTAAAGGCCACGCGCCTCCGGTGCCCACCCCCCTAAAAACACCCTCTTCAAGTACGCAAGCACTTGACCCCATCCAAGGTGAATATCTTTCAACACCCAAGGGGCGGAGTGGAACAGTTTACATGTGTAAGATGGAGTATCTACGCGTCCTTGCCTAACGTAACCAGCTTAAGAGACGCCTCTTCCAGCGCTGGTCCTTCCGCCGACAAAGCCAAATCCTTTCCAACTCGTCTCACCCGGGTACTTGAAGGCCGCGTCCACGAAGCTGATGATGGGCGGCTGCGGCCGGTCCTCGGGCGTGGGGAATTGGAAGACGTAATCCGGGTCCGTGACGACGTCATCCACGGTCCCGATGCGCTCCAGCGCCTTGATGCGCGACTGCACCAGCGACGCCCGCTTCGCGTTGTACCGGAACTTGTCCACAAACGACTGGATGTGCGCCCGCGTGCGCTCGTTCGCCTCCTTTGCCTGCACTTAGAGAACGGGCTGACGTCAGCGTGGCAACGAGGGCCGGGACAAGGAGCGGCAGTGGACTCTCCTGCGAGCACTGCTGCTCAAGCCTCTGCTTCTCACCTGGTTGAGTTCACAGACCTTTTTCTGGATCCTCCGCTTTATGCAGTGTTTCGTTGCCAAAAACGGCTGAGGTAAAAAGAACACAGCAGAAAAGAAGAGGTCATGAGGTTCGCTAGGGCGGTTCACTTGTTAGGACACTGCCAGTATTGGGAAGGCTAAAAGGCCAGCTGATTGGTCGTTCTGTCGAAGCGTGGGCCCAGCTCGCCTCTCGGTTCACAAGTCGGGACCAATTTGATTTGAGAAAGACTTGTCGTAAGTGTTCAAAAGCATTCAGGACGACATGCCATCGGTGCCCTTCGGAATGAAACGTTGACCCGCCCCGCTCACCTTGACTTGGTTCCGTAGCCGCTCGTCCCTTGTCTTCTCGAACGTGTCGTAGTCCCCCTTATACGTCACCAGCTTCTGGTGTTGCAGGTACAGGATGTCCGTCACCACCTGCCAACCCCGGAGACGTCAGGCACCCGCAAGCCACTTTGAAAGACGAGAACAACAAACATCCGCCGGCTGGGCGCTTGCTCGAAGCATATGTGCAGCAGAACGACGCTGTCTCTGCTAGAAAGTCCGTTCCGCATGCTGGCGCGTGCTGGGGCATCAGCCTATCTGAATCTCAAGCAGCGGAACCTTGACAGCTTGCGCCGCTCTGACACACAGGGGTTGACGAGAACTTCATCAGGCCTTTCAGGTATGACGCGCGGCGAGTGGCACGAGTACGATGTACGGGACTGTTGCCAAGCGGGAAACATGACAAACCCCTCGAATGTGACCAATTCGACCTTTTTAAGGCCTGTTCGGCTCCCCGCGCCTCACCGTGTTGAGGAACTCCCGAGCGTGCGAGACGACCACCAGAGTTTTGGGCCATTTGGTGAGGTAATCCTCCAGCCACAAAACCGCATGCAGGTCCAGATGGTTCTGCGCAGGCGAGCAATGCTTGAGAAAAAGCAACGGTGCGCAGCTGACATAGGCTGCACGGCTAAGTGGAAAAAGAGGGTATGATCAATGTGGTTTCAAAAGATGCAAAGCTAGATTGCCTACAGATTACCTGGCTGGTTCGAAGGAGTTGCAAATCGATCATTTCAACCTGTTTTGGAAGGGACCACACAGAGAGAAAGCCTTGTCCATTCGTAGCTATGCTAACAAACATGACAGGCTAATACGCAAACCGCTACATGCGATGTGCGCTTTGTTTGACTACGATCCAGGCTTCTGACTTTCGCAGAGTCCCTCCTCGGCAGCACTGCTGCCTTACGATCTTGCAATCCAGCGACTCCGCAAAGCTGACAGAAAGCTAGCTCCATCTGGTTCCCCTCACCGTGGGCTCATCCAGCAACAGCAGCTGCGGCTCAATGAAGAGCGCCCGCGCAAGGGCGACCCGCATCCTCCACCCCCCCGAGAACTCTTTCGTCGTCTTCTGCTGCATATCGGCGGTGAACCCCAGGCCCTGCGATCCACGCCAGCGGATCACAACTCTGGTTCCGAGTGTCGTTTTCGACGCCCTCCCAATATTCTCTTTGCATTCGGTATCCAGCAAAGGGCCCGGTATCCAAGCAAGGACGAGTGCCAAGTAGGCTCCTTTCTTTTCTCCACGTATAGCGCGCACTTACACAAGAAAAGAAAAGCTCGATGGACCCGGTAAGGAGGACCTTAAATCGATGCAGAACGGGTGCGTTTTCGTGAAGCTCCGCAACGGGTAGGATCGCAACTAGAAACAAGAAACGTCCACCGTCAGATGTTCGTTGGGGCCTCACCGCTAGAATCGACGCTGCTCGTGCCTCCGCAGCGTAAGCATCAATTGCTTCTAGCCGCTTGTAGATCTCCGCTAGCCGCGTCGCTGTCTCGGTATCCTTAGCACTCTGCGTCTTCTCGATCCCCTTGCCCGGGACTGCTGGCGCTGCGCTTCCCCGTCCGCCAGCCTTCCTGTACCGTCAGGGTAAGCGGAGTGTATATCAGTGACATGCAATATACGAAGCCTGCAGACTGTTTGTCGAGTGAGGTTACTGTGGTCACTGCAGCTGGAGAGCAAGGTTACAAACACAATGGAAGCGGCTGTTATTTGTGCAGAAGCTTCTTGCATCCATCTGAACCAGGTTCTCGTCGGTTCAACAAATGAAATTGCACCAAATTCCTCTGGTCACAAAGTTTTGGACGTTCTTTTCACGTTGAGTGTCTCCTCTGATATGAGTCTGTAGAACTTCGGTGGTAGAACAATGAGAGAAGACCCGCGCTCTGCCAAGCCTATCTTCTTTCCTGCCTAGGTACCAGAGACGACCTCAGAGGCCTTGACCCCGAATCGGTTGAACTCAAGCCTGCGTCGGGGATGTCGACGTCAAATCGAAGCTTCTTTCCCTTTGTTGAATCTTGACTTTGCCTAAGAACGTGTCCCCCATTGACGAGTTAGGTCACCTTGGTTGGCCGCCAGCCGCTTTGGATGTGGCTGCCAGAAGATCGTCCTTTTTCTGTGCTGCCAGCAGCTCTGCCTCTTCCTTCAACAGCTGCGACCTCTCGACATCGCACGCCAGAACGCATTCTAGGACAGTGTCGGTCCCTCCCGCAACCTGTAAAAGACGCCAAAGCGAGTTGCAAAGGAGCATACCAGAATGAGAAGTTCTATGGTGTTTCGGCGGCAACATCTGCTTGGTCTACCAAGCACAATTGATGGCTATCAGCAGTTCATCGGGCAACCAATTCTTCGCAGTGCCCAACGATCAGCTGATAAAACAGGAAGGATTCCCGCGAGATTGTGGCCGGCCACTGTTTGTGTGGACAACAATATAGTAACTACAGGGAGAACTGACCTCCTGCTCGACATGAAGAATCTGGCAGTTCTTGGGGATCCCAGGAAGAGCTCGCATCGCCATGTGCTTTAGGAACGTCGTCTTCCCAGTCCCGTTGCGTCCAACGAGCCCTGGAAAAGTACGAGTAGACCCGTAAGTCTGGGTCCGTAAGTCTGGGTCTCTTGGGAGACCATCCTCAGCGGATAGATGACACTGATTTGGAGAGTTGACTGCAGCCTTGACTATATCAACCAGAATCAGCACAGAGTGCCCCAATTCGGAGTCATGAATTGATCGCCAGACTGTGACAACAGCCCCTCGCATGCAGACAGCCTCACCATATCGCCTGCCATAGGCCAATATGACGGTGGCGTCGCTGATGAGATCCTTCCCGGCGACTGTTATGCTGAAGTTTTCCATCCGCACATCCCTGCTGCCCCCACTTCCGCCTTCCGTTTCCGAGCTGTGCCACACCGTCATGGGAGGCAGGCTCTTCAGGGCCTCCTCGGCTTCTCGCTGATGCGCCTCATACTCCAACTGACAAAGCAGGGAGAGATAGCAATCAGTCTTTCATACAGCTTAATCAGCCTCTCGGCAGAGCACTTAAGAACAGCTTGCAAGGCCACCTTTTCAACTTCACTTACAACAGGCATACCTGGTCTTGGCTTCCTGACCAGGAACGACATGATTGTAGTCACTGGGCTGAGCCTTGGTACTTCCACGAACTTCATCAGCCATTCTGCGTTCTCAACAACACTGCAGGTGCTGTAGCTTGGAGGAAGTATTATCAAGCCCTGCGCAAACGAGTTTCTCTCAACGAAGATCTTAGGAAGGTCGCACCTGTCTTTGCCTGTCCTCTTTTCGCCGCCTCCTCTCCATCTTTGCCTCATCGCGTGCCGTTATGTCCGCCGGCAGTGAGAATTCAACCTCCGCTCCCTTTGCCGCCCCAAACGTGTGCCCTTCTAGTTCTTTTGGCATTGCCATCGTGACAGGAGCAGCCAGCTGCCGCACCTCTGTCTCCTTGAGCGCATTGCCTCCAAACCTCTCCGCTAGTTGGCCACATACTGTACGTGCTTCTCGGTCATCCTTAACGCCTCCCCCTTCTACGAGCAGGCTGCCAACCGCTTCATAGGCCTCTTCACCCCCGGGCCCAAACTCAAAGGTTTCATCCTGTGAAAAGCATAGGACATGAGGAGCTCGTTAAGATCAGCTGTGCAGGCAGCTTTGGCCAGGTTCAAGCACTTCTGGCGCATGCTCATACAATGGCAGCTTTGAGAAATGCTCAACGCTTTAAAAATCTCTCTACATGCCTGCAGCGAAAGCTCAAGGAGGGAGACATGTGCCAGCATTGTAGAAATATATGTCCTTCCACAAATTCCCAATCACACCAAATGACCGCCCGCGGTGGCACCAAAACTCTCTAGATTGACTCCTTCAAGTCCTTGTCACTCATGGAAACACTGGCGTTGGGTGTTCTCAACTTCGCTTCAAGAGGGTTTCTTACCTGTAAGACTTGGACAATGTAGTCCAGGATGGTTGAATCCAGAGCAGCGGTCTGCTCGGGTCCTAAAATCTGTTTTAAAGCATCTTCCATCTGCGCTGCGGCAGGTGTGCTGGATATCACTGATTAATGCAGTAGGGCAGGCAGTCAGCGCCACCACCCCCAAAATTTCACTGGCACTAGACTATCAGGGTGCTGCAGCCCCAAATGTGACAAGTACGGTCGTGGCCAGCGACTCACTTCCAATCTTACGGAATGGTGGCTCCGGTAGGTCGCAAGTGCTCAACCTCACAAACTTAGAAACTCACAGCAATGGCTGCATGGCTCCACGTTGAGCTTGATTTTGAGTCCTGCAAGCTCTCGGAATCAGGCACCACCTTGAGAGCTGGGCGTCTCCAGCAAGTCCAGGGACGTCCCTAGGCCGGGACCCAGGTGTGCGGATGAGGCGCCCCACTAGTCTACAGGCGGGCAGCCAAGCCAGGTCACGAGAGAGTCTAAGACAGGAGAGGGAGACGGTCCGGGTGCACTGAGCAGCACTGGCAGGGTGTGGAGAATAGCGTACAGAACTTGATCTCAGGTTCCGGATCTCAGGACATTCCGGATCTGAGGAAACCACCGCCGGGGGTTCAGGTCTCCCTTGTAGGGGAACCCCTCTTACATTGTTTGCGAATTTTACGCGGCCGCCCGGTGATCGTCGGAATTCGATCGAAGCCGTTCGATGCAGATTCAATGCAAACCTAAGGGCCCAGATTCTTTGTCCGGGACCGGCGGAGTCGTACGGTACATACTACAGGTGTCGCCGGTCCTGAGATCGGGAAAGGTTCCTGAGATCAGGAATTTTGTCCGCTATTCTCCACACCCGCCCTCCCGGGGGGCGCGGCGACCACCGGGCCAATGATATGTGTTGTGAATTACTTTGAGTAGGGAGATGCTCGCCGATCTCGTTGTCGCGTGACCACAGGCAGGCCGGACCGGAAACCTGATCATTTAATTTTCAAGAGGAGAACTTGGACTCCGAGATTCGTCCATGGATGTCCAGTAGCAAGCGCACCTGCTGTTTACAAGAGCGGGGACGGAGCAGTGCCAGAGATCTGGAGGCAAGAGAATCCCGATGGTGGACGGTGAAGTCACTGGGAGAGAGGATAGGGTCTCCTCTCAAATGGAACGTGATACGGAGCGGAAAAACAGGGACAAAGACAGAGACGAGGAGAGAAAGCACAAGGACAGAAAGAAAGACAGAGACGGGGAGGATGAGGAGGAGAGACGGCGGAGGAAGAAAAGGCACAGGGAGAAGAAGCGGCTGAGGGAAGAGGCTAAGCTAGCACACCCTGCTGCCGGAAAAGATGATGAAGAAGGCGAAATTGTGCAGTCAGAGGCGGTAGAAGAGAAAAAAGACAGGGCGGAGAGGAGTCCACTTTTGGAGCCTGGGGAGATTAATGAAGCACTGCAGAAACCGGGGCTTGCCTGCAGCGTCTCAAATGGTGTCACGAGGGTCTTCAGTAGCAGTCAGGTTAATGCCTTGGATGCTGTGAAAGAGAAGAAGAGCCCCGGCCGCGGTCGGTCCCAGGAGGAGAAACCCCTTACTCACGATCTTGATGCTCCAGACACAGGCATGCAGATGCTTCTGTCTGCATATAGTGAGAGGGGTGCAGCTGCTGAGAAGGATGCCGAGAAGAAGCGCCAAGAATTAGGCGAGAAGGAGGAGAGGCCCATGAAGGATGCTGACCGGGGGCACCGGCATCGCTCCCGAGAGAGGAGGGCAGAACGAGGCGGCAGTGAGGAAGCAAGGACATCTGAAAGGGGGGAAGAAAGGCCGAGACATCGTTCAAGGGATCGGAGTTCACGAAAAATGGAGAACGGAAGTCCCGACAGGACATCTATCAGGTCAAAGTCCAGGGAGAGCATGAGGAGCCGCGGACGCTCCCCAGTAGGGCGCCCTCAGTCTCGGGATGGCACCTTGGAACGGAGAAGGCATCGCAGCCGTTCTAGAGATAGTGTGCTGGAGCCACCCCCTCCACCTCCCAGGCGCCGCGATCTAAGCATTGACCGGGTTCGAGAATCGTCGCCTGCCCGGAGGGGCAGCAGAGAACCCTCATACAGGAGAGGGGACAAGGAGAGGCAGGCAGATTACCGAGGTTCACGAGATGATTACAGTTCAAGGCGCAGTGAGAGTCGGAGCCGCAGGGAAGACAGCAGGGCGCCAAGCACTCGCGTGGATCCTGAGGAGGAGTTGCGCAGGAAGGTGGAAGAGGAGCAAAAGAGGTCAGTTTTTGAATGATTTTCTGTTCATGGTCAAGAAGTGACTTAGAGAGTTTAGGGTTTGGTTGCCGGCCTATCTTGAAACCAATTTGTGAATGTTATTGAAGAGCTGCTGATGTCTGCACAATGCAGTTCAGCTCTTGCAATGCAAAAGCACCTGGGCATCCAAGATGGTGTAACTGCTATGCTGCTTCCGCAGAAATAGCTGTGCTTTTTTCAAGAGGATCAAACGGTAGTAAATGCTCTGCAAAAACCATTTTGTAAGTGCTGGGAAGTTTGGGGATTTCAAACACTCTCCTCTTCTTATTGTTAGATGCTGGTAGTACTTCGCTGGTTATCACATAACCTTTAAGAATCTCTGTCATTAATATATTTGGTGCTTCATTGCAAGCTCTGCCCTCATTGCCCGATGTGTTCTGAGCTGATTCTGTACATGTTTGTACAATTTGAGCTTATTAACTCACGGTAATCGCTTGTCGTGCAGGAAAAAGGAGGAGGAAGAGTTCAAAGCGCGAGTTGCCCGGCAGCTTGAGGAGCAGCAGGAAGCAGAGGTTGATCCTGAAAAGGTGCTTGAAGAGAGCCGCAAGAGAAGAGAAGCCATTCTAGCTAAATACCGGCAGCAGAAAGCAGAGCAGGGAGCCTTGCAGGCCCCTGCTGGCGAGAAGTCGAGGTTTGCACCTTTGCAGGCTGTCGACGGTGGTGCTGCTGGTACTGCCAATGGCGCCTCTGTTGCAGAAGGCACTGGGTTGCCCCTTCATGGTCCCTCGCAGCCTGCCATACCTGTGGCTGTTTTGACTGGCTCGGCACCTGATACCCGTATGACTGACGCAGAAACATCGACACCAGCGAACGAGAACGGGCACAGGCATGATTCTGGGCAAATGGATGCTGTCTCCTATCAAGAGACTGCATCCGATGTTGGAAAGGTAAGTGGGCATCATTGATATCTGCCTTCTTGATCGCGTGCAGGCAGGTCTACAGTCCCAAACAGCGACAGCTGCTGATTTATGGTCGTGCACGAAATCTCCTCAAAGATGCCTGTCTGCTTCTTTCCATACATGGACGTAATTGTGGAATCAGGATTAGCTTGGCACAGTTTTCCTGCTTTGATCCTACTTGTCTTTGTTTATGCAGGTTCAGGAAGGTGGGGACATGTTTTCTGACGACATGTTTGGAGATACTCCTGTCACCGGTCGGAAGCTGGTAGGTGCTTGTCCAACCCCTACTTATTGGATGGCCTGGATCACTGATCGTTTGGCCTTCTTGTTGGAGCATGTTGTGATCAAAATGATGCAGCTCGTGAACATGATGCATGTGGTGTATTGTAAGTTGCCTCTTGGATCTCTGATTGATTCTACCGTTTCTGGAACAGGTGACAGCAAATGGGGCGATGGTTGACGCAGGGCTGGTTGACAACTGGGATGATCCCGATGGATACTACAGTAAGTGGTCATTTCCTTCTCTGACGGTGTTCTTATTAACCAAGCGTTGCAAAAGCTTACCCAATTGCAAGCGCGCTTCCGCATTTATGATAATGTTCCGTAGGTGTGATCTGAATATAGTCTTGCTCCTGTCAAGGCACAACATCCCTGACTTCGCTTAGAATGCTTTGGAGAATCCACACACGCCACAGCTTCGCGGGGAGGTTCCAAGTCCTGTCTATAGTTGTTAGTTTTACAAGCTTGTGTTGTGGCACTGGTAGCTCTAAGCCTTATTGAGAAGAAACTAATGTTTTAGAGAAGGGACTGGAGCAGTGGGCTTTCTTTCAGTATCATTATTGACGTCCTCATCAAAACAAACATGCCTGTACTCTCTCGGTTTCCATTTCATGCCCCATCAGATAGATGGATATCCCTCTGTCCACTGTTGACTTATGTTCGCAGATTTCGCAATTGCAACTGGATCTGTTTGCGGCGTCCTTTCTGTAATACACACTGAGGCACATATTCGTACGTCTTCTGCAGCCTTCAGGATTGGTGAGGTGCTCGACAAGCGGTATGAGGTCCTGTCCTCTCATGGACGGGGGGTCTTCTCCTCGGTGGTCCGGGCGCGGGACAGGCTAGCCAAGGCCGGAGAGCCGCAGGAGGTGGCTATCAAAATCATCCGCAACAATGAAACAATGTGAGTTCTTCGACCATAACCTTCCGTTCCAAATAGAAAAGAGAGTGAAAGACTGTTGGAAAGTGCAAGGTCCATTGTACACCCGAGTGCAGGTGCTCAAGACATCCTCCTACGATCAGATTTCTTTAGTTGACTAGAGCTTGGGTGGTTGTGTGCTGCAGGTTCAAGGCGGGTCAGCAAGAGCTGGTGATTCTTCGCAAGCTGTCCGGCGCTGACCCCGAGAACCGGCGGCACTGTGTGCGGTTGTTGACCAGCTTTGAATACCGGGACCATCTCTGCCTGGTCTTTGAGTCGCTCAACATGAACCTGCGGGAGGTCTTGAAGAAGTTCGGACGGAACATCGGGCTAAACCTGTCGGCGGTCCGGGCGTACGCACAGCAGTTGTTCATAGCACTCAAGCATCTAAAGAACTGCGGGGTCCTGCATGCCGACATCAAGCCGGACAACATGCTGGTAAGTGGGCAATGACAGTTCTCGTATGCCTGATCATGGCATACCATCCGTCAAGAGCGATTCTTAAAAGCATCCTCGTGCGATGGCAATTAGAACCATCAAAAGCTTACGAAGTGAGGAAGCAGTCTTCGCTCAGGTTTTCGCACCTATAAGTACGTCTTTGCGAGGCGGCCTGGTTGCCTTGAAGAATTTTGCGCTTCTGGTCGCTCTTTCTGGGTCTGAAGTCGCCTTCGCTTTGAGTCAGGTACTAGGTGAGGAATTTTTAATCGTTGGGGACTCAGCTTCGCAGTAAAACCCTGTCCATTTTCATTGCATCTGAGATCTTTTTGTGTGTGCAGGTTAACGAGCAGAAAAACATGCTGAAGCTGTGCGACTTCGGATCCGCCATGTTCAATGGGGACAATGAGATTACGCCGTACCTGGTCAGCCGCTTCTACCGCTCACCAGAAGTCAGTGAGTATCTTGACAACGCCTTCTGCCTGGTGTTTGTGTCGTTCGCCTCATTTGATACGTGCAGCAACGACAGCAATAGCGCTCTCTTGACATTTAGCTCGCTCTGCAGGTCAGACTGATGCTCTCATCAACAAAAGCCTTTTTGATGATCAGGTGGTTATGCGGCCGCTCGTTATTTTCGCCTCAGATTTGGTTGCTACATTCCTTAATCGTGCTTCGTTGCCTTGCTCGCAGTCCTGGGATTGACGTACGACCATGCAATGGACATGTGGTCCATTGGGTGCTGCTTGTACGAGCTGTACACGGGCAAGATCCTGTTCCCTGGCAACAGCAACAACGAGATGCTGAAGCTCATGATGGAGCTGAAGGGACCCTTCCCCAAGAAGATGCTCAAGAAGGTGCGTGATTTGGTTTTCCTCCGAGTGGAGGAGTCGTAAAGCCTTTGGTGGACAGTTGAGATGAGGTCTCTTGTGCCATCTTTGAAGCAAAGCAGGTTTCACGACGTCTGTTGCTGTTGCGAAACTGCAGGATCCGTCTCCTTTTCGCCGTTGAGATCCATGAGTCGTGCTGATGACGGAGATTGTTTTGCAGGCGGCGTTTGCGGAGCGCCACTTTGACCAGGACTTCACCTTCGGCGTGATCGAAGAGGACCCTGTGACTCGCAAGGTGAGGATCCGTTTGCGGCTCAAGGAAGCCCTGCCGACTGTTGGTCATTCACCATTGCAATGCTTTGGAACGGATTGAAAAGGTCTTCCATTCTTTCCGCACTTCGAGCTTTGGCAAGGGCTGTCGTTGATGAGATTGCAGGACCTTGCCGTTCTGATCGCGACCGTTTTTCTTGATTCAAGTGGTGACGCTTGTGGTGACTGACGATCTCGTCTGGCCTCCTTGCAGAGCATAAAGCGCATCATGACCAACCTGAAGGGCAAGGACCTGGGCGTGCTCCTTCAAGGTAGTGCCAGGGGCTCGGAGGACAAGGCGCTGCTGACCAATTTCAAGGACCTGCTAGAGCGTGTACTGACCCTTGACCCAGAAAAGCGGCTAGACGTCTCTGCAGCGCTGAAGCATCCGTTCATAAGCGGCAAGTGACGGGAGGATTTTACGTGAAACCTAGAGTGTTTGTCTAGCTTCCTGCCTCATGTATGGCTCAGGACCCTTGAGGTTGCGTTTCGGTCGAAATAGGAATGACTAGTTGGGACCGTATTGGGGCCTAGCTGTCTTGCATCTCGAGACATAAGCCGACCATTTTTTGTCCAAAGACTGATACATCCTCCTTTTCTTCCCTCCGCAACCACGGCTGCATACGGCGAATATCAGGTCGACTGGGTCTGGCTCTTCCTATGGTCGCACTGGTCGGAAGATAAGCTCTCCCCTTCCCCTCCATGCTTGAGCCCCCCCAAAGACAAACTGCTTTCTATTGTGCATATGTTTTGTGTGTCCTTTCCACCTGATGATCAGGGCCCTCTTCTTTGGAGAGGGCCCTCTTCTGTTGTTGGGAACAGCGAGTCTCTAAAATTTGTGTTCAGGAAGTACTCCGTCTTACCTGAGAGTGCTGTATGGACGGAGTTTCTGCAAGCCAATTTTGCACCTCCGGCGAAGGGAATGCAAAGTCTGGCGTGAGTGTCAAGCGGGAAGTTTGCCACGAGCGATACGGTTAGGGATCATGAAGGAAGTGCAGCTTGCACCCGTTGCCTACGATACGTGTAGCTGCTGTTTATTATTTCTACCCTGCAGTTGCTCGACCTAGAACCTCATCTGGTATACTATTTGAAACGGATGCTACTCGCATGTAACGCCCGGCACCTGACATCGCAGCTTGATGTCCGTCACAGGAGGCGGCGCTTGTGGTTAGCCTCATCCTACGAACGCTGTGTGCTCACTGGCACGTGAAACCTGGTGGACACCACGGGCCGGCTGTCATTTGCTGGTAACATTCCAGTCGAGCGCAGTGAGCAGCGTGTTTTGCATGTGCCAACTGAATCTGCACTTTCAGCTGATAACAGCGATTGAAAATATAGAAGGTGCAACCGACATCTGCTTCAGCAGATGCCCCGAGGGCACTTGTATCCCAACTCCATCCTTTGCCTAACGGCTGCTGCCATTTCTTTGAGATCGTGCTGGCTGCAAAAGGTTGAGCATTTGCGCGCTGCGTGAACCAGACAAGACTTCAAGTGTGGCCATCTCAATGATCGGGTTCTTTGCTTGGTCATGGCACTGTTCGCCGTAACGACTTTTGAAAGCAGGCCTGTTGAGAGATGCAAGACACAAGACAGTCGAAACGGAATCATCGCTTGAGTAGACCTCCCCCGTCATTCTTCAGCCTTTCCTGCTCTGCCTTTTCTCCTTCTTCTTTTAAGATGTCATGCGGACATCATCTGAGTGTATGTTGACGGGTGTATCTATCTGGACACCAATTTGGAGCCACCCGATGCATTTGGAGCCACTCGATGCATTGACGCACTGTCCGGCAACTTGACTTGCCTTCTATCCATCCTGTCTGTTTTACACTGCAGATCTCTTGGAGGCTTCGAATGGCGGGGTTCTCTTTGTGGGGCCATCCCGTCCAGCCTTGCGCATAAGGGAGGTGTCGTTATTGGTTTTCAGCTGTTGGAAAGCTCGTCAGAGTGTATGCATGCAAAGAGAAGAGGAAGTCCTCGATGTGAGAGCTGAGAGTTGAGAATTGTGTTTAGGGATCCGAGCAGGTATTCCAAAATGGTCGCTACTATTGTTAGCCGCTGTATGCTTCAAAACGTCTTTGTGATATCCAAGCACAACACCTTCTGATTTGCAGGTAGTGAGGCGAATCCCTGCCAAGTAAGAGCCTAACGGCCAATGAGGTCCTGTGCAAGCACGAAGCAATTCCAACTGACATGTGTGGACTTTGTTGGCATGTCATTGCAGCGGTGGATTTTGAGAAGGTCTGGTAAGTTTCCTGCACAAGTAAGTGTAACTCGTTGCAAACACTAGGTCAAAGGTTGAGGCTGGTCATGGTAGAAGGGGTCTTGAATGGTATAGCGGGAGATTCCGTGATCTGCACTTGCAGCACGTAGGTAGCAAGTTCGAGGCGTTGTATCCAAACTTACGTAGAAGTTGCGCCATGGCGTTGTCATGCCGCCACATTGATAGGGAGATATAAGCACTTGGTCGCCTTCTTTTGCCGTCATAATTGTTCCAAGGTGTTACAAGGGCTACATCGGCAAACAAGGTGCCTTTTGTATCGTGTACCTCCTCAACAACCTCTTCGTCAAGGATTGTATCATCACATGATGCAATGGAACCTATCTTTTAAGACCGGATTTGCAGCTTTAACGATCACCGGAGTGCTTATGGTTCACTGGCTTGACCTCCAATCGGTGCTGGATAAAGGAGGTTGCGTGCTCTTAGGATATACAGCGGGTCTTGATATGCATCATACGACATGAATCGCTCAATATGAACTTAGTCATTAGATCATCAAGCGGCAGTTTTGAGTAATCAAGCATGCCAGCAAACTAGCTCAACCCGTAGGGGTTTCGGCGGCTTGTATGTACAAGTGCTTCGATGTTGCACATTACTTTTGCGGTGTCCATTTGCGATGTATGTCGATGATTGGTACGTATTTTGAAACGCAAGTGCATGTGTTGCTCGGAAACACGCGCACCATTGTTAAAGCTCATTCGACCTGCCAAAGCTAGCCTGGCGTGCATCAGCTCCCTATACGCCAATGTGACGAAAATTAACTGGGGTCTCCGCTAAAGAAAGGGGTACTCTCCGCCGGCGGCGGCGGCAGTGACAATCAGCCGTATTCACCGGCGCAGCTAGATGACTCCCATTCTATACATCATGCTCACAGACTTACTTCATGCATTCAGCACCATGACGATACCTCATGAGATGGCCAGAGGCATGGCGGAAGCCATGCGGAGAAGAAGAGAACGAAGCGCCTTGCTTCCCAAATCCGACAAGTAGAAAAAGAGGACGATCCAGTTCCAGTTCATGCATGTCTATCTCAAGTCTATAACCGCCGCTCGGTGAGTGTCCTACTCAACTCCTCGTGACATCAAGGGTTCGGGGTTTAGACATCTCTACCGACGACACGTCGACGTATTCTAGGCGGCCGCGCGACTCCGCGCGCCGGACCCGCAACCTTTGCGGCTAAGCCTTATTATTTCGTCACAGCTGTGACGGCTCCCCCCGTTCGAAAAAGCGTCCTCGCGTCCAAATCCAGCCATGATTACCAGAGGTCTTGGTGCCATTAAAAACTCTCTTCTAAGCTATCCATCCAAATTGGAACGTTCAAGCCTTAGTCATGAAGAGAGAAAAGGTACACCTGGACGTTGAGAACCTTTCCGGAAGACGCCGTGGCGAATCCCGACACGGTTCGAAAGAAGTACACTGAATTCTCAAAACAGAGTCGTGACTCTGCCGTGCCAAGAGTTTCGCTAGCCTTTACCAAATCCACACAAACTACCCAGGGGCGCACCGTGGTGGTCCCCTGCTTTCATGTCCCTAGCGTCGACAGCCTCGGTTCCATTTACACTATAGTACATTTTGCGGACTACTGCCGCTCTGTACATCTATTCTGATTCGTCGGATTCGCACGCCTCCGCGCTCCTCTGGAAGAAACCCCGTGGGACTCCTTTCACGAAGTGCACGGTCGTCGGCTGCGAAAACTCGGCCCCTCGCATGTACCGACCCAGCGGAACCATGCTGACCGTAATCTGTCCGTCCACAAAACGTTGAATCGCCATCATTCCGCTCCGGCGGCTGACGTAATGCGTGACGGACCCTAGGAGAGGGTAAGCGGTAACCGGACCGCGACCCCCGCGCCGCGATGAGCTAGGAGAAGGTGCGGTATCGTTCCGCCGTTCCGTCAAAGCCCCTCCGCTCTCGAACTGGTCTTGACCAGTTCGGGTTTCCGGAACTCCTAGGGACGGAACAACGATCCCTCGCACGTTCTCGAGTGCCGCGGCCGCTTCTTCTGCTTCACCCCCGAGTCCTTCCTCAAAAGCCATGCCCGTGAACTTGTCCGGATCGAGATCCGGCGCCTCCGTGGAGGCCGCTCCGCCCACCGGAACTCCGCCGTCCAACGGAATTCCCCCGTCCGAGACCAGGAACGGACGCCCCGACAGTGCTGTCGCCCCTGGTGACGTGTCACCAGCGGCCGCTTCGGCCGTCTGCAGAGGGGATTCACTCTCTGTGTCAGACCCACCAGCTTCCCGAGCTATTTCCTTCCTCACCTCTCGCGCCAAAGGCGAGTCTAAGTCTACGGACACCACGTCCGAATACATCGCCCGACGCTGCTTGCAGCGCTTTCGATGCCTTCCATAGGAGTTGCAGCAAACACAATGAACGGAGGCGACTTGATTCGGGCACTCCCTCGGGAAATGACCGAACTTCTGACAGCGCCGACATGGCGAACGGGATTCCTTCACCGATGCTATAGTTATCCGAATATCGTCCTGCAGCGTCTCCTTGGAGATCTGGGCAGGGGAACCTTTCCTCATTGCTTCAAAACGACTTCTATCGTTTTTCAAATTCTTCTCCTGCAGAGGCAGTCTTGGCCCAGGTGACGGAAAACGGAGTCGACTTACCGGGGCAATTGGCGCCTTGACAGCGTCTTCTCGCCCCTGGTCTGCTGCTAGGCCCCCAAAAACAAGTGCGCCCTTGGGCCTTTCCAACTTTCCGCCCCCTGACCCGCCGGCCGCTTCTTTTATATAGGCCTGCTTTTCTGCCTCGGTGCTGGGTGGTAGATCCGGTTCAAACGCGCTTTCGCCAAGCGCGATCCCCGCATGATCTAACCCCTTCGCCCAGGCCGTGGCCACTTCTTCTGCTTCCCGCTTCCGCTCCTCTTCTTCTGCATCTTTCCGCTTCCGCTCTTCTTCCCGATCCGTCTTTTCCTGTTCCTGGGCTTTCTCGTACTCAGCTTCCTCCTTCGCATTAAGATCCGCTAAAGCTGTTTCGAGATCGCCCCCCGGAATGTCCGCAGACATTTCGCTCTTCTGAACTTCCCCCAATGCTTTCCGCTGTTCCGGCGGACCGCCCTTGGGCTCGGTTCTGGCTTCCGTCTTCCCTACCTCCAGAATTACAACAGTTTCTGGTGCAGGGCCCTTGGGCTCCGCACCCTTCTCGACCTTTTTACCTGTTTCAACCTGCTTTCGCTCGGGGCCCGACTCGTCGAGTCCCTTCTTTCCGCCGGAAACCTTGATTTCCGGTTCCGCCTTCTTCCGTTCCGTTCCGCCAGAGGCTTTTGCCGGGGACTTAGATGGAGTCCTCGGACTTTTCAGCTGAGCCTCTTCCAAGGTAGCCGATCCCGGGGGAGGCGATTTCAATTCGACCGCCCCCGTTCCGCTTCCGGGTCTGACTTCCTCAGCTTCCCCTTCTTCGTTCCGGTTCCCTTAGGTTCCGGCTCCGGCTTTTTCCTCCCCTCCTTTGGAGTATCCGCTCCGGCGGTCACAACCTTGGCTGCAACCTTTTCGCGAACGCTCCCCATCCTCTCGTAATCCTCACCCGCAAATCTGCAAGTTTCCCCGATGAGTTCGATTTCCTCCTCGGAGGAGATTCCCGCTCTCTCTTCTTTCACTCTCTTCCCTGTTGCTTCCGGCCTTGCCGCCTATCCGACTCCCCTAAAGCAGCCAGGAGTTGTTGAGCAGCTCTGTCGTTATCCTTCCGGTCCGCTTCCGAAAGATTCGACCACGCCGGAACCCCCCAGTCCTCATTCGTGAGCAACTCACGAACGCGATCCTTCGTCCACCGCGGCTCCTTTCTGCGATCAAAAACGATCTGCTCGATGACCGCCGCGGGGATCGTAAGGTCGACGTCGTGGAAGGCAGAATCCAGCTCTTCGTCGCGTGAGCTGCACTGGAAGGCTGACAGCGACACAGTCCGTGGACTGTACAACTGGTTGGGGTCGTTTAACATTCCCCACTGGAACAGGACCCCCCGATTAGCGCTCCTTTCCCATTCCTGCAGCGTTCCATCAAGAGCTAGCTGTTCCAACTCCACGAGACCCAGGTCCGACACCGTGGTGCCGTCCACGTACTGCGAGAAGAACTCATCCGGCATAAAAAGTGCAAACCGCTCGGCTACCGGTTCCCCCCACAGAATGTTCCGTAAGAATCCGTGGACTCTTAGTTGCAGCTGGGGAATCTCAATTCCGGCGGACTCCCACTTTTCTTGCGTGCCCTCAATACGTTGGATCTTGCACCACACGCCATCCTTCTGAATCTCTTCTACAAACTTCCCGCCCCGGTCGCTCCTGGTCCCAAAACGTTTGACTTTGTCCGCGCGCGCGCGGCGAAGCCACTCGTCTTCCGCCGAACTTTTCGCCACCTCCCAGGCGCGCAACATGTTGTTTTCATTTTCTTCTGCCGGCTCCTCGGTCATGACCGTAGCAGCCGGCCCCTGCCCCGCTCCTTCCATTTCTCCGCCGGACTCCTCCCGCGACTTCTCCCCTCGGCTCTGACGGCGTCGCGCGCGCGCGCTCTCCGCCTCCCCGCCTTGGGCGCCCTCGGTGGCTCCGGTCTTCTGCTTCTTGGGCGTCGGCGCGCGCGCTCCTCTACCGCGGCCGCCACCGCTCGACTCGCGCCGCCGCACCACATCCACGAACGACGGCGTCTGCGAATCGGTCCTGCCCGCCGACTGGGCGCCTTCGACCGTCTGCTCACCCTCGCTCTTGAGTCCCTTCCGTGGAAAAGGACACGCAGCGCTCGCTAACTCCCAATCCGCCAAGACCAATACTGACTCCCGAGTCTTGTGAGGCTTGGCAGGGACTTGGATCTCGCGGGGCTTAACTTTTCGAAGTTCGCTCCGCAGGAACGGGGGGAAGGTTAAGGGTTTGTCCAACCACTGCGCAGTATCGCGTGCGATGGCTGCCAGCTCTTGCTCCACTCGACCCCCGGTAAGAACTGCCGAAACCCCATACTGCCATTGTCCAAAGGATTGCGCCGGCCTTGGCCGTTTAGCAATCTTGCTGGACCACTGCCCCACGAAAAAATCAATGTCCTTCCCCGCGGGGTCGGACCGCTCGTGCCGGGCCCACTCCGCTACCCCCATCAAATACGCTCTCTCCTCGACCGCATGCGGTCCGCTAAGGAGATTGAACGCTTCGCTTAGGAGTATCCGCCGGAGAATCCCGATGAGGAACTGAATTAGCGGCTAGCCGCGCATGTAACTCTTAACCACGGACGTGCTTCAAGCAATGCCCAATGACGAAAATCCAGTTGGCCAACAACTGGGTGCAGACCTTTCCCGCAATTGCACTGTGGCTTGCCACCAGCGCTTGGGCTTGGTCAATTTCCGTCATCCGTTTGGGTTCCGTTCGCGGGTTCGCCGGAATGACTTCGAGAAGAGGCGCTTGCAATTCCTCAAAACGAAGATCCGGCTGATGCGGGGCGGGCAGGACGTCAAGGGGCCGGTGTAAATCGGCCTCGTCCAGCCTCCCCATAGCCGCGTCCTGCTCTTCAGCCGTGGCTTCCGAGTGCTCTTTCCGCGACATCCTTTTCCGGACTAATGGAACTTCTTCGGATTCCGTGGATTCCGAAGTTTCAGGGGGCCCCCGCTTCCGATGGGGCCGCTCCTCCGCTCGCCGCTGCCGCTTCTTCCTCTCGTGCCCTTCCTCGCTCATACCCCGCCGGTATGGACGCTTCGAACCTGCGAAATTGAGGGCAGGACTCATTGAGTGGAACTGCGGCGGAGGGGGACGAAACCATGGAGCTTGCGGACCTTGGTAATAGCCTGCTCCAAACGGAGGCTGGCAAAAGGGGGGGCCACGAAATTCCTCTCGAGGAAACGGGCAATAAGAAGGTTGGGCATAGGGCGGACGCCATCCACGGCGCGGACCTCCTCCAGGTACTCGCGGACGAACTGGATACGGGGAAAATACCGGCAAAGCTCGTGAGCGTTGCGGAACCATTTTTGCCCGAGATGGTCTTGCAAAACCGCCTTCTTGTTTTTGAGACCGGGGAGCCACCCAAGGAACGCGTAAGGGCCTTCGCATCGGAGTCGATGACCCCTAATCGTCCCGGGCCGCTTCATTAACACCCAATCCCCTTTTTTCAAAAGCGCGACCTTGTTTTTCGCCGTGGCGTTCCATCGGGCGAAGTTCTTTCTCTGCACAATAGACGCGCCCAAAATCATTGCCTTGGCCGATGATTGAGCTTGGTGAATGTTACTAATCCTCTGCTGGCGCTCCGCTTCGGTCTCTGGGCGATTGAGGTTCGGCCGCACCAACCCGTGGCGAGTAGGAAGACTGTTGATTTCGATCGGTAAAAGGGGGGAACGACCGTAAAGGCATTGAAAAGGAGACATTTGAATGGTGTCCTGAAAAGGTGGTCCTAATATCGAACGCGACTCCGGAGAGATGCTGGTGCCAGCTGTCAGGGTGCTCGTGAGCACACTTCCGCAGACAAGCTTTGATCACCTGCATGTAACGTTCAACTTGACCATTAGCCTGCGGACTGTTAGCCGCGATCGGGACGTGATTCAAATCCCACTCTCGCCACCAAATTAACTGGGGTCTCCGCTAAAGAAAGGGGTACTCTCCGCCGGCGGCGGCGGCAGTGACAATCAGCCGTATTCACCGGCGCAGCTAGATGACTCCCATTCTATACATCATGCTCACAGACTTACTTCATGCATTCAGCACCATGACGATACCTCATGAGATGGCCAGAGGCATGGCGGAAGCCATGCGGAGAAGAAGAGAACGAAGCGCCTTGCTTCCCAAATCCGATAAGTAGAAAAAGAGGACGATCCAGTTCCAGTTCATGCATGTCTATCTCAAGTCTATAACCGCCGCTCGGTGAGTGTCCTACTCAACTCCTCGTGACATCAAGGGTTCGGGGTTTAGACATCTCTACCGACGACACGTCGACGTATTCTAGGCGGCCGCGCGACTCCGCGCGCCGGACCCGCAACCTTTGCGGCTAAGCCTTATTATTTCGTCACACCAACTCACAAACATGTCTCCCTCCGGCCGACATTCACTAAGAATCAAGGCGCGACGATTGTGCAAGATTCGCACCGTCAAAGCCGGCTATGCATCATTGCTGTGTGCAATCTTGATATAAGATTCGAATATTTATGAACCATGCAAGCTGAAACACCATGAACCCCTTTTTGGCATGTACTATGGCTTCACCAGTGCAATTAGGTCCTTATAGGTATGCAATCTCATTCCCATGTTTCAAGGCTGCATGTGAGTTCATTCATGCACAGCGTGGCCCTGTTAAGCAATTCAAGGCCGTATTCTTAGTCCGTTCACGGGTCACGGTTCCCAATTAAGACAAAAGCAACCTTCTACTTACCTACATGGATCCGCTTGGACACCGTCACGATGTGTTAGCATACTGTTATGGACTTCTAGCAAAACATGCAGGTATCTGCATGATATGAACAGATTTGGATGAGTATGCACGATGACATCGCATCTGGCTCGATCACATGCTTGTCATGATTTCAAATGAGCGCAAATGAGCCTGAGGTCAAGCTTACATCGCCAGTCGTCGCAAATCCCTCGCAGCCCTCCTAGAGCTTCAGCACGACTATACCGTCAGGGCGTCTGCCGTATCGGAACGACTTTACTACGTAGAGTGGATAAGCTGTTTGAAACCCCAAAGTAGAAGCTGACGAAATGGTTGACGAGCAGCTACGTATTTCAATTGTCCTTCCACTGGCGCACCGTGGAATCCTGCCCTGGAGCTTCAGTTGGATTCGAAAGTAGTGAGACTCAATAATGACTTGTCCAAACCGACTACTATGCGCATAAAAAGCTCGGGGCGACTGCAGTGTGTCACACAGCTCAAGGCGACCTAGGAGCTCCTGCCAGACTAGACCTGTTAAAAACAGTTTCAGGAAGGCAGTCAGATTCCTGTCCGGCTAGGCGATGAGAAGAAAGCTCAGCTAAAGTGGACCGTGTGACGCAGAGCAGTGCTCTTGGTCTGGCGTTCGCGAAGTGACTTGTACTAGGCGCATCGAAGCGGCAGTACGAGCCAATGGCCCGAGACCCCGTCCCTGAAAAAGACGAAGAACGGGAACGAGGGCACCCTGGAGTAAGCTCACGGCAACCGAAGCCTAAGTGATGATCAATGCGTGCTTCTCCTCGTCCGCTTGATCACGCAGAGGCCCCACTTTCCTGTGCTCATGGCAGCCGCTAAGCGTTGCCAACTTCGTGCCAATCTCCATTGAGCTTTGCCGGGGATGTCCTCTTCTCTTTGAAGGATGAAAACAAATGCAAAAATGTTGTTCACGTGCAGAATCGAAGAATCGAAGGACAGGGAAGTGACGAGGGTGGCAACAGTGCATCAAATGGACTTTCCTTCTCCAAACTGAAGTATCGTCTTAAGAACGTGGCCACGCAGATCCAACTTTTGCAGGTGCGCATCATCGAGTCCGGACCGGACTCGAGAAGATATATGTAGCCCACCCTGCAAAAGTCACATCCGCCGCTCCTCCAGATAGCTCCTTGACGCCGCTTCAGCATTTCCTCTTTGCATATTTTTTCCAAAATGAGCTGTTATTGCTTACGCTGCTCGCGGACGCCATTTCCTTCTCCGCTAAAGTTGTTTAACCTTGGCCAGAACAAAGAGAAGGCTGCACGGGAAGAGCTCTCTAGGGTTTCGGAGCAGAAGAAAGAAGCTGAAGATGCACACACGGCACGGACGAAGGACCTTGAAAAGAAAGCTGAGCTGGCGTCCGAAGCGGAAAAGCGGGCAAGGACCCTGGTAAGCTGGTGAATTTGGTATTTCTCTCGCTTCTTATTCGCGCCGCCGTTTGAACATGATCACAGTCTGTACCGTCCATACGTACAATACAGGGACTTAAAAAGAACACTCACAAGTCCCTGGTGAGGCCTCTTCCGTACGTGCAACTTGTGCTTCTTCGCTGGAATTGTCCTTGAGACGAATTCAGCAATTTGAAGGAAGACCCCATCTATCATGTAAGGAATAGGAGAGCACGACTTGGGTGGGACTCCCTTCATTTGTGATTCACGAGATCCTCTGACTTGCAGAGCAATTCAGTAATCTTTGACATGCGGGCTTTCCTTTCGCAGGTATCCAGCCTCAAGAGAGATCTTGAGATACTAGGGCAGAAGGAGGAATGTTCTCGTTCTGAAGCTACGGCTGTTCTAGCAGGGAGAACTTCTCTGTTAGACGAGCTGAAGGTAGGTAGCTTGAAACAACGAGAAGTTTGATACTGTGAAAATGCAAACAAAACAGAGTGTGCATGTGCAGCTTCAATGAAGTTCCTTGCATCTGGAAAGAGAATAGCTGAAGTCAAATCTGCCAGCTTTGTCTTGTCTTGAAGGCCTGAGCTCCATCAAAGGCCCCTGATCAGCTGCACTCCTGACGATCTTAGCCCTCTAAACAGGTTGAAAACTATCGTTTACGTCAGTCACTCAAAGTGAAGGAAGAAGAGCATTTTGAACTGGGAGAGAAGATTAAGGTGCAGTCTGGCTTGATGGCAGCTTTTGAGAAGGTAAGTTGTCAACGAGAATCCAGTAATGTTGCTTCCTGGAAGTGATTTTGCGTGTGCTGACTCCACATGAGAATATGATTACAAATCACAATATAACTTCTTCAAGACTCAGTACAAGTTAAGCGGGGATGGTCTTTGTTGGCAGGACTTTGCAGCTGGCCACATAGCGTAGAGACCCACTGACTCGTGTATGCAGGAGATTGGAAGACTTGAGAAAACCTACGAGGAAACCTGCGAAATCCTACAGACGCGGCAATCGCAAGGTAAGCCTGCAGTATTGATGTTCTCATTCAAGAACCCCGAATTGGAAAAAGATTTGGAGATGCGAGGCCCTGAACACTTTCCTTATCTCTGCCCCTTGTCTCAATAAAGGATGACATTCGTTCGTGTAGCCTGCCAAGTCCAGCGGAGCGTTTTTCAAACACAAAGCTAAGAACTCACGAAACGTGTGCAGTGCAAGAGCTTTCAACGAGGCTCAACTACATCTCTGATTTTGAAGAACGATTCGTAGGTAAGCTCAAGCCTGCTTTGCCACAGGAAAACAGGCTGTCCAAACTGCAAGCTGTTATAAGGTGTTTTAATCTTTCTGAAAATACCATCCAAGACTAGAGATTGCGCAAGGTTCAATGTATAATGATATCTTCGTGCTTTCGGAATCTCTACACTTCAGGGACAGAAATGTTGTTTCTGATCTTCTTCTCAACTGCTTCTTCATACTGCAGTGAAGATCAGGCAGCAAGCGAAGGTTATCCAGGATTACATGGTCAAGATGGATCAGAAAGACAGAGAGGTCATGAGCTTGTGTATGAGCCGGCACAGCGGACCAAGCGTGAACACCAGGCTTGACGAGAAGATGCATTCAATATCCTTTTATCGCGATTTCGTCGTGCGCTCTTTCCTTCCTTTCAATACAAATGATCCAAGCGCGTTCAATAAGCTGTCGAATCATGGAGATCCTTGATCAATCAAAAGCTTTCCGAGTCGAATTGTTGTTTCCTTGACGCTGAACACGTCCAGAAAGTCATTGAGCTGAAGGACATCATCATCTCAAAGATATCCACGGAGAAACAGGTAAGCACGTCTAAGCCAGAGCGCTCGGTTATGGCACTTTGCAAAGAATGGTCTCGATTCAATCGCGTCAGCAGATCAACGCCGTGAAATGAAAGAGACGCCGGCATGTATAAGTAAGGGACGTCGCGGACGCGCAACCTGTAATATTTATTATATCCACTCCGCTATTTGCAGGACCTAATCTCCAGAATCAAGAACCTGGAAAATTTGACGAGATCAGGAGAAGATTCCTGTCGTAAACAGCAAGAACTTCTAGACGAGTACCGACTGAAAGCTGCCCAAATGCAAGATGAAAGTGAAGAGGTGAAGGAACGACTTGAGAAGGTGAGTCGATGGTTTTCTGTGCGCAAACATTGCTTGCACACGAAGTTAATGGTTGCTAGCTCATCAGGGACTAGAGCTCTCTTGAAGTCGCTTACTTCACCCTTCTTTCTGCAGATCCAGAGTGAAGCCCCAGATCCAGCCTCAGTAGCTCGTCTGAAAGCGGAAGTTTCTGAGGCGAATCTTAGGTGAGACTTTGTGCATCCTTCAAAACTCTTCGCCCGAATTATTCTATAAACAGAACCAATGCAAGTCGCGAGAATCACTGTAATTGCTCTTGCATACTTCCGTTGCTGTGTGGCAGGTCCAAGCTCATTGTAGTGATCTGTTGAACGACCGGTGAAGAAACTGACAAGCCGTCAAGACGCCCCTGGCAGGTATGAGAAGACGAAGGCCGATTGGGAAGAAACACAAGAGAAGTTGAAGAGAGAGATTGCGGAACTAAGATCGAGCCTAGACGCCATCGGTATGAAACCGTCCTCCGTTTCAAGAGGAACGGACGTCAAGCACCTGACTGGTACGTTTCACGTTTCATGAATTGGGCGACGATAATTACTGGGACTTAGAAAGTAACAGAATCTTTGAACGACTTGTCGCTTAGCTACTCGACGCCGCTTTATACCTAGTTGTGTCATTCCGGGCCTGCTAACAGGAAGTTCTGGGGTCGACAATCGTTTCCTATATCTGCGCAGAGACACTGAACAAGGGGACAGTGACCGACTTCCAACGCCTTAAGCTTGAAAAAGCCACCCAAAGTTCTCTCGACCACGTCAAGATCTCAGATGATCCAAAAGGAAGAGTTCAAGAAGCAGACACTTTCACACAATCCATCAAAGGAGAATCAATTGAATGGAAGACAAGTGACCTGAGAGATACTTTCGAGGAAGGCGTTGACGCCTGGGAAGACGGCAATCAGAAGGGTTCGGAGCTGGCTGCCCCGGCGAAAACAACCCCTCTCACCAGTACTGGCGGCTGTGTCCTTACAAAAGAAGGGACTGATCCAGATGACGCGGAAGCTCAGCTAAAGGAAGCTAGCCGTAAAGATCCCGAGAACATCGACAGCCATGCGCGCGCGCACCTAGGTGGAACTACCGAGGAGGCCGCTGCAGTGTCAGAGGACCAAAACGAGCGTCGTTCGTCCTTCGAACATAGCTCCGTAGAAGCCGAAAAAGAGGGCCTTAGATTTGTCTCTGAACAAGCTGCAGGCGATCTCGAAGCTGCTCCTCGTAAGGCAGCTGAAACGGCTGCAACCGAGTCCCCTGAAGATTTCCAAATGACTGCTGAGCCAAAGGAGTCGCATAATGAGCCGGAGAGAAGACAGGAAACAGGGCCGCCTTATTTCCAAAATCCAAAACCGTCTCGCAATCAGGAAAGGAAAGGTGAGAACGAATTGAGTTTTTCGATCCCGTTGACGCTAAAGGATGACAGAAGATCAGACCAAGCATCGCCGTCCTGGTTGACGACAACTGCTAACGAAGGAGAGAGCGTTCAGAGTGGACACGCGTTAGAGGTGGAGAACCGGACGGCGGAGGCGAGTGAGCCAACGCAGTCACCTTCGTTTCTTCCGGCTGCTCGTCTGGAAGGGAAGGAAGCGGATTCAAAAAGAGACGAGGAGAGCGAATTGGAGGTATCCGTGCCGCAAGATAGCGTGCAGCAAAAGAAGGTCTGGAGTAGCATCCTTTCTCGTCTCGGCAAGCCTCCTGGATCGTCGGGCCCATCTTCACAGACTCGGACTCCTCCCCTCCCGAATCACGTCAGTGAAGCGGTCGAACCTGAAGAGCCGGATGGCGTCCCAGATCCCCGTGGGGCAGCAGTCGAAACGGCGGCTCTTGAAGGAACTCAAAGAGAGGTTTCGGAACAACCTCAAGGGGATGCTAGCAATCAAGAGAGAGGCGGCAAGGAATTGCATCCATCAAGCGTCGCACAGGACGGACCTGACGTTGTGCCCGGCGAGATGAGAGATCATCCAATCGCAGCCGAGGAAGGGAATACGACGGATCCCGGTATCGAGGTCCTTGAAGTTCTGCCCCCGCGGTTCGCCGCAGAAGGGCGCAAAGACGTTTCTGAGGTCGGGCACGGCGCACTAGTAGAAACCGCTGGCCCAAAGCAAGAGTTCTTCGCTGCCGAGGTGCGTTCCGAGGTCGAGAAAGAGAGGAAGCAAGAAGAGAAAACAAGAGAGCTGGCAAGCAAAACCGAAGATGAAAGATCCGTTGCAGGCCTGTTGGACGAATTGGGACCCGCTGATCCTTCAGAGTTGCCTGCCAGCGCGATCCCCGTGCAGGACCAGGATCAAGCTCAGGCGGGATGCTCGTGCGGAGATCCGCCTTATGGTCTAATGGTGAGTATTGTCATAGTTGCACACTGCCCGAAATCAAAGCAGTCAACCTGCTCGCCGACATTATTTGGCTAGAATCAAAGGCTAAATCTGACTATGTGGAAGCACACCTTCCAGCAAGGTTTCCATAGATTTAGCATTGCATTCCGTGCTTCGCTATCGCGATTAACCCTAGATCTTCTAGGGGCTTGATTGCAATGAGTCTATCACGCATCTGAACTTGCCAGCCACTCAAACGTTGAAATCATACGTACACGTCGTACGCGCTTACAGTGTTGTTTCTTTGCAGCTTGCTTGTTCTGTTTGCGGCGGGCACTTTCATGCAACTTGTGTTGACTCAAAGGAGACGATTGAAGGTAAGAATCCTGAACTAGTGTGCGCTCGAGGATACAGGGCCAGCAATAGATTTGTTCGAGCTCCGCATGCGAGCATGAAAAATGTCGTTTTGTTTTCTGGACTAGATGTATCTGAAACGGACCAGTATCTCTGTCTACGTACGTCGCTCAACTGCGTTCTAGATACAACTGGTGCGTTATCTTCTTGCTCGCAGGGTCGGAAGCTTTCTGCTGCGAAGATTGCAAAGTGAAGGAGCAGCCTGGGAAGAAGCGGAAGCGACTTGTAAAAGAGAAAGACAAGCGAGCGGTGACTCGAAAAACTCGTCATTAGTTGCCGAAATCATGAGGAGCTTGAGTGCAAAGCCTCGAGAGTGATCGCTTGTGATAAGGGTCACGGGATTCTGCATGGCAAAGCAACGTCTGGCATCGATTCAGCTACCGGCCAGGCATCTAACTTTTATAGGAATAGCTGCTTGCATGATAGAACAGCTTTCAAGGTCGATCAGCACCGGCGTTGCATGATATGACATGCCCGTTTAGGCGCCGGCCATGCAGGGGCGTCTCTGTCAAGAGTCCTGTTTTAGATCATTGGCTGGTAGCTCGATCAGAGCAATTCCTCTGGCGGTCATGATGCAGCATTTAATCACAGGTTGGACTTGGAAGTTTTCAATCATGCATATGCATCTCGTGACGGTGCAAAGCCAGGATCCAACCAGTTTCACCAACGTCAATGGTGGCACTCACTAACCGGATGAATATGCATTGAATGGTCTCGCCAGGCACACACAGGTACAATCGCCATATACTATGCATGATGATTCTTTAATGAGGACAGTTCTTAATTGACTCAGGCTTGGATTCCAGACAGTTTTAAGGATCATTGTGACGAAACGTGAAGCTATTTGGAGCTGGCGCGCTTCAAAGTGTACGTGCATGGCCGATATATCAACGGACAATTTAGCGTCCTAGTACAGTGTCTTTGAGGGCCGCCATCAGTATAGTTGATACGTGGCGTACAATAGTTGGCCAACGGCACAGTGTTAAGCCCGTCGTCCGAGAAAGTCAGACTGTGCCTCTGGAAAACGCGGATCAACTCTACTTGAAATTGACTTTCCTACTCATTAAGTAATGACCTCCTCCGAAACTGTACCGCAACGAAATGTTGACGTCCTTCGTTTCTCTCTAAAGTCTGGGCTCGCCCATAAAATTGTACCTGATTAATCGTTGCACAAACACTCAACAGGCCGGGTTGCCCTCAGACGGGGGCGTACAGGTCTGACGTTCTCCCTTACGTTCTTTGTTTCTCTTTACTGCCTCCATGCCCATTTTCTGTTCCTATTCTCTTCTGGCCCTGCGACTTGATATCCGTACCCGCAGTGTCGTGGGTTACTGATCGCAGCCTCTCAGCGCCCCGACTGAGCATGAGACGTTCCAGCTTCACCATCGCTGCGGACGTCGTCAGCTCCCTCTTTCGAATGACGCTACGGATGTCTAATTCTGCAAAGCGAATGCCGGGCTTAAACGGCGAGCTGAAACCCAAGGCACAGAAACGTACAAATAGAAGCGTATTCGTGCAACCTTTCGTCAATGTGGTATTCTCTTCCACTTGCGCTGTAGGAAAGGAGCACAGCAAACCAGCACAGCCAGTGCAAAAATCCATCGAGACTTCCATACAACATTTCAATCTAAATACTTTATTTAAAAGCAGTGGTGACGCATATGCTGGCGGCATCTCCCTCTCACAAGCACACTGAACATTAGCGCCACAGCGCCTCATCGGCAACCCAAACGACCCTCTCCTTAGTATAAGGCTCTCCCCCTTTCCAAAGGAGAGCAAAAACAAGGCCTTTTGCAAAAAAATACCCTGATAGCAGCACAGCTCCCAAAGCAAAACAGTAGTTGCCAGGTCCTGACGGCAGCTCCGGTCGCCTTTCCCACCTTGCTTCTTGCCTTTCCCGAGGGGGTCCTTCAGCCCTAAGCCCAGCCCTTGCACACCCCCCACGAGCGATGCTGCAGGCCCCTCGGAAGCGGGCCCGGCTTTTTCGCCGCCCTCGGACGGGGTGTCTCCTTGCGCCGCCGCCTCGATCGCTTGCACGTCGGGGTACCGCTCCAGGGTCTGCTCGATGAGGGACACCAAAATGGCCGCCTCCCGCGGCTGGAGCTCCGCGCTCTGAGACGGATCCACGTCCTCCGCTGCACAAAAGTAGCAAGTCAGAGGTGACGTAAACTTTGTATTAGACTGCTTGACAATTAGACGGTTCGTTCAAGAAAGTGTTGAGAAAGTTTTACAAATCGGAGATCGATTGTTCCTATTGCAAGAAGTGCCTCAAGAAGAAGCAAAGCTTTGCAGCTTTGAGCCGTTCTACGCGTACTTTGCCAACTCTCTGATCGCGTGTAGATGAACTGTGGAAAGTCGAGAGCTAGCGTCTGCTGAGGCTCTTGGGCCATTCTTTACGCCCAAGGCAAAGCACGAGGCTACCGAGGAGGTGACAAAACACTAAAATACTGCTGTCGGGCCTGATTCGAGCACTCTGGTGACGCGTCTTTCTACAAGCACAGCGCAGTGCATTAGCTCCAAAATCGGGGACAGGCGCTATACGGCAGACGGAAATACAATTTTTTGCGGTATGGGTCCGATGACCAGACACCTCCGTCGCTCTCGCTACTCTTACAACTTATGTCACGCAAGCACTTCTTGAAAGCCGTCAAATCTCTTAACCGACGTCGAAAACTTGTCTCACCAGTTTCGCTGTCTGCTAGGTCCTCTGTCGCTCCGTTCTCCGCCTCTCCCCCAGCCTGTGTTCCGTTCTCCTGTTCCGGTTTCGTCTTTCCATTCCCTCGAACCTCGTTCTCCTGTACGCCTCCTTCTTGTGCACTGTCAGCCCCACCCTTGGCACCTTCGCTGGTTCCGTCGTTGGTCGTCGGAATTCCGTTTCCGCTTCCCTTCCGTTCCAGCGCCGCCTGCAACCGCTCGTAAATATGAGAACCACGAAATTCGACGTCGGATTCGCTACCTATCCTCAAGCGGAAGCGAACGACTTGCTTCACTGAGTCGGTTGAGCGGAGCGCTTCTCAGACGGCCGACCGTTTCTGAAAATCAAAATCGGAAGATACAGAAGAGAGGTGGCAGGGATACGTGACCTTTTCACGTAAAAATCATGGCCTGGCAAACGAGGCCGGCTCAGACTTCATCTCCTTTCAAGAGAGGGGGAGATAATCTGATGAAGTGAAGGATGAGTCTGGCCTCGTCGGTGGGCTCCGTTGAATATCACAAAATGCCAATGTTTACAGACTATGCCGAGGCAATCCCGCTGACGCATTCTTTTGAGCGCATACACATGTGCACGAGCGAACGCATATAAGATACAAGGACCCGCACCTCCTGCTGTGCGCGCAGCGCCTGCGTGTTCTGCTCGATGATGAGCCGCAGGTGTTCCACCACGTCCGCTTCTTCCGTGAATGCTGTTACCCTAACCCAGATGGTCAGCGCGCGGCCGGGGCGGCCATCCGCCATCAGATCCAACAGGCCGTCCGTCGGCACCTCCAGCAGCTTCAGCAGGGCCGCCTGGCACCGAGGGTTAGCGGGGGTTTACGCAGGGGTATATGGAAACGGAGGGGTTGATGATCGGAGTTAGCCGAAGGATTAAAGAAAGCGGTTTAGGAAGGGGTTGACGGAGGATCAGCCGAGGAGTTAAGAAGGGAACGACAGCCTACAGGAGGATCAAACCTAGCCAGTACACGAAGAGTCAACCGAGGGGTGATGGGCTCCGACAAGCGTCCAGTTGCTCACGAGAAGCGAACCGTCCATGGATTGTCTCACCTTTTTCTTGTAGAGTGGGTCGGACTTTGGCAGACTTACAGGAACCCTGCGGCAAGAGCGGAAAACTGGATTCATTAAGAACATGTCGAATCGGATTTTGCTGAGCAAATACTTCTTCCCGGGACATTCGTAGCGACTAGCAAGAAAGTGTGGACTGAAGCAAGAGAGATGGACCGCAATTGCGCGCCACGAAGCTTGCTGGCGAGCTTGCCCAACAAAAAGAACGGAAGCCGTCGCTTCCAGGGTTGCTCCCGAGCGCTGGCGTCAATGCCACACAGAAAAGCAGGCACCAAACGATGCATCGCGTGCACAGACAGTGCAACAAGCTGGTAGCCATTCTGTCGAAACATCAACTGCACAAGGAGATGGCCCAAGGCCGGAGCAAGGAATCCTACTTTATCCGGTCCCCAGGGGACAGCTCCGCTGGCACGAACCCGTTGTACAAAAAGAGTTGGCTGGCAGGGCGAAACCCATACGAGAAGTAGATCTGCATCAACGTGCGGGGTGCAACGTAAGACAAGGCTGTTGATCAGGGCGACCGGAGAACTGTTGGCCGGGCAATACTGCACTTGAAGTGAGAAGGAAATCTGTGAAAGAGGCTGAGGCAAGAGGTATATGGACAGTATAGAATGTTACACCAACGGATAGAACGATATTACGATGCATCCTTGATAGTGTGGGTTGAAAAGAGACTAGTGAAAGATGGTGACACCACAGGTATACCGACGATGAACCGTCAGCCCACCTTTACTAAGCCAGGCGTTTCATCAGACGAGATAAGTGAATGCAACAATTGAACGAAGAGGCAGACTTCAAGTTACAAGTGAGGAGCCAAAGTCTACACAATCTACTTACCTGCTCGCCCGCTTTGAAGTCCCGCTTGGCCGTCAGCTCCATCCGCTTCTGCCCGAAGTCGAAGTTGGCGGTGATCGGGCCCGGCTGCAAACAACCATCGCCCAGCTTCAGCTGACCTTACGCTCATTGCAGTCAATCTAGATCTACGGTGTTCTCTGCGTGCTTGGAGTTAATACTGGGTCACGACTTTTGCTCTTCTCGTTGCAACAGTCGCAACGGCAGAGTCTGCAACCGGTCTAGCGATACCTTTGTTTCTGTGGCAGAGAGCGAAACTGGGCAACGCCCCGAATACGATTATACTGCCAAGATAAACAAACTTGAGGTGCGGAATGCTGATAACAACGATTCATTACAAGCACGGCATACGGAATGAAAGAGCTGTAAATGAACGAACCTCAAGAAACGCTTTCGCTTCTGTTCTTGAAAGTATTTCAGATGCGAGAGATGTTATGTTATGTCACAAACTCCTTCTGCGGCGGGCTGAGATGCCATTACGCGGACAAGATTGGCTTAGGGTGCTCCTCTCCCACTGAGTCTTCGAATTCGTTCCAATCCCGAAGTCGGCTGGCAAGTCAATCTAGAAAGTGCGACTCAGGGATATGATTTTCCTTGTATTCGCGGAAGAGAGACAGACTGAGAATACAGTAGCACAGCTCCTGTCGCTGGGTCCGCTTCCACGACTCAATCCCGAATTGGATCTTAGTATTGGCAAGATAAGAGAAGCACACAAGATACACGACCCGTACGAAGAAAAAGAAGTAGGAATGATGGGTAAGTAGGAATCTCACCTCGTGGTTGACGGAGTCCATGGCAGGAATGAGCGCGACGATGTGGGACATTTTGCTGGCCCCCTGAACCGCGTGCGGCAGGTTGTTTTGCCGCACCAACACGATCTGGAGACACGTGGCACCATGTGAGCTCAGGCACCCAGACAATGGAATCAGCAGCAGAAGACAGTAGCTAAATAGCGTTGTACCAAGGCCGACCCCGTTTATCCGAACTGATTTTCGCATTCAGTTAGCAGGCATCTTGTTCCTCAGTGTCAGAAGAGACAATCTTTGAGAAGGGAGAACAAGAGAGTCATGGAAACCGTCAACAACTTCGGATGAATGGCCCGGGTAAGCTAAGTCCGTCAGCCGACAGAAGGAGGGGGATGCTTACCGAGACCGCCCAGAGCCACTCAGAGTAGCAGAACCACTGGTTGGCACGTGCGATGGCTGGCGAGTAATGTCCGAAGCTCGCAAGAAGGCTCCGACACTGGACATACTGCCGTACGAAGTTGCGGAGATTGCGGTAGATGTCGTACAGGGCCTGCAGATTATAGCGATATTATTGCTCAAAACCTACAAAGAGATCTTCATTCGAAGCTGTGATGAGCCGTCACTTTCCAAAGTTTACGAGCAATCCCAAGGATGCCTCAAGCTTCGAACCGCTCTGACCTTCTCAGACTTTGAATCGATGGTTCTACGCTTTGAGTTACTTTTCAACACGTGCTAGAAGCCAGCAGGAAAGCGGGACAGAGCCAGTGCACAATCCCAGCAAGTCCGGTGACCAAGTACGTAAGCCGAGATCGCTTAAAATGTCTTTCGGTTAGTCTGCTACTTGGTAAGTCTATCAACCAGACTTGGGCTTAGTACGACTCGGACGATCCCAAGTGCCAAGGGGTGCACCACTTGCAGAACGGAGTGGACAGCGGAAACAGCGCTCCTCACCTGTGTTCCGTCCAGCTTTTCCAGGGTCTCAATGCTGCATGCGAAGGCCACAATATTTGAGAATTGGATTTTCGCGGAGAAGGAGACCCGTTCGCATCTTACAGACAACAGAGAGTCCCTTCCCGACAACGTTTGACTTCGACAAGCAGTACTTCGAACAGAAAGTCCTGCAGATCAATGGCTTGACAGGGCACCAAACCTAGATTCCCAGGCAAAGGCAAGCGCCTCTCTTAGACGAGTTCCTCGGCTTTAAGTTCCTTGACAAGATCGGGTTAGTGCGTTAACAAAGAATCAAACAGAGCTCCTGTCATCATCCTTGAGCCGGTTTTGAATGCCGGCCCTGGTTTTACAGGATTAGGTGATTGCTGCCCTGATCACCTGCCTTTCAGTTCCCTAAGTAACATCCAATCAATGTGAAAATGATGCCACTGCTAGGAGGTGATGCATCATGCGACGCCTACCTGTAACCTAGTGGCAAGAAGTAACCATCGTCCAGTCCGGGCAATGACTCAATGTAGCCCTTCCAGGGAGAGGGGTCACTCGACGGCCGGTGCTGCAGCGAGCACAGAAAGAAGTTCGGACGTCAACACTGATAACTTACATCCGTATCCAATTTGTCAATTCAAAACCTGCAAGATCTCATTCCACCGAAGCATTTGTTTTCTTTGTGGAAAAGAGTCCAGCTAGGTGCAGGACATTCACCGGGGCTTGCAAAACAACTTCGAAGTATAAGCTCGCTGCCCTAAAACCGAGAGTATAATCATCGAGCACCCGCGATTGGAGAGCAATGCTGGAAGGTTGCAATCGCCGCCAGCAAGGAAGTTGCTTCATACAGGTGACGGTCCACCCATGGTCCTTCCTTTCTGCACTGGCGTCTGAAGTTCCAGAAGCCACACTCTGAGTCTTAGAAGTACTCTTCTGTTTTCCACTCTGGCTTGGTCCGCGGCCCCGCGCACGCTAGCTCTTCAGAACTAAGCAGATGCCCTGCAAACAACTTGCCGAGCCTGCTTGCCCCCCGTTCTTCAAAACCTGTAATAGCGCTACCTTGTAGGGCCTTTTAAATTGAACGTTTCAGCATCTCACCTTCTCAAATAGCAGGTGCAGTGCCAGCTGCAGCGACCCCAGCTCTTGCACCAGGCCGCTTGCCTGGATGAGCACCGCGCAGTCCTTCTTGGCAGCGGCCGCCGTCAGCTGTGACATCATGATGCCCTCCGGAACCGTGAAGATGAGCTCGCCCTCCTGGAAGTTTCTCGTGGCGACCACCCCACAGCCCTCCCGCAGATTACTCCGGAACTCGACGCCGTCCAACTGAGTGGGACAGGGGAGAAGTCTCTAATCTACTTTGCCAACGTGTACGAACATAATAAGTTTCACCCCATTGCTGCCCCAAGCGGCACGGTGGGGATAGCTGGAGGTTAGAGGAGGAGTTAGGGCATATTATGAAGGTGCTAAGGAGTCTGATTACGGCCCTTCGAACTGCTGGTTTTTCTGTCCAGTTCTTCTTTGTCCCGGATGCGAGAGTTCCTTGGCAGCGAATGAACCCTCCAGGGAGTGCACATCTGGTTGCAGTGTCATCTCACAAGTCGAACGCTGGGTTTGAAAACAGGAACACTGAGTCCTGAGGTTTTGGAGCCTGTCAGCAGACTGCCGTGTTCCTTATCTACTTCTACAAACAACGGAACTGTGTCATGTGTCGCTCTCATAACCTGAATTTCCGGCCTTTTATTTAAATGCATGATATAAGCCCAATGCTCCTTGAAAAGTTGGAAGATGGTCGTATCACACAAACTGCGTTTACGACAAAGAAGGGAGTCACATCTCCCCTACCGTAACGCCCTTGTCCTCGAGCCATTGCTTCAGTATTTGCAGCCGCTTCTCTGGTGTCCGCTGCTTTTCCTTTGGGTGCACCACTTGCTTCTCTATTTCGCTGATCTGTATCACAAAAGTTTCAAAGTGGGTAAGGGAAGCACGCACGAATGTCGCACAGCAACTGAAATGCAATGAATCAGCGCTCAACTCTTGAATAGTGCAAAGCATCAACAATGAAACGGAGGAGATGTCTGGTTCTGCAAGGAGCAACTTTCAACTTAATCAGTCTGCATCCTCCGGAGGCACGTTTCAATCTACTATGAGGGAGCAATTCGGGCCTCACAAGCTAATTTGATGTTTGCGATAGATTGGTAGGGCATGCTGGGCAGGCTGCCAAAAGAAACCCTTACCTTGGAAACAATGTCGTGGAGCTTTCTGGCGCTTTCCAAGGCTGTTGTACCATCTAATGGGTTTCCAAATGCATCGTGCGGTCGCATTGACTGTGTTTCGAGCTCCTTAAGCAGGCTAGCCAATGTTGTTGGTGCTGCAGGAATTGAGAGCGATGTTGTCAGCAATGTCACCATATTCAAAGGGACACATTCCCTTGGTCACGTGTAGAAAGCTTAGCTGGCGTAGCTGGGTGTGTCCTAGAAGTGCAGGCCTCGGTTGGTCATTCTTGACCATGTCCAACACTGACCTTGTTTTTTAAGTAGGAGCACCACCGGTGGCAATCACTTCTAAACTGTCATCTTAACTTTTTGGAACTGCTGCGGCAGTCACCCTATGTAAGCTGGCCTGGTGGATGGTTTAGGAAATCAATGAAAAATACGGTTTGCCACATTCTTTTCTGTGAATGATGGGGCCGTAATATTCAGGGAATGAAATTAAACTTAACGGACAGTAAGTATACGAAACCTTCAGCAGTGGTGAAAATTGCTGCCGGACAGTTTGTGGCAATCAGCAGTCTACATTCCTTGTAATCTGACTGGACAGCAGCCTCCGCAACATGTGTTCTTCGCGACTATGCAAAGTCATTTCGACCCAATGACGAGGCGAAGTCAGACTCCTCAGAAGGCAATGCAATAGATTTTCAAGGCAGACCACAATGCAAAAGAGTTTTTCAAGCGGACATGCTCAAACTGCGAGGACACTCTCAAACACAGGAGGTCCTGGCAGGAGCTTTCAAAGAAGAACGACTGTCACAAAACCCTGTGAAGTACATTCCTTCTGCCTTTCTGGAAGAGTAAACAGAAGGTCGCCACCAGAAGAAGAAGCAGCGCCCCTGGCATTGTTATGAAGCATTCTTTTACGAAGACGATGTTTCTGGAGCACAATTGTTTCACTGGAGTAGTTTTTGGGGCAGTCGTTGACTGTTGCGCGGTGTTTAATCCATTCATGATTGACCTGCATTTGCTGCATTTTGAGGCATAGGAGCTCAGTTGAAATGAATGCAAGCGGCTCCAGGACAGGGCACATTCCATGGGCCAGAACGGGAATGAATGTGGACGCTGCGTACTCACCTTCCTCCACCTTTCCGTCAACTCCAGCCCCAGCCTCAGTTCCAGAACCATTTTTTCTTTTATCAAGGGCAAGCAAAGAAGGCCCTCCTGGAGAGGTGTCGTTCCCATTCTGCAGGCCTGTTTTCCCATTTGCAGCATTCCCCGACTTAACTCCGGAAGGCTTCCTCTTGGCCTTCATCTCTTGGTCTCAAGCAAACCAGCTCAAGCAGCCTCCGCAGAATCTTTTGGTCTTCCTCTTGGAAGGGCCCCACCTTCAAATTGCTACACACATGATACAATGCCTTCTGGCTCTCTAAGATTAGTATTGCTCCTGCTAAAAGCAAGATAGGATTGGCGCCACGCACATACAAGAAGATGGGAACTGGAATCTTCGACCGCCCTTCCACAGTTCCACCCTTGTGCCAATCTGGCGTCTGGCACCACGTAGGCCTACTGTGCCTCGGGCAGTCTGGTCTGCCAATCAATTGGCAATTCCAGATCGACAGCTTCCGGGAGTATACGTGGAAAGGTCATTGCGGATTGCAAAGCCACGTGCAAAGTTCTAACCGTCCGATGTGGATAATTTCCCATCTGGACGACGTACCTGAGGTTTTTGGGCAGATCCAGATCCATATACGAGAAACAATGCAACATAGCATATGGTTAGCCTGGATTTACATGCATCACGCCTTCCGTAATCACGTGGTTCGATCATCCAACAAGCGTCCTTTAAACTAGCACGTGGACGACACCGTGGCGAGGCGGGTGCTCGCACAGTTGATCCTGTCAGCGTCAGCAAGAAGCGCTGATGTCAGTCGCGCTAACTGCTAAGCTGCGCAAATTTCCGGCCAACTGCAGCATTTCCATCCTCGAAGCCGCCATTGTTAAGATTTGTAGCAGCTATGGCAGCACTACTGAGAAAGGCTTCGACTTGAGTTGCCTAATTCCCAGCTGCGTGCGCCTGCTTGCCAATTGGCAAGCTGCCACCTACTGACCTTAAGTTAGCTACTGACATACTGGAGGTTGAGGATATACATGCGAAGATTGAGGTAAACTCTGCCCCGATTCAGGGCCGACAGCTTGAACCCGGCTACTTCGAGCTTGCAATTGTGTTTCCTAAAGCACATGCAGCGCTGCAGCGCCTGAAAGAGCATGCAGCGGGCATGCAGCAATATCTTGCGATGGCACCTCACTTCTACTTCTCTAAAATGAGCTTACTACTTCAAAAATTGCAGACGCATATGCCCGTCTCAACCTAGATTTGTGCCTTCTTGTCAAGCTAATATATAATCTCTTACATTTTTTGAAGTAAGGCCTTGGCAAACTTCACATGGAGGGTGTGGCTGGCCTTGTATGCAACTACATGAGCATTAGGAAAACCTGATCCGTCTACTTCTGCAAGAGCGAGGTCCCCAATCAGATCGAGGAGTTTGTGTCGACATGGCTCGTTTGGGAACCTCAACGGAGGATTCAACCAGCCCTTCGAGATGCTGCACACCAGCGCATTTTCGAGCGAGCCGCCCTTGATCAACCCCGCGACACGCAGCTGTTCAAACTGCTCGAACACTCCAAAAGTACGGGCTGGGGCAACGTCGTTCTCGAAGCTTGTTCCTGGTCCCTCTTCCGGTGTGTAAGTATACCAGTGAGGTCCACCGATGGCAGGGACCTGAAGAAGGGCAAAAGGCAAGCGTGGCGAAAAAGAAAGCAAGGAGCGTGCATTTGCGTCTCCAGAAGTTGCACTATCGAACCAGGCGTCGAAGCACAACTGCCCGGGAGCCAAGACAAAGCGAGGACCAAATGTATAAATAAGACCCTTCACGGCTGTTCTTGGAGGATAACCAGCACCGTCGGAAGCTCGTTACAAAGCACCCGAATTGTCGCACCCGTCTATCAGGCTCGTGTGTAAGTTTTTCGGCACAGTCCTCTAAGAAGTCAACTTTAGAGAGCAGTCATTTGAGGTCTGCACTTCAAAATAACCGGTTGGCTCCTCATCCTTCTAGCAAACGGAGCGTTCGTCCACGTTTTTACATACCCAAGAACAGAAATCAGGCAAGTCTTGACAGCAAGCGTTCACTCTATTCTGGGTCATTCGCGTGTTGGACCCGGCAAGGTCTGCTTCGAACGATCATGTCGAGCGACTCGAGTTCAAGGTGAAGCACAAGGCTTGGAGAAACGTACCTGAGGAAAGTGGATACCGTAGGTGAGCATCGGCCTAGCAGATGGAAAGCCGGCCACCCAGGCGTCGCCCTCACGGACCGTGACCACCTCTTTCAGTGTCCTGGAGCGCCGTTCGACGTGCTTTCCGTTCCCGTCCACAGCTGGCACGATCCCCGCCTCTTTGCAGGCGGCCACCCAGCCCGAAGCAGAACCGTCCAGAAGGGGAATCTATCGACAGAGCAGATTGAAGGCAATTTGTTGGACTTCCTTGATGAACTGATGCCTCTTTAGAGCTCGCGGTGAGAAGCTGCAGGGCCCCGGCTTCTACAAGGTTTCCAGCGCAACTTCTGCACCGCGTTCCAGACAGTCCATGCCAAGAAAGGGTGACTTTGTTGACCTGGATTTACACGCAGCGAAGGTTGGGATACAGAAGGGGACGAATTGGACATATTCGTGAGGCCTAATGGAAGCATCCGTAAGCACCGGCATCCATGTTAGAGCAGATGCATTCGTCAAGTTGCTTCTCCTCTTTTCGCGCCAGATCAGGAAAAGACATGGATCGTATGTATAAGCGCACTAGAGACAATGAAATATTGAAATTTCCTCAGCTCTACGGGCCACCAATGACCATAGGAACCGTGCCTCACCTCATTACCCCCGGTCATTTGAACTCTGACATTGTGCACGCCAAGACCTTGCAGCGCTGATAGAAGGTGTTCGACTGTCTGGACCGTGCAGTCTCCTGCTCGTACTGCGGTGCTCAAGCGTGTGTCAGAGACGTAATCAACGTGTGCAGGTATCTGCAATTGGTTCAGTGATAAGTTTTCTCTGATGCTCTTTGAGATGCAACAATGCAACTTCATGATTAAGTTTCCGTGTACCGACGTGAGGCAGAGCCTGCGACAAGTCCTTTTGTAAGGACTCTCCTGAACAGACCTTGACCCGCTTTTACAAGCAAGCGATGGACTACAAATCACAAACGAGAATCCTTACTTTTTCTCATGGTAATGAGATGAGTCCAACTTGAGATAAGTCCAGCTTTGATCCAAGTAACATCTCATTTGGCTTGACCTTCATGTTTTCAGAAATCTCAACCAGTACTTCTAGAAAAAAGGGCTGGAAGTCGAGTCTGAAACAAGCAGGTGGGAACTCTTCAAGCATAAGAAGGTTCAGGCTTACCTCCTGTGACGACTGATTGGAGCCTTCAACAATGAAGCTCCTTCCAGTTCCTGCTGGAGCTGGTAACAAGGTAACGATAGACTCTACACCAGAGTGGAGACCGACACCGCGTCGCGTAATTGACACCGCCAAGGTTGTTTGGACTCCGCTCACCTGTGCGGTCAACGTAATGGATATCAATATGTGCCACGCCTGCCACTCAAAAGTGCATCTGATGTTGCCCAGGACTGAAGAAGTGTGATGCATCAGGGTGCGGTCAACGTAATGGATATCAATATGTGCCACACCTGCCACTCAAAAGTGCATCTGATGTTGCCCAGGACTGAAGAAGTGTGATGCATCAGGCTGCATTAAAGATCTCTGCCCCAGACTATTTTCTTTGGACAGCTATTCTCAAATAATCAAGCATGCATGGCCGATGCGCGCCCAATGGCAGTAGGGGCCGCTCAAGAATCTCACCTGGCCGGCATCGTCATCTCTCTGAGAAACAACAGATTCGTTGGTAACTGCAGAGGCTTGACTGAATGTGCGAAGTTTTGGCTGCTTGGCAACACAGTCCTGTTGTCTGCCCAGGCCAAAGGTTTTACCACTGTGACCAACTTTGATTTTGATACAACGTGCACCATTCGCATATTGCACAGGTTGTATTCCGCCCTGAAGGCTCCTCCAGATTGCAGTAGCTGTTCTCTGCAGGCCAGTTGCCCGCTGCGTGATGCTTGTTCCATATTGCTGTGCTAGCGGGGCGGCAATCTGACCAATGGGACGCAGCATTGTGGATGTAGAGGAGGAATTCAGAGAAGACTTCATTGCAGAACTTTAGATTCTGCAGTACCACTAAACATCAGCCTTGTAATATGCCTCTCATTGAGAGGCGCAAAGGCAGAAGGGCACCCTCACGACCAGGCAGAAGGCCTTATGTGGATATATGTCCGAGCGTAGCCGTCACAGAGAGTCCTAATTATCGCAGTGGAACAAGAGCCTGATTACAAGAGGAGCAATCGACCGCTGATGAGGGCAAGTGAGATGCTGAAAGCGATTCCGCCTTCACCGACAGTTCAGGAGAGAGCACTTGGAATTTGAGAGTACTTTATATAATACGTGCTGCTTTCAAAAGTGCTAGTGCCAGCTCCACTTATCTGACCAAAGTACGCCAGATTGAAGTACCTACTGTAGAAGCCCTTTCCCAGACGCTGTCGACAACAACAAACTGGGCAACGAAGTGGGCAATTGCCAATCAGATCACCTGCATGAGGAAGAATTGTCCGTTCCTAAGCGTGATCCCCCGCAAATGTGATCGAACTAGAATGATATCGACGATGTCACTTGCCTCAGGCTGGCGTGCAGTTCCGTCGCCCGTCCGGCGATCGGACCTGGCCGGATTCGGAAACTGGACCGGAATCCAGCAGCCCACGGCCTGTGTTGAACTTGCAGTCTGCAGATGCAGAGAAGAGAGTTGTCGACGTGCCGCTTTGCAGCTTGCGTGCACTGCCAGCAGCCTGCAGGGGGAAAAGGAAAGGCACGGAGCAGCTAGAGAGCCTGCGGGTATCATCATTATGCCACTAGCACCGGTGCCAGGCGAGTAGGATGCCAGCTCTCAGCGTTTCATGGCAACGTGGTGACCATGCTGCTCGTCCAAGCGACCGGGCTCGCTAAGAAAGAGTGCTGATGGCGCCAAAGGCCTTTTCTCAGCTGAGGGCGCGGATCGCCCTCGGGGCCAGCAGCCTGGTGGGGGTGCAGGGGTATCTCACAAGCTGGTATTGGCAGAGGAGCCTTGCAGCGACGGAGGACGTTCCCCTGCTGGCCGCCCTGACTCAGCGTTGCTGCATGAATGGTGGCACCTTCTTTTGCGACGGCAGGATTCCGGGCGCCTCGGGCAGATACCGCAACGCTCAGTACTACGGATCTTGTTACAGGGATCCGGGCGGGTGAGGATGGTGTTCCAACACCCGTTTGCATTGCCTGTTTGCTTTATGAATGATCAGAATGAAAATAGGTTGGCAGCATTCATTGCTTGTGGCCTGATCTAGAGGCGTAGGAGCTCCGGCAGGGCACCAGCAACGTTGTCTAAATGAAGGTCAATATGGTGGTAAGTTGTACACGTCAAGAGCAGTCGACCCTTGTGCTGGCAAGCTGCAGAAGTGTTCTCCAGCTTGATCTTGGAACGAAAAAGTATGTTCCAAACAGAGAAGCTGCGACATAGACCAACTGCTGCTGATGGCTTATCAGCTTTCAACCACCTTCTCATCAAGCGCTGTGCATCCTGCAGGTCGACCATAAATGTCACCGGTCGCAAGAAGCCCCGCCTCCTGCCTGGGTCATATCAGGGCTCGCAGGCGAAGCCAAGCCCCTGGCAATCTTTGCCCTTGTCAAACCAAGCATCCTTTCCAATCAGTCCCCAACGAACGCCCCAGTTAACCCATTCAAAACCTGGCCCCGCTTGTCCAAGACCTTGGCCAAGTGATGACGTTTCCCTGTCGAGCCGGCCACTGCTCATCGCTCCCCTCTCTCGAGCACCGCTGAACCTTGCCAGCTTCTCGGGGTTCACGAATGGACAAGCTGCCGCCTATTCTACTCGAGCGACCCCCGGAGCAAGCGCGCACCACAGCCAGCTCAATGCATCGCGCTCATTGTTGAGGACCGCTAACGTCGCAGCTGATCTGGCCAACGACTCTGCCGATGTTGAACGGAGGGCGCTCTCAGCCCAGGCGGCTTTCTCGGGGCGCACCTCAGAAAGCGCTTCGCCAAGTAAAAAACCCCCCTTTGCCCACTTAGAAACAGCCAGCCAGTCAGACCCGCAAGCAGGGTGCTCACAATCGTCAACTGCTGGGGGGGGTGCTACTAAGTCAGAGCGCAGCCCGGAGAGGGCACAAATGGACCCCCCGTTTCTGTATCGAGCCAGCTCGGCACGTCCGCAGCAGGGGGAGTCGCAGCATTGTCAAATGGGGCCTCGCGACGCATATGTGAGGGGGATGCATCTGCAAACCAAGCCGGCGGAGCAGGGTCTCGATGAGGGGTGGTACTTCAACGCAGACGGGTTCAAGTCCGTCCAGTGGGGCAGGTCAGTAAGAGGGGCCCTCAGCAGCCGCCCGCAGACCCCCGGGCAGAGTCAGTCTTGGAACGCATCCAAGCCCTGCCGTCAGTTCTGGAAGCCGGGCTGGATACTGTTCTTATCCAGAAGCGCTGAAAGTCCCCTTGAACCTGATTCAGTCTTGATGTTGCAGTTTGACTCTGGAGTCACTCCTGCTTCCGAAGAGTGCTGTTGTAGACTCCTTATAGAAGATCAGGCTCTTGACTCTTGATGTGATTGTACTGTCAGTCTGTCTTGTAGGACTGCCTTTTGAATACCCCCTGAGAGTTCAATTAAGTTTCCGACGAGCTAATGAGGCTGCTGATTACCTACTTAGTATCTGCTTTGGAATACAGTGGCCCCGTATCTGAGCCGCCCTAGGTCCTTGCCAGCAGACGATATTTGCAGCTTAAGCATACCCCTTCCCTGATCTTGCTCTCGTGACCAACCTGCGACTCTGATCTTTTGTTACAGCATCCCTGCTGAGGCCTTCGAGCGCTTCAACTGGGCGTACAGCCGCCTCGAGATGGTCCCTTCCACCACCGGCAGGTTTGTGGCCGTGGAGTTCGCCACTCCTGACCAGACAGATGCAGATGGCACGAACGGGAGTCGTGTTTGGAGTGGTGCCGCGGAGGGGGCTGTTACTGTTGAAACCGGCAAGCCACCAGTGGTCACTCAAAAGGTGGATACATTTGAAATTCGGGACCAGAGGTTGAGACCAAGGGGAGTGGAGACGGAGGGAACAAGAGGCGAGCCGGTTGGGGGCAAAGGGGCGGAGGACACACTCGGGGATCACCAGGAGAACGAACGAGTGGGAGCGGCCGTGTCTGAGGGGGCGTGCGAATGTGGGGTAGTCGAGATGCGCGACGTCGGTGACTGGAGGCCCGAGGAGGCGAGTGTTGCGAAGTGTGACGATTGCAGTGGGGATGTGAGGGGCGCGATCACTGCCGAGCAGGGGCAGCCGTTACGAGTAGAGCTGGAGGGAGCGCTTGCAGACCGGATTCCGGAGGGGAAGACGACCCTGGAAAGAGAGTCAGCACATGGGGCAGAGCGGTTGGAGCGTAGAGATGCTTCTGGAATGTGCGAGAGGCCAGAGGCAGCGACTGTGCTTGGGGCGGAGAAGACAAATGCAGGCGGGTGTGCGGAAGTAGGGGTGGAGCAGGATGCGGGTTGGCTGGAAGGAGTGGTGATGGAACCGGTGCCGGCTCCAGTTCCGACAAGGCCAGAGCCCCTGTTTGGGAGTGGGCTGAACGAGGGTTTGGGAACGAGAGGTGGAGTCGTGGAAGATTGGAAGGCTGCTCTGCCGCACGAGGGGCTTGAGAGCAGTGAATCGGACTCTGCCTTCGTGGGGGGGTGGGAGGGCATCCGAATTGAGGGAGAGGGGGCGCTTGAGGGGTTGGAGGAAGCGCTATTAGAAGAGGCGAAGTTGGGCGTTGGAGAATTGGAGGCCACTAGAGGGGAGGGATTGGCTTCAGGCGCTTCTGTGGGTGGGGAGGAGATGGTGCAAGATGCGGAGGGGTGGGAACTTACGGTCCTGCCGGAGGGTAGCGGAGAGGTTGGATTGCTTCGAGGGGGGGAACACGAGCAGGGCTGGGGGCCCGTGCAAACGGAGGAAGAGTCCGAATTTGCGGCTGTTGCTGGGGGGGTGCAGGAAGACGAAAGGGGAGCGAGAGAGTTGTTAGGACGGGTGAACAAAAGGTTCGGGAGAGAGGTCTGGAAGCGCCAGAAGCTGGGATTGGGCGGTAGCTCGACGAAGCTCTTGTCGAAAGACGTGTGGAGACGAGTGCCGCTCGCCACGCAAGCGGGGCCGTCGGGCCAGACCGCAGATCAGCGGAGGGTGGATTCCAGGCCCGAAAATTCGGGGCGGGTCCGAAGAGGCTCGGAGGAGAAGGGAGGAAGGGGGGTTACGGGTGCGGTTAGGAAAGACGTGCAGGACGCAGAGAGGGGGAAAGAGGGGAAACCCTCAAAGCGAGCCCGGTTGGAAGGCCGGGCTTTGTCACGGGAGTCTCGGGAGGTGGATGACGTCAGCAGGGTAGGGTCTGAAGCGGAGGCGCAGTCTGCGGAGAGGTCGGGGATGCTCTCCTGGGCGGATTTGATGGCCCCCGCTGCAAAGGTGAATTCTACTCTGAGAGTGGATGACGTCAGCAGTGTGGGGTTCGAAGCGGAGGCGCAGACTGTGGAGAGGGCCGGGATGCTCTCATGGGCGGATCTGATGGCCCCCGCTGCAAAGGCTGAAGACAGTTTGCCCCCGAGGCGGATGCTGTCGTGGGCTGAGCTGATGCAACAGGTGGGGCCGCCAGTCGAGGCGGCGACCAGACCGCATCTCCCGGCATCGAAAGCGGCGGTTGAGAGTGGGGGAGAAAGTGAACGGGAGTTGCATGGCGGGCAGGTCGTGAACGAGGGGATCGAGGGTGTAGAGGGGCGGCCGGCCGGTGTGAACTCCCCAGAGGTAGAAGCGGCCCCCAGGGACGTACGAGGAAGGCAGGAAGAGTCCCTAGACGGGGGGTTGGTGGGCGAAGGGTCAAATGGAGGAGCGATCGCAAAAGCAGGGCTTGAGGGGCTGGAGAAGGTCCGACGAGATATGGGGATTGAAGGAGAAAGGTCGGGGGACGCGAAGGAGAGCCTGCTTGCCGACGTCGAAGATGGGGCTCGACGGGTGGAGCAGGCAGCTGTTGAAGGGCCCCATGAGGCGGCGGTCTCAATAAGCGAGTTGCGAAGCTCGACGACGGAGGCAGAGGCGCGAATCACATTGGGTGGGGCTGAGGAGGAGCTTCGAAAGGAGGCCGCTGCAGCGAAGGGAGCGCTTGTTTCACAGGAGACGGCGCAGGCAGAGGCAGTGGCAGAGGGGGCACCTCAGGCAATTGAAGAGAGTCTGAAGGAGCCGGAAGAGAGTCTTCTGGGTCGCTCAAAGGTCCAATCGGAAAGTGACATGTGGCAAAAGGCAGAGGCGGTCTCTCCGGGTTTGTCACTGGAGGTGGGGTCCGAGGGGCAGACTGTGCTGCAAGTGGAAAAGAAGCAGGCACGGAGCGTCGAGAGGAAGGCCAACAAGGTGATGACACGTGGGCAGCTGGTTGAGGCGCTTGGGAAGGCGGGGACGGTGCAGGAGGTGGGGCGGTTGGTGAAGCAAGTCAAGGGAGGCCTAAAAGCGAGGGACGAAGTTTGGGTGAGTTGGATCATAGTCGTCTTCGGTTGGTGAGTTGGATCATAGTCGTCTTCGGTTGCTGTTTTGAGTAAGGACGCTGCTTTGTGAGCCGTTGTAAGGATAAAGCAGCTCTGGTGGACGCGATTGGGCGAGGTCATGTTGCTGGGATCCAAAGTTGGTTTGCTAGAGGGTGAGGCCGAAAGGGATGAAGTGAACGCAAATTGTGCGTTGGACGCTACACGAACGCATGTGCCGCAGCAGAAGAACGGCACGATATTCTGGGACACTTCACTTTCAGCACCCCAGACATGAGTTCCTTCAAAAACCAGCAGTATGTGTAGTCGCGCGGTCTTCCTGCAGGCAGTAATGCATGGTTTCGGACCGTATTTTGTCTGGGATTGACGTGAAGAGCTGGGTATTGCGACAGCTCCCGAGGTACCTCCTCTTGTCTCTATCTACGACAGCTCGTGACGAGGCCCGTGCCTCAGCCGCCTTCGAGCCAATGCAACGGCCCCATTGCCCAATCTCACCTGTTTTATACCCCTTTTGCAGGTCATGAAGGAGCTCCGCTCCAACGGCCAGCCTGTGCCCCCATACCTCTTCTCTGCGTGGGCTCTCTGCCGCCCCAAGCGCAGACCCAGCCGCTTCCTGGTCGCACAAGCCATCCCCGCTGCGGCGGCGGTGGGGCGTCTAGACGAGGTCGAACGACTGCTGTTTGCTGATCTCGCCGCCTCTCAGAAACCGGATGACGTCACGGTTTCGATTGTCGACGCCGCGCACCTGGGAGAAGACGTCAGAACCCGGAGGGCCGGTGTTCAGGGAGCGTTAGGTGGGGTTCCGGCGGCAGGCAGTACGGCGGATGCGACTGAGGGTGTAGTGGCGGAAGCACTTCCGGGATTGGTGGTGCAGGCTGCGGCGGAGTGTTCTCTGGCGGAGACGTTTGTGTGCAACGCACTGCTCGAGGCGTATGTGGACGAGGGGCGGTGGCAGGAGGCGCTGGCAGTCTTTGACGCGATGCGGCCAGCGGGGGTTGGCTGCTCTGAGGGAAAAGACGGAGGGGTAGTTTCGCCAAAGAGGGAAGGAGAGCCGTCGGAACAAACGAGGGGTTGGGTCACTGGTGAGAATCTGGAGGACTGGGCGGAATACAGCGACCCAGATTTGGAGGTTGAGGGGCCGGTAAGGACGAGCGCAAATTTTGATGGAGCGGTACGAGAGAAGAGACCGAACGAGGGGGAAGATGCAGGCATCGTGCGCGAAGACTTTGGCTGGTTGGAGCAGACGTTTCAGGAGTGGTTGCACCGGGATGTGGATCGGCGCGGGGGGCTCAAGCACTGGAAGGACGGACTCACCCTGGAGCTGCCACGTGGGGCGTCCGGATTGGCTGGCATCGGGGCGCGCGACGTCTTCAGCTACAACCTGGCCATACGGGCTTGTTTGAAGGGGAGGCTTGAGATGGCCCGCATCTGGACGCTGCGCGAGCAGATGGAGAGGGAGGGGTTAACGCCTGACCGCGTTTCGTATAATCTAACCATCGCGGCGTGCTCGAAGCTGCCGGAAGGGACCGCGCACTTCACCACGCGCGCCCGCGGGGAGGACGCGCTGGCGCTGATCGACGAGATGCAGCAGCGGGGGATCCCCCCGAACGTGTACACGTATACAGCAGCTATCGACGCATGGGCGCGAGCGAACCAGGCGGTGGCGCGCGCGCTCCAAAGAGCCGAACCGTCCGCGATGGTGTCTCTGTTCGAGAAGATGCTGCACGACGGTCAGAAGCCGACCGTCGCCACGTACGGGGCCCTAGTCAACGGCTTCGCCCAAATGGGCGCGCTCGAAGACGCTGAGCTGGCGTTCGAAAATCTGCTGGGCTCCGGAACCAAGCCCAACGCGGGGGTGGTCAACGCTCTCCTGGCGGGGTGCGAGCTGGCGGGCGATTTTGGCCGGGCCAGGAGGTGGGTCGATCGGCTCGAGAAGGGGGGGGTGTTTCGGTCGGACGAGACGCGGGCGCGCTTGCTGTCGGTGTGCGTGAACACGGGGGGGGCGGAGTGGGTGGCGGCGCGGTGCGAGGAGTTGAGGGGGGGCAACGGGAGCTTTTTGGAAGGCATGCGGGCGCTGTGCCAGGAGATTGTTTCGGGAGATCTTTCGGGGACGCTTCCCGAAAACGAGGCAGAAGGTACGTTTGACGAGCCCGGCCCTGCTGTGCAAGAGGCCGTTCCTGTTGAGGCGCCTCTTTTGCAGTCGCCAGAGTCCGCTACGGAAAACGGAAGTGCCCAGTCGAAGGATGCAGATAGCAGGTCTTGGGGGGTCGAAGTCAAGGGAAGTGGACAGATCGACGCGGCCCTTTATAAGGTCCTCATCCAGGCGCTGGCCAAGGCCCGGCAGTTCTCGGAGTTGGCGCCGGTGCTGCGGGAGATGGCCGGAAGGGGGGCCACGCCAGACGTGGTACTGATCAACATCGTGCTGGACACGTGTGCACGTGTCAACGACTGGGAGATCACGGACGCGATCGTCGATGCGCTCGGCCAGTTGGCGCGGGCCGCAAAAGAACAGGAGGTTTCGCCGATGGGGGCGGTAAACGGCCTCCTTGTAGAAAACGATTTAGCACAGGGGCATTCAGGTAACGGCGGAGAGATCAACGCGGAAGTAGCGACTGGTGCGCAGGCACTGGCGCCCATTCACAGCGCCGTTTCTTCCCGGCATGCGGCCGGTGAGAAACGGCACCCCCGCCTCCCCGCGGCCTTCTTTGCGTCGACGTCCGAGCTGCTCGCGGCGAAAATCGATGACGTCACCGTGCGGGCGCGCGCGCGCTCGCTGATGGCCCTGCAGTCCGCCCGAGGGGAATCCCCCGAGACGGTCCTCGCGTTCTTCAGCACGCTTTGCGACGCCCTCTGGAGCTTCGGGTGGGAGAAGCGCGCGAGTCTGGTTGCGGGCGCGCTCCTCGGGCCGGGGTTCCAGCGGGGGTTTAAGGACCGGCGGCCGGTGAGCAAGGCGAGCGACAAGGAGTGGGCGCTGGACGTGCGGAGATTGGGCAAAGGGGCCGGCCAGGCGGTATTGTTCCTGTGGCTACAGCGCGCGCGAGAGGAATTTCTGGCCGGGGAAAGCGCCCCGGGAAGGATCGCGATTGTTACCGGGTTCGACGGCCGGAAGTGGGCCAAGGGCGAGATGAGGGCGGTGGTCGAGGAACAGCTGGAGGCCCTGGAGGCGCCGTTTCGGTTCAGCGAGAAGAACCCCGGGCGGTTTGTTGGCAACGGGTTCGATGTGCGCGAGTGGCTCATGGAGGACGGCATGGGCGCGAAGCTTGCGCTAAGCGACGGGGCGGAGGAAGCGGAGCAAGCACTCGAGGCGGCAGTCTAAAGGGGCCGGAATTGGTGCAATAGAATTGGTGCAATAAGGTGAAGCTGGCAGAGTTGCCGACACTAGGAGGCCGATGCGCTGTATTGTTGTACCCTGAACGGACAAGCAAATCCGTCAAATTGATTCTTTACATGTTGCTCCGTAAATCATGGAAGGTACACGCGCTATTTCATCCTTTCTGACGGTAGCGACATTGTCAGTGATTCTAACACGTGCATCGATGCATGGGGCGGGGAGCTGTCGGACTCGTGACACTAGAATAGAGCTAGTTAGACATACCGTACAGGTTGAGTCCGTCCTATGAGTCTGACAGCTCCAGGATGTCAAGAATTAATGCCCACATGGTTGTTATATCAGCACGCGCGTGCATGATGGCATGGCCGCAGGCGGGCCATTTCATGGACAGTTGCAACTCACTTGTCAACTTGTTCTAGTTGGCTGCACAATACACATAGGCTTCCTATAATCACTGCATTGTAAGCACCGCACGAATTGTACCCGTACTGCCAAAGGTATATTCGCCCCCCGAGGTCGCGAATGATTATTTTCAAACTTTTTGCATTTTCGCCGCCGGGCAATGAATTAATTTTCATTTTCGTTTTTGCTATTTCCCCCGCTAAAACATGTGTTTTGTGCCTGAAAAGCTCTGTTTATTCATTTCGACTTTTCGCATCGGGCAGCAAATAATTTCCGAAAATTTTCGCCGGGGCGAAAAATAATTATTTTTAGGCGAATTCACAATGGCAGTACGGTACTCACCTAGGGACCGGGGACCGGGGTTCCAAGCTCTGTCCTAGTCCTTTCGCGCGTCAAGCACAATTTGTTTGTCATTTATGTGTGTAGAGCACGTACTTTGTAGCATTTGATCATGGTGTGAAATTGTCTCTGCTTGTCTCACAGAGTCGCATTAGCCTTACTATTATGCCAGTGATGTAGATAGCATGCTTTGAAGCTTGTGTGCACTTAGACCATCTAATCGACTTAATCGAACGGACCTTTCCACCACAGTCTTGGCATCCTATCAATACATTTCTGCTCATTGGGCGTCCGAAACTCGGGAAAATATATATCACCGGCTACCAGCTCCCCCTTCTCTTTGAAATGCCCGAGTTTACCTAGGGGTAGATTTGCCTCTAGATGTTACCCCCACCAGCCTCCAGCACCCCCTCGGCGCACCCTCAACGAGGGCCAATGTTTGGAGTTCCGGACGCCTCATGGACGCCCTTGCACAACCGAACTGTTGTGACATGATTCCCTAAGTACTGGACCTTCTTGCTAGAGCGATTGTGGTTTAGTTCTAAGCTTTGGCGGCCGGCTCCGTTCATTGGTCTAAAGTCATTTTCGCGTGCCATTGGCGCATGAAGAAGCAAAGAAGTATCTGGCTGGGTGGCGGCCGGCCAGCTTTGTAGTGGCCCCAATGGCACTGCCAAATTGAAGTGTGCATGGCGCATTGGAAGTCGGACCCGGCCGGCCGCGCTCGGCGCGAAGGAACTGTTTTCGAATTACTGAAGCCTAAGGGTTCGGGTTCCGGCCCACGTGCCTAGCCTGGCTGCCAGCGTGGACAGAGAGAAAACCCAGCCATTATTGCACATATGTGCATTATGCATTTTTCCTCAGTGGCAAAAGGTTGCATGGGCGCCAATTCGCTCTGTCCACTGCAATGTGCAGAGTCCAGTTCGACAAAGCAGGAAAGCCTGAGGAGGACTGATCTGGGTCTGGCAGCTTCGCTGTTTGTTGAGGGTTCTTCCAAGAAAACGTAATGCAAGGCAATGCTTCAATCCATTCCTGAGCGTCCACAGTTGTGCTCAGACCAAAGCCGCCCATTGCAATCCATCTGCATACGAGAAGTCGTGCCGTCACATGCTAAAAGATGGCCCTTGTCGCCTTTCTCCTGCTGGCCCTCCTTCCCTGCACGGCGCATGCATCGTCTAGATTTCCTTGGCTCTTTGGATACAACGGGACTGGTTGCCTAAGGATTCCCAGCATTCCGTTCGTTGGCTACTGCGGGATTCCTTATGAGTTGTCCAACTTCCAAGGTGAGCATTGTGGCCAGCTTTCTGCGATTCAATTGAACGTGGAGTCAAATGTCAAGCTGAGGAATTACTGCAGTCCAGCTGTGAGCTGCAATGGCTTCTCGTCAAGATGGTCCACTATCAAGGGGGCAGCTGGTCGAATGATTGCTCTTAAAGGTTCTAAAAAGTCCTACTTAGTGACAGCTGGAAGAAGGACCTTGCTTGTGACACCTATGTATTGCCAAACATTTGACAAGAAGGGTCCCAGCTGTACGGGGCAGGAAACTTGCCAGCACCGTTTGCCAGCTCCAATTCCACACCTCTAACCACACCGCTCCAAATGCACCAATTATAAAACTTAAGCAGCTTCGAAATCTGATGATTGGCCCAGATTGCTTTGGCAGAAAGTCGAGAGTGAACCGGAAATTCAGAATGGACAGCCTTTGAATCAATCAGCAATTGTCAGATGGTCGAAATCACCTGTCAAATAGACCCTAGGATTCAGGGATGAGCTTTGGAGATACCCTTCCCTTCAGTAATGCAATGTTGACATTATGCACCTTTCTTCTCAGGGCTCTACGAATGCCCTAACGAATGTTCGATGGGGCGCCCGAAGACGCTGGAGGACGTCAAGGCTCTTGTCCGTGACCACTCCAGCGTCAAGGCCGTCGGTGCTGGCCTGTCGTGGAACGCAGAGCAGTTCTGCCCTGAGGCGCTTCCCAACTCAATTGGGATTGCAATGACAGAGCTCACCAACTTGAGGCCACTGTGAGTTGTCTGGCTGATGTCAGCATTCCCCAGACCTTGACATTAATCTGTCTTTGGAGGAAAGTTGAGGAACTGATCGCTCAGGCAAAATGGGGACAATTTAGAGGCTTTTATATATCTCTGTTCCTTAAAAAGGGCTCTTATGTGGAGTAACATCCTGCCTGTTGTCGACATTTGCGTGTGGAATGTGAACGACAAGCGACGGTGACGTCCCTCTTTTCTAGACCTTGACATTCAATCTCTTTCTGGGGGATAGGTGAGGAACGGATGGCTCAGGCAACATAAGAACAGTTCAAAGGCTTCCATAACTCTGTGTTCCTGAAACAGTGCTTCTCTGGATCAACATCATGTCTTTTGTCAACATGAGCATTGTGGGATCTAAAGTACAATTTGACCTGATGTCAGCCTTCCCCAGGCCTTGACACATTCAATGTATCTTTGGAGGAAAGACAAGGAGGCTATCGCTCAGGCAAAATGGGAACAGTGGAAAGGCTCCCAAAATTCTGTAATTCCCCAAACAACGCCCCTTATAGACTGGCATCTTGTCTGATGTCAACATCGGCATGTGCATTTCACAGGACAATCCAGCAAGGCATTGTCCGAGTGCCACAAAGGACGAACACGAACCCGCCTACAAAGCCTCTTTCCCATTGTCCTGCAGGTTCACTGAGGATCCTTCTGACTGGGACACAGGCAGTCCCGAGTTCCCCATCCAGGTCGACAAGGAGAACCTGCTCGTGACGGTCGACGCAGGAGTGCCGCTGCGCACCCTGCTTAATTTCCTGGCGTACCCGGCCTTCTTGCTGTCAAAGGATACGCCTTACAGCGAGTGAGCACTACCTACTTTTTCCCAGGAGTGTTGAGGTGCGCCTGGTTGTGTAACTTGCATGGTGTCACGAATCTATCAGCCCCATTGCTCCAATTCCTTGCCTATCTGACCTCCTCGCAGGCAAAGGGCACGCCTTTCACCTAGTAATCCTGGGGTTCAAGACTCTCTTCCCTGTCAAAAGGCCATGCTTGCCTTGCTTGTGATAAGATTGGATTTGAGCCCGTTATGGATGGCACTTGTAAGGAGTTCAGTGCGCGCTCTGCTTGTTTCTCTGCTCACTTTCCCAGGCTATCTTTTCAAGGGCGTATATGCACTTGATAGTTGTCGTCCTTATCAAATGTCACACGACAAACTCTGCATTGTCCATTCAAGAGACCAGTTGACTGTTTCCTCAACGGCGCGTCTCAGTCCCCATATAGCTTATCGTCAACATTCCAATCATACAAGGCCCTCATACCTTTCACAACATTGCAGGCTCCCTCAACATGAGCCAGGCCAGTATCTGCTGGGCGTTTCACAGGGTGATATATCCCTTTTCAAGATGCCAGAACCTAATCCGCATCCTTATTCTACAGGCTTCCACAGTATGAACCGGGCTATTTCCTCAAGGGTGTGTCTCAGATCATGGACGTAACTGTAGGCGGTGGAGTTGCTACTTCCACCCACGGCAGCAGTCAGAAGCACAGCACTCTCTCGAGCCAGGTCAAGCCTCTGCATTTCCGTCTCGCTCACATTGCCGCTCAGAAATGCAAAAGCACTTCGAGAGAGAAACTTTGGATAACTAGGTCAAGGTCAAAATGGAAAGAGCCTCAAAGCAATCTTGAGCTCCAACTTCCCACGGGGATGGGCTTTTTGCTCATCTCAGATTAGTGAAGTTTCAGGACATTGACATTTGGGAGCCGGCACATCTGTACTCGTCTAGTAGGTGGTATCGGAAGTCCTCTTGTCGTTCTCGGTGGGATTAGCTGCATAAGGCACATCAGATTCTTGTAGTGCAAGACCTTCTCCTGATCTGCCGGCAGGCTCAAAAACCAACTTGTTTGACTGGTCTTTCAATATGTGCTGGGGCCTGAAATCCGGATAGCTCAAAGTGGGGCAGTACGAATGTTGATCACGCGCTCAACTCTCAAGATGACATGCATAAAAGCCTTACCTTGGCCAATGCTCGAGTTCGAGATTTTAAGTCTGTCGTCATTCTGGGCGGCAGGTCGTTGCAATTGACGTCATCCTAGCCAACGGGACAGAGAAGCACTTTACCAAGGAGGACAACCCGCACCTTTTCAAAGCGCTTCAGGTGAGCAGGTCATACTTCAAAATTGGAGCAGCTTATTCTTCCTTGCCAAACTCTGATTACTCGGGTTGGCTGCGCTGTCAATACTCGTTTCTGCATAGCGGCCAGTCAGCTCCTTGCGTCTCCGTTCAGTCGCGCTTCTCCTCAGCTGCTCGATAGGTCTGTTCCACTGCAAAGCGCCCTTTGAAAAGTTTAAGCGTGTCGCTCTCGCAGTACTCTGATGCACGTATCTTCTCAAACTGGATGTTGAGGAAACGGTATTACTAGTTGCTTCCTGTGAAGTCCTCGTTCGTGCCGCTGGGTTTTGGTACGGAACCCTTTCTCAGTTTGAAATGAGACTTGTGCAAATTGATCTGTACCTCCTCCTGCCTGCTGGGCAGAGGGCTCTTAATCTTCGGGTTTGACTTCCAAGTATATGGCTGAAGTTGATCTCTGCAGGTCAATGTCGGTCAATTGGGCATCGTCACTCGCCTCACGTTCGAGATCGTCCCGCAACCCGTCATCAAGCGGACCAGGACCTCGCTGACCGCCTACGAGAGCATTGCGAAACTGACGGATCTTGCGAACGCGTGGAAGAACGGGAAGGCCCAAGGGAAGTCGCTGCAAGAAGTGATGGCGGAAAATGGGTACAAGGATTTCATCGTAAGTCAGAAAAGCTTTCAATTGCCTCTTTTCATGATCGCAGGCACGTTGGCATCCTGTGGCAATCTTACTTAAGATCGCAGGCACGTTGGCATCCTGTGGCAATCTTACTTAAGATCGCAGGCACGTTGGCATCCTGTGGCAATCTTACTTAAGAGATCGCCGGGTACATTAAGGGTGTATCCTGATTCAGGGATTCTAGAAGACGCTTCCTCAAGCGGGTGATTGTAGAGAGTCTTGTCTCGAGATGGAAAAAGGTTGGGATCTCACCAGTACTTGATTCTCAAGTTGGAGGAAGACACTGCTTGCGGAACCAGCTTCTCTCTGCAGAGAACGCCTTTTGCAGAAGTTGAGCAATCCTCGCTGCGGGGAAAGAAATAGAAGAAAGAAAAAAGGAAAAGCTGACAATCTGATACCTCTCTCACCCAAAGAGATGTGCTGCAAACGTTGCACCACGTGTTTTATCAACTCCTCCTCCGAGCATCTCTTTGGCGGTCCTTGTTGAGGCAGCAGCACCCAGCATTTAGAACTTCGATATCTTGTGAGATATTCTTTCCGAGCAGGAGGAAAAGTGCTGCTGCAAAACCGGTGAAACAAATCTGCAAGGCCTATGACTTACACGAGTCTGGTCTCCTCGCAAAATCTTGGCCTTGACCACGATTGGTTGAAGGGCACGGAGCCAAACACAATTCACGTTTCCCTGGTAGATGTGCACTCAACCAACCACGAACCAAGCTTGGTTAACACTGACTTTTTCCTGTGGATTATCAGGTGCTGTGGTTCATGGCTTTGGACGACAAGGAACCTAACACGTGGTACCTAGAATTGGAGGAAGACCCAACTTCATCGACTGTGCCACTCTCCGCAACGGAAGAGGTGCTGCTACAGAAGCTGCTCAACGAGCTGCACGATTTCAACGGGGCGGCAACCGCAAAGGAGCCCGAAGATCGCAAGCAGGTGGAGACGGCGGCTGTGCCGCAGAACTGTCTGCTGGGATACGGTGCAAAGTGAGCTTCTCTTTTCTTCTCTCTTTTTTCTGTTGTCCTCTTCTTTCTCTTTCTTCTTTGTCCTCTATCTTTCTTCTTTCTTCTTTGTCCTCTTTCTTTCTTCTTTCTTCTTTACTTTTCTTTCTTCTTTCTGTTCTTTTTTATGTTTTGGTTCTTTATCTTTTCTTTCCCGCAAGGAAAAACGGTGAAGTATGTATACAGTCTTTTATTCTTTTTCTTTTCTTTCCCGCAAGAATTAACGGTGAAGTATGTATACATCTGCGAGGACTGAACTCGTGAATTTTGAACTGGTTTCGGGCCCATCTGGGAGGGGTGTAAAATGAACGTCATAACCAACTAGACTAGGACTGCACGCATGACCCCAGTGAGCTTTCCACTCTCGGGCCCTCACACGCAGGGCTCACAGGATCGTTTCGACGAACTTATCGAGCTGTTGTAGAATGACCGAGATTGAAGCATATCGTCGAAACCCAAGATTCTTGCAGCGCCATGCAGACTGGCGCTGCAAAATTTAGTCCCTGCGCGTAACGGCCTTGAGACAGTCATGGGTCTGTTGCTTCACTTTCTCGTGCCTTTCCGGACCGCGAATAATGGGACTCCACCGACGGAATTCAAAAAAGAGGGAACGAAACGGCATCCGCTTGAATGACCCATCCGCCTGCGTTGAAGGTTCCAGACCAACTTAGAGGACTACCTAAACTCTCCAAGTGTCCGACAACGAAGTGCGATGTTTATGATTGATTCCACATCAACGTGAGCGAGCTCTTCGGCCGAGCTTGCTTGAGCGTGGGGTCTGTGAGATCTTTCAATTGGTTGAGTACATGGAATATGAATAAATGGTGATGATTGATGGTCTGAAACTTACTCCAGCCTCCTCCACCGCTTTACTGCTCCGCACTCGGACCACGAGCAATAAAAGCCCTGCAATGTCGGCTTGATTACCAGTTCTAACAATCTATGATTTGGACTCCCTCACAGAAAACGACTGATCGAAAGGCATCGAACCAGCAGTGAACCTCGTTTCCTTCGTAGAAGGGCACTATAACCAACCACGAACCAAGCTTGGATAACACTTGTTCCTTCCTGTGCTCTATAGACTGTTCAGCGAGATTTTCCGGAGCGTTGTCAGCGGCGGGCTGGACTCGATCACGGCGCCCGCCTTGATTGGCTACCCCACACTGCGTCCGGAGTGGCTGGCCATATGGGCGCTCGTCGGACGTACGAAAGAGTACGAGGTCTGCGTCCCCCTGGAAGAGATTGGAGAGGCGATGGACGAAGTGAGTGTTTTGTAGTTGTCGGACGTCTCGTTGCGTCAAATTGCCACCCCTGTCGTTCTTGCAGTTTTGGTCCCCGATTCTGAGCCGTTGGATGGATGGCTTTTCGATGTCGAACGTACGGTCCAGGATCTTGAAGCAAGCTCCAAGCATCTGGAAACACGATTGCAACTTTGACGCAAACAGCTGAACTAAACCCTTCTGGTTCTCAATCTTCCAATTCAAAGCTTTTGTGAACCGGCAATCGCTGAGTTCATGGGCACTAGTCGAGTGTACGTGTCCCCTTTTGGCGACCGATTGGATTGGAGAGTTGTTCAGACTTTGATTGTTCCCTGTCAGATGCTAGTATTCTTCGATCCGACGCCCTATCAGAGACGATTGGATAATTCCTCAAAGACTTTGTCTGCTCCGGTCAGATGCTGGTGTTCTTCGATTGTGAACCCAATCGAGAACGACAACGACTTTGTCCGAATCTGTTTGTTTCTGACAGATGCTGGTGTTCTTCGATCGGACGCCCAAAGGAAAAGGATTGGGCTAGGTCCTCAAGACTATATTTGTTCCTGTCAAATAGCGGTGTTCGTCGACCGGATGCCCAATCATCGAGAACAATTGGAGAGATCGTCAGACTTTGTTTATTGCTGTCAGATGCTGGAGTTCTTTGAAGAATATAAGCCCGAAGCAAAGTACGGCTTCCGGACGCCGACCGGATTCCGGCTGGCGGACGAAGAGGACGCATACTTAGCGTCCGGAAACGGAGGGCCGAGGATCTGCATGGAGATCGACGACTTCTCCTCGCTCAATACTGACAGTCCAAACTGGCAGGTGAAGGTAAGAAATTGTTCCGATCCTCTAGGATCCGCATCGGGCCAGTCAATTGTGCACGTATCATTTCATGCAACTATGGTTGATGATGAAGGTCTCATACAAGTGGCGACACGGAAACCTTGCTTTGAAAGAGTTTCCCTTCGCCCAACATCGGATCACCATGTGGCAAATGAAGTAAAAATCTAAAGGTAAGAGATCGCTCTAGTTTGAGAGGTTCTAGTTGGACCAGTCTGTCAAAGTTATTTCAATCTGGTAATAAAGGGCGACACGGAGCTGTTCAGTAAGCGTGAGGAGATTTCTTCCACGTAACACCGGAGTGCTAACTAGCAGGTTGAGGAAAGAAACGAGGTTTTCCGGCTTCGTTGTCAGTCTTAATTAGCCAACAGAGTCAGAGCAATCAAGCAGAGTCTCTCTTCTCTGCACGAAGGGAAACGGCTCGAAGCATGACGTTGACTTATATGCGACTCTGCTATATATCCTTTGTATGGGTTACAAGCATGCCTGCAACTGAAAAGCTGGCTGAAACTAAACCAATTGTCTTCGACACCCTCATTTCCTAGAGCTTTTTTCCAGACGACACCTCTCTTCCAGAATCTTCGTTTCATTCGGTGGAACTTTACATAGAGGTCCCTAGGGGCGTTAAGACGGCTAAGGGGGTCCGCCTGAATGTAAGCCGCTGCAAGAGCCATCGATGAACTACTGGCAACGTTCTGGGACTGATTGCTAGCCAACACCAATTCATGGCATCCGGCCTTTCTGTTGCAAACTCTGGTTCTTGTTGTTCACCCAGTCCGATGTCAAGTCACCGCCTCTTGTGTCAGTCCATCCGAAAGACTTTCTTATGACGAAAAAAGAAACCAGTGATACAAAGTGAGAGTTTTGGAAGAACATTCTCCTCACGCTGTACATGGCACGCAATGTTATACTGACTAGAGTGTTTTGTTTCCCAATCGCAGAACATTGTGAGTATCATGCTGAAACACAACGGACGCTTGCACTGGGGCAAGGCCGGAATGGACGAGTTCGGCCGGTGCTTCCGGGGAGCGGAACAGTGGGGGAAAGCCTGGTGCGACTTTGGGTGTGCCGTTCAAGTAAGTTCTATGCCTCTCTTTCCTTCAACGCTTTTCAGTGGCATAAACCTGAAGCTTTGCTATTTTCCCGAATCTCTACTAGCTCTATGAATCTGAAGACACGGTGCGAAGAAGCGCAATCATGGGGATAGGTGTTGCGGTGTCGTGTGTGACCTGCAAGTTTGCGTCCTTTGCAGCTTCTCAGCGGTAATAGAAGTCCCTCTACTTTTGTGCAGCTTTTCCCACAGTCCTCAAAATGTCGTATGCGAAGTTGCATCAGATATTGGTCTGCTCTTGTCGACGGTATCAGAAACATGTAAGAACGTAAGTAGCCGACGGATATGATTCATCACTTAAGTACAAATAGCCTTCTACGCAATTTGGTCTCCATCTACTCGCAAGCACTTGATCCTTCAATGGACAAGAACTAGAACGTGCGCTTGGCACGCCGAGGAAGCGTCACGTGCCCCGCTCAGGCTCCTGAGCTGCTGCAGTCATTCTTAAATGACCACGTTATAGAGGGCGTCGGGGCACCGGTCCCTTCTATAGCGACCAGAGACACCTCGCGGGGGTAGCTTGGTCGCCGAAGGCCATTTTCAGATGAAATCTGGGCCGTGTACAGAAGTGTACCTTGAATTGTGACGCCCTTTTCAAGGGACTTTGTCCACCTTTCCACTTTTCTTGTACTGCAGGAGCTCGACCCGGAGCCTCGCAAGTTCCAGTCCAGCAGCCCCATATGGGAGTGGCACGCCAAGAAGGGGGCACGTGCCGTGTCCGATTTCCAGGACTGTTGCACCGCGGACGGCTTCTCTCCGCTCTGCACGTGCGACCCTGGCCCGCGACCGGTGACCTGTACTTTCGAGGCGGAGGAGGCGGAAGCGCGGAGGGACTTTAGGATTGAGTTGTAGCGAACGGTTATCCAGGAGCAGGTGTTTTGTGTTGTGTCGTTGAGTTGTTGTGATGTTGTGATGTGTTATTGGGTCCGTATTGTCGGACGTCCGCCAACAGCAGGCATGGATGATGAGTTCAGGACAGGCAGTCGACTTTGTTTATCGGTATCAATGATTTCTAGGATAAATTGTTACTTGTCGTGCGTTTATATCCACAGTTTTTCTGGCAGGAGCAGCATGATAGTCGGCCTCTCCAGGCAAATGTGCGTCATACACCTCTATGGAATCGAAGACTTCGCTCGATCTGAGGATAGAAAGAGGCGGAAGAAACTCCTCGTGTGCACTTGTGACTGGTTGGATCCACTGAGCCATGGAGTCTTTTTCCTGAATGACATTCAAACGCGAGCCTCGGAGCCGGCCACTTATTCCATGGCGCATGACTCGAATTCATACATCAAAACCAGTTAAATGCTCGAATGTTTTGGTGAGTTCGCGGGGTCAGATTGCTGTACTTTTGACCGGGCCCGCGCCGCATGCGTGTATCATGTTAAGAGGTTTGATTTGTTGGTAGTACATATGTACGCGCATCAATCCCCCGAGGCCGAATCAAACATATTGCTGTCTTTCGGCCCGACCTTCTGTAAAGTAGTACCAAACCATTGGTCACGTAGCTGCCCAGATCTGAATTACCGTCGATACATTTGGACTCGGAAGGCCAGCTTCGACTTCGAGTTGCAAGACGTCAATGAAAGCTACATTCAGTCACACGGCGCTGAGCACAATGTGAGAGAAAGCAAACCTTTACGAAGCAGTATAACCAAGTGATTATTTGTATTCAAAAAAGTGATGAGTCCTGACTCTGTCCTTCCTTTCTCACATCAGTAACCAGATCGTTCCGGTTATTTCCTTTTCATTGTAAGGGCCTGGCATGTCCGCTGGCTGTCTTCGCAGCTCCCTAAGTTCTGGCAACCGTTTATTCAATGCCCACAACAATCAAACGTATAGTGCAGTGGGCGACTTTTTTACGTGACCCTCAATCTTATCAAGGGTAAGCGCCATGAACTTGGGCATGTGGAGCTCCTAGCTAGGAGGAGGTTAGGGTGGGTACGCGGGTGCGCGGAGGGTGTCAAACTTTGGATTTAGATGTCTAGTTGAGTGTTGTTGTTAGCCTCAAACGGCAGACTCATTGAGGCGCAAGCAGCCGCTCGCTGCCGGCGCAGTCCCGCAGTTGGGCAGGCACACCCCGCTGAAGTTTGCCGGCCGAATACGGACCCCGCCGCAGCCGCCCGCGCAATTGTAGCCATCGGGGCAGTCCGCGTCGAAGGTGCAGCCGTTGGTGCAATTCGCACACTGGACGTTCGCCTGGCAGACGGTTGCGCTGGGAACGCTTCCTCCGATGTAATCGCCACACGCGCAGTTAGTGCTGCCGGGGCCGAATGGCGTCATGATGTTGGCACACTCGGTGTTGTTGCCGAGACCCAGGTTGTTGCAGGCCAGAGCCGGGATCCCTGCGGAGAAGCAGTTCATTGAAAGTTTGAACGTAAGCTGAGAGTTTCGACGAGGGAAGATTCCAAAGAAGATATTCAATGGCCCATTGCACCACAAACATTTCTCTAACGGCGGAACTTGAGGACGACTGTCTCCTAAAGCAAGTCGCGTAACAGCGGGTCACAGTCTCGTGAAGATCAAAACGTCTGTCAGACATGCAGCAAGCGGAAACGTCTCCTTTTATTTGCTGTTTAACAAGGGCCCATCATAGGCAGACCGCAGAGAGCTCAATGAAAGCACTCTGCGTCACAAACGGTTGATTTAGGAAACGGGTCCTCTTCGTCAAGATTGTCCAGACTTTACGAAAACGCGGAGCGATCCGGTCCCTTACTCGGACAATTGATATCCACGAGGCCAGTAAAAGATGAGGGCACTTGGGCGCCATTGGTTTGGTTGTACGAACAGATAAGCCGGTTAACCTCGCCGTACCGGCACTCAAACTTGTTGAGCGGGAAAGATGCATATGTAGCGACGGGGCACGCGTACGCATTAAGGCCGGTGAGACGACCTGCAGCCAGCAAAAAAATGAACGGCGGTGAAATTGATAATTGGAAAAACAGGCACGGCGAGACTCTTCGAGTGACCAGTATCGAACAACACTTCCATAGCAATCGGTTAGAAGCCTGGAGAAAACTGAAGTGCGCTATCATTGAATCTGATCTAAGATGGAAAGCTCGAGCATTTCCAATCGCTAAGCAGCATCACTGAGTTGCGGGTTTCTGATCGAGACGCGCTCCAATGCAAAGAGGTTTCTTCGTGTCATCTTGGCGAACAGACGGCTCTCCAACAGAGACAGAGCAAAGACATGTAGCCATCTCTGACGCCATCTCCTACCGTCTCAATTTAATCAGACTTGCCCGGTTCAAACTATATCCCGTCGTTCGGAACAAATGGAGTCCAGCGTAATTTGACAACGATCAACATAGGCCGGATAATCTGCGAGGAGAGAGCTGGACAAACGGACTACTACAAAATGGTGAGGATGAGTTTTGCAATCCCAGGTGCGAGTCTCTTCACGAGTCACAGGTTCCCATTGACCCTCAATTGATCGCCGCCCTCACCGGGGCATCTGAGCTGGACCCCGAATGTGAAGGACGTAGCGCCGAGGCTCCCAAACCGTTCCAGGCTGTATGTGCAGCTTCCAAACTTGCCAGGAATGTTGATGTTGTATTCGCAGTCGACGAACAGTAGGGGACGGAGATCCACGGACTGGACGGGACAGGCCCAGGGGATAGCTGCGCACGAAGACGATGAAAGCATGAGACGAGTTCCTTGCATGATATGTGTACTTTAAAGGTCTGGTCTGCGCAAGTGACGTCTGCTCTCTTCCGCAGGAAGTCCTTTTCGAGGTCGTCAGCAGGCGATGCTTGACCCAACAGATTTATCACACAATCAAATGAACGGTTCCTGATTATTTTGTGCATTCTGAAGGTCTGATGCGCAGACCACTGCTCTCTGTCTCGGAGGAACCACTGTCGAGGTCTTCAGGTGATGCTTAATGAAGCAAACGAATAACACAATTGAAGCGTTGTTGGTGGAGAAAGCACTTCCAAGACGGTCAGCCACTTAGTAGGAAAAGGTGTCAGTGACGTCATGGCGGTGGAGAAAACCGACTTATGAAGAGCCCTCACGTGTCATCAGGGCACAGATTTGGTTTGAGGTACCCACCAGGGATGATACCCTGAGCATAAGCTTCTGGTGTAGCCCAAAGGAGCGCCAGAAACAAGCTGACCGCTGTGAACTCCAACACATATGCCGCCATACTTGGCCGGCTTTTCAGAGCTGTTGGAATGTGTCTCAGGATTGGAAGGGGACGCCGTGAATGCAAAGGATCAGGAATAGGAAGGTTGTTTTACTTCTCCACGTTCGGTCTCGGGTAGAGTGAAGGGGTTGCTAGTAGTCTGCTTCGCTGAAGCGACTGGTTCCTGGGTTTGATGGAGAAGCAATGAGCGAATGGGAAACTTTGATCTGGGAAAAAGCTGCTAATAGTGGGAGCGACGAAGGAGCTGCTGATACAGTGAGCCTGATTTTTGCTTGTGGTGTTCTTAAACAGACTCATTGATCAGGAAAGTGAGAAAGTTAACTGCTCCGGCACTTTAGCTTTCTAATGCGAGTGCCAATGGCGCAAAGTCTCGTTGATTCTTTTTGGTGGGTCGAAGTTACTATGTAGGACAGAGTCGAACGCCGCACAACCGTTGCGCTTCCGACTATTGTTGGCGCCAACTCAATGTCATCATCTGCAGTCATCGAAAGAATGCACGTGACCTTGTCTAGGCTAGAGAAGACCGAATTACAACAACAACGCAAAACTTTCATTCGGTCCCGTGACCCCTGGATTTGTGCGGCGCGTCGAACTTGTGCCAACGTGGGCAGATTGGAACAATAAGGTCTCCCCGCAGGAAATTCCATCTGAAAGCCTGCTTTCTTGATCGGCTTCGCTGCCCACTCGGCGCCCTTAAAGACGGTGAGCTGCGTCTAAAACTCTGCTGGGATGGGGGACCGCGTCAGCACTCGAACAACCGAGGCCCTTCTTGCGAGGCACGAGGCCGTTGAGGGGCTCACCGGACCACGGTAGACGGGTCGAGGGGCTCGAGAACTCCAAACTTGGACTAGGTGTTGCCGCGCTTGCGGAGATTCAGAAGTGAAAGGGTGGCGTGGGCGTCGGCGCGGCGCGGGAAGTGGACGAGAGAGGAGGGGGCTCCTGCTAAGCCCACTACGGTACCTGATCAAAGGCCGTGCGTTCCTTCCGGGGCACGCGGGCAATGAGGCCCCCTTGGCATAGTGCGTGGCGCCGTCTGAGCTGCTCGCGGCATTGAGGTCTCTGTTCGTCTGCACGGCGGCGTGTCCACGTGTTCGTTTGCATTTGTGACAGGGAAAAGGACGGAGAAGGTCTCGCTCCTGCGGCCGGAGGTCTAGCGGGAGTTGGTGAAGAGGAGATCGCTCTGCCAGTCTTTTGGAGACTGAAGTGGAGAGAGCCGGGCGGCCTGTGGGTACAGCTGGCGCGCTCGGGCAACAATTTATCCGATAGGAGTTGCCCAACAGCGGGAGGCCAACCGGTCGGGGCCGGCTCTTCCGCTTCGATTCCGTTTCCGTTTCCATTTCCATTTCCGTTTTCCATAGACGCAGCAGTTAGGCTGTCTTGCAGCGAGCCCCGGGCCAATCAGGCGCGCTCGAAAACGCTGGACTGGAATCGGCTCGGATCGTGTATGCAATCAAGCATGGAAATAAGCTTCCATCCGGAATGATTTTGATGAGCCCCAGTGGCTCAATATTTGACTTGACTGTGTGGGCGCCAAGCAACCGCTGAGCAACAGAGTGGAGGAGCCGAAGCGAGCGCTCGAGGCGCGGACTGTCACTTTCGACTGGCCCTGAACGTACTTTCGTCGACCTGAACAGTATAGCTCAAGCGTCGGCGCCTAGACCTCAAAAGTAAACTAGATCGAAGATTAAAAGGTTTCAATATGTGCGTAGCCAGACAGATCTTCGTTGAAATATTCAGAGTATTCTTATTTTTGGGATCGAACATTTCATCAGGAGCATCACAATGCTTCCAAGCAAGTCCCATTTATGACCGGCCCGACTAAAGCTGAGAATAAAGCAAGACGTGAGGCCCAGCATGATTACGTTCAGAACCATGCAATGAGTGCGTACTGTAAATCAAACGACCCCTACAGGCGAGTTCATCTTGTCCCCTAGTCTAGTCAAGCTTATGTGAAAAAGTCGCAGATTGCTCGTTATCTGTCCTCACGTAAAGTCCACACTTTGAACTCGGAATCAGACACCAACAAATGGGTCGCCCTCCCCTGATGGGATTCCTTAAGCTTTCAAGCCAGCTTGTGGGCACTTTCAAAGCTGCACTCAATCAGGCGCACAGGAGCCTCCTCAAATCTAGCAGCCGTTTACTGGCGCGACCCCGCAGTTGGGCAGGCAAACCCCCCTAAACCCCTCCGGGCGATTACGAATGTCACCGCCGCAGCCGGCCGCGCAGCTGTACGCGACGCGGCAAATAGAGTCGGAATTGCAGCCCTGGGTGCAAGCCGCGCACTGGACGTTATTCGCCTGGCAGACAGACGCCGGGCTGGAGGTGCCGCCTCCGACGTGCCGGTTACACACGCAGTTTGTTTTGCCGGGGCCGAACGGCGTCGGGATGTTGGCGCACTGCGCGCTGGAGTTACCGGAAATTGCGGAACCCATGATCACGCAGGCCGTGACTGCAAAATCACACCAGATTTGGCTGTCAACAACCAGGCTGATTAGATTGGACTCAGAGTCCTGGGTTATTGGACATGTAACCGAGATTTTACGTTGCTTCAAAGGCTGCTCAATTAATACCCAAGTCTGAAGAGGAAACGACTACTTAAGCAGCCCACAAGCATCCATGGTCTAACGACCGAGAATTTCTCCGTCCCTTCCTGCATCCTATAATGCCTCTCAGATCAATTCGAAACCTTAGCGAAGTCCAAGAAGCCAGTCTCGACGGTTGACGGTACCCAAGGAGAGCAAAACAATTTCGGAAGCCGTTCGATTTTAACACCTTGATTACATATGTGTGATGACGAACAGTAACGCCATTTCAACTAGAAGCATCTCTCCAGACGAGCTACGAAGAACAGTTTCTTGGATAAGACACGTTTCTTCTCAACGATGATTGAAGCGCAGAGCCAGACGTAAACGGAGTCTTATTGGGGCCATTAAAAAACTTTGAAAGACGCCTTTGACTCTCACGTTTCCCTGCGCCAGGGATAGGAGGCAGGGTAGTAGCAAAAGGAGGCAGGGTTGTGAGAGGAGGGAGAGGAGGCGGGGTAGTGAGAAGAGGAGGCGGGGTAGTAACTAGAGGAGGCGGGGTGGTAACGAGAGGAGGCGGGGTAGTAACTAGAGGAGGCGGAGTGGTCGGGAGAGGAGGCGGGGTTGCGAGGAGGATCGGTGGCACCGGAGCGGGTGTCAAAGGGGCTTGGCGTACCGGTGTCAGTTGGTCTGCAGAAAACAATATTCATTCAGTATGTGCGGGAGAGCCTACGGTTCCTGGTCACGATTGACAGACGGCCAAATTGTTGGATCGAGCGAAGAGGATGGGTCACGCGCCAAAAAGTGTTTCCGGATGGGTGTTAGGCTTTGCAGATTTGGCCAGTGTGACGTCTCCAATAGTGTCTGGATTTGATGCAGAAACCAAGGCGGGCGGTAAAATAAGGCCTAGTTGGATCAAAGCAAGCCCAGTGGCCAAACGCATCAAAAGTACGACTAGACTTCTGCAGACCGGATCGCCCCAAAGGCCGTCACCTTGACAGAAGCACATTACAAAGAACGACATCGTCGTCTCTTGCTTTTGAAAACGGCCGTTAGCGAAGCAGCAACTGCAGCACCTGTCCTTTAGAGTCTTGACTGATAAAGCTCCAGCATTGGCAGTCAGCAAGGCTTAAGAAGACGTTGATTCGATCAAACAGCCAAGTAGCCTGGTTTACAGCAAGATCTCGTCGGCGAATACACGCTTTGGAAGGAAGGGGGATCCCTCACTTGGACAAAAGTAATACGTCGGCAGGATGGGCTGCACCTCCAGGGACAGCCAAGCCCCAGTGAATGGGTTGTAGGAACAGTTCCGATCGATGCCGTACAGGCAAAAAGGCCACAATCAGCGGATAATTCGCATAGTACGGCCCGGTTGCAGCTGGGCAGGCAAGCGCATTGACGCTACCTGCAGCAATCCTCAAATGGACTGAGAACGAGTTGATTGACCAGAAACAAAGAGACATGTCAGGGAGTCTATATGAATCTTTTTGGATGTCAAGTGCCCAGTTCTGACGTCACCAAAGATGGTTACGCAAAGCGCAGGACTGCTCTGAGTGTCAGCGTATTCATCCCGGCCGCAGATTTTTGAACGAAGTACGTGGGTTTCATGAGGAAACGAAGCTCTTGATGTATTCGAAAAGAAGGTTCTGGGAACAATCCTCAGGCATAGGAGACGAGAGCCTTTAGTGCCAGAAACCAAACTTCTGTAGGCAAGCTTCTCATGATTCTGGATACAAGTCTAGCAGTGTTTTAGTCTACGAAAGCAGAAGTCAAATACGTTCGACGACTGCCTGCACAGTAAGCAACTATCACCTGATGCGGAAGACACTGCTAGGACAGACGAAGAGACCTGCTTTACATTAAGAAGCCAATCTGACAAAAAGCACAGCAAAGCAACCGTGTAACAGCGGCACACTCACCGGCGCATCCGATTGAGGTCTGATTTACCGCAGGACTGACGTGCGAAGGGTCATAGCTTCCAGAAGCGTTGTACCAACAGCTGCCGTTCGTGGATGCGCTGACGTTCAAAGTGTATCGGCACTCGAGAGAGCTCAGGGGGAGCGCGACAAACTCCTCCGGAGCCACGGTCGGACAGCCCCAGGGAACAGCTTGCACGAAGACAGGAAGACTTATGATAATGATCTGTTGCGCAGATACTAGCATAGTCGAAGAATGAGTCCGCACAACGCAATCAGCTGCTTTGTTCCGGAGCTAAAAAGGACGAGTGATTCCCCTTAGCATCTGGCCCGAAGACTTGGAAAACGTACTTATCAACCTTAACAATCCATGTGATAAGTATCAGCCGGAAGCAGCTTCAGATTAGCAAGTCTGTGACAGGAAGACACGACGGTCTGAGCCGTTCCTGGTCTTGGTTGCCTTTAACCAACTGACAGGTGAAGATCGATCGGTAGTGCTCTCATGCCCTCCTCAATAAGTGCCCACAAAAACCCCCAAACACGGAAGGTTAGAGTGAGGTACTCACAGGGTATGTAGTTCCCAACGGCAGCGTGGGCCCCTTGCGCAGCCAAGAGAAGGGCCAGCAGTGACCCGATGGCTGTGAATCCAAGCAGACTTGCCGCCATGGTAGGTCGGTGTGAAAACGATTGTGGTTGGGAGGACTTTCCTAGAACTGCGCTAGAGAAGACCGGCTGGGCGGCAGAAGAACTAGCAGTGACGCTTAGCTTCGACGGATACGTGCTTCCACTGTTTGTCCGCTTGAACTTGGAAGGCAAGGGATGACACAATCAGTGTCTTCATCAAGCAGAAGATTGCTGGCGGTGGTCTGCATCGTAGGGATGCTGGTTCACTGGGATCGATCTCATTGGAGCATGAGCTACTAATGCCTTGCTTTCAAGGGAGACGCGGATGAGTTCTTGCTATATTGAGAGCTTTGCCGTGAGGTTTGGCAATAAGAAGACGAGGAGCATCGAGTGGATATATATCCATATTGCAGCTGCAGCATACAACTTGTGATGAGTGCGGTTGCTTTTTATCAGATCAGGCAACACTGCTGCTAGTTCTCGGTGGCATGACCAAACCACATTGGAGTCTCGGAAGAACGACTCTCGAAGACCGCATCATCAGGGCCAATGCGCGCCAACTTCGACTCTCAGTGCAGACAACAACGTCCCTAGAAGTGAAACCAGCAAATCTACTTGTGTGCGTATAGTCGACCCGTTTCCAACGTTGGCGTTTTGTAGGAGGAAGAACTTTCCCTTGCAACGAGCGAGCATTCGAGGAGCCTGCTCCAATGCCCACGTGGATGACTTTGTCCGTCGTTTTGGCCTCGGGCTCACAAAGCTGAGCTTGCAAGCAAAAGTCTACTCTGAATGCCGCGAAAGTTCGACCAAGCGCAAGGGGCATCCAGACGTTTGAAGAAGCGGAGAAAGCTCCCTCTATTGGGAATCGCGAGCAGCCCTTGACGTTATTTTAGTGTTGCTTGTCGCTTGAGGCTTTTCAGTGTCTAGAAGAACCATTCTTTGGCGGGGTCCCGGCAGGCTTTGAGGTGGCATGCGCGCGCCGAGTGAGAACCTTGGCAAACATGCTCGGATCGAACTCTAAACACAAGTGTAGCCTGTAGCTTCGCGACCTAGCAGCACCAGCCTGGGTATAGTCATACCAATGCTTTCCAGGGTTTTAGTTGAGAAGGTTGAGGGCACGATCGTTCATGGCCCATATCATCCACTTGGTTAGAAAGGATTGTCTTTCAACCACCGTTTCACTCTCGCGCAAAGTTTGCCAGACTGTTTGGGGCTATAGTGATCTACGAAGAAGGTGCATAACCACATTATACCTATGTGGTTCATAACAGACGTTTCCGGGGAAACATGTTTCCTTCGCCTTACGTGTTCTGCCCGCTCCGTCGTACCGGCGGACTCGTCACCCAAATTCACTTTCAAACGGCTGAAAGTGTGCTGTTACGCCCGATGTCAAGACTCGATGACAAAGCTTTTGGAAAAACGTTCTGACACCCCGTCCCTGTCGCACGCTAACCGCGACTCCCCGGCCATCGTGTTCTCGAACATCGGCTCCACCATGACGGGCGCCATCGACAGCCTGCCGCGCATCAAAGCGGCACTCTCCGAGGCAGGCATATGGCGCTCGTACATTCACTGCGACGCAGCGCTGAGCGGCTTCGTGCTTCCTTTCGCCCCTAACCCGCAGCCCTTCGGCTTCCTAGACGGCACCGATAGCATATCCGTCAGCGGCCACAAGCTTATCGGCTTGCCGATGCCCTGCGGAATGGTCCTCGCGCGGCGCTGCCACGTGGAGGGCATTGGGAGCAGAGTTGAGTACATGGGCGCTTTGGATACGACGCTCTCGGGCTCGCGCAACGGCCTCACGCAGTTAGTGCTGTGGTACGCTATTCATTGTCGGGGGCGTCGGAGCGATTCGTGAGCGGCAGGGCCCTGGGCGTGGCGGCATATGCCACAGAGGGGTTGCGCGCGGCGGGAGTTGACGCGTGGCGCGACGAGAACTCGCTCATCGTCGTCTTTCCCCGCCGAAGTGAGGCCCTGATGAAGCGCTGGCACCTCGCCGGCCAAGCAAAGATCTCGCACGTCATCACGATGCCGCTCGTCAGCCGCAAGAAAGTCGACGCGTTTGTAGCGGACATGGCGGCGGAGCTTCGGGTCGGAGAGTAAAGCCGTTCTTTGCCAAACGAAGGATCGCGGCCGGGATAAGGACAGGCAATTCTTGACGTCAATTGAAATGAAAGTTGTCGAAGCTTTAACAGTCACGATCGCTAAGAAAGGACTTGAACGGATTCGGCGATTTGAACACTACTGACCATGTCTGTCGCCTCATCAGAGGCGGGAGTAAGCTCTACATGAAGGCAAAAGCCTACTTTACAATTCTTGGAGGTTGATGGAAAGGTTCAGCTTTTAGAGATTTCGAGAGTCCTGCAGCTCAAAGCGCTGGCCCACGACAGATTCGCCACTGGCCAAGTTTCCTTCACGGGCCGAACCTTGCACGAACAACCACAGTCTGTATACAGACGGTTGCGGAGGGATAGCTTACCATCTGACTAGGATAGCGGCCATTCACGATGCATACCGATTTTGAGATTTAACAGCATTGTCGGAAGGCCGACAAGCAAATCGTCGCGGAAAACCTTCGTTGCTTGTGCATCGCGGAGTTTTTATTGGTCCGAGCCAGACTCCGCTCAAGCGCTCAAGCGCCGAGTGGATTTGAACGAATGCATCTGGCTCCATACATGTGCCTTTTTCCATTGCGGTCTCGTTCGATTAAAATCCATCAAGTTTCAGGCTTCGACGCTTACATCAAGCACCTTACAATACGCAGCGCGCGCGGGCCGGCACTTCAATGTATGCAACAGGATACATTGGATGGTTGCGCGGCCGGGCCGGGCCGCGATACGACTAAGTCATGATTCCACCATGTGTGACGAGCCGCCTGGTGGCAGAGCGCCAGATCCGTAAGGATGCGTACACCATCATGCGATGCAGTAGTTCTTACACTTCACATCGAGCAGACGGCCCATGGTTCACAGAGAAAATAACCTAGCTAGACACTTGCGGTTGTCCGCGGGTTGTATTCCCAGTTACCACCGTCACCATGCGCAATGATCTCATACGACCCCAATGGCCTAGAGCTGAAAGGAAGAGTTTGAGCACTTTGTTCTCAACCTTAGCAAGCAAACTTGCACGAAGCCAGGACTCCTACAAGTAGTTTCAAGAAGAGCTAGCTGCATGAAGAATGTTCTTCCGCAGAATCAGTTGATCAATGTATTACGGGCTTATGCCCAAGTGAGATGAAGTCGTCATCATCTGTCCTTGTCTCTAATCGGACCTCTTCATCTAAACCTACTGACCTGTCCGTCTCCGTACTCAGATGGAGATAAGTTCGAAACGACAATCCATCCCCCCCTGGGCTTTGCAGGGTCGGCCAAAACCACGATGTTGCATTGGGCCCGAATATCTGCAGTGGAGGTGTGAGTACCCCGTCGTTAGTGATTGTCAACAGAAAAATTCGACAACTTTCGTAGGCTTCTGGTATCGAGGCAACGTACAGATGACGATATAAGACAGTGCGCCTGGTTTACGTCTTGCGGCTCTGATCGAGCAACAACGCCCTTGGAAATCAGCAACCAACAGACATGACTTGGTCTCACGGTTCTGAGCTTGGAAAAGCTTTACCAGGGGCCCGCTCACCGTTATTAGATTCCGCACGATGCCTAGGTCGTACGGATGCTTGTACAGCTGTCCTTTTTTCTTCGCGAGCCACCTCGCCCTTACTCCTTCATGATACTGCATCAAAGAAAGAGCGTGCTGAACGGTCTAGCCACAGCACCCGGTGCGTATCAGATAATTTGCAGGCTACAAAGGAGTGAGCGCTCATATCCGCGACAAGACAAGAAGGAGCACCCATTCAATCCATGCTCGGCCTTGGAAGAAACAAGGCAACCGCCCTCTTTTTCTTCATTTGGCCCAGAGGTCGACAGGATCTGAGTTCTGCAATCTTTCAGGTGTTTCTTCGTTTCCAAAGGTGTACAACAGGAGTGAAGAGCAAAGGTGTACGCCAGAGGAGTGAAAATGAAGGAACCGTAGGATGCACAACCTGTGACAAAAGAGCCTCAAAACAAGTTAAGGTGAATCTGTATTCAGAATTGAATCAGAACTTGTTATTCGAACTTGCAAAATTTTCGCTCAGGTCCTCATGGTTCCAACGTGCTCAACGAAGCCTGGAAGCGAAGTGCCTCGCTCAGTTGTTGACAAGCCTCCAGATGAGAGCATCTCTCCCTTTCTGCCTCGACCCTCCATCTTCTTTTGAGCAAGAATCTAAACAAAACCCGAGTTGGCAAGAGAAAATTGGGTTGACAAGATCACTAAAAGCTTCCCTAAGGCGACGAATCTTGCTTTTCGTTTTTAAGAGTATTACTCAGACGTAAACGAGCAGCCGTCTGGCCGATGGACTCGCGTTCCAGAATCCGAACGAGAGGCGTCCGCAATACCTCTTCATTGTACAAGCATTACTCGATAAGGCTTCGTTGATTACGACTAACATTGGAACGTCAGTAAACCCACGTGGTCAATGCAGGCGTCGAGGCACGACCACAAGAGGAACAAAGTGCTGCCTACGTGATGCCTGTGTCCACGACAATTCCTAAGAAATGGGTTTAGCTACAGGGGTTAGCCGCTGACCTCGATGGTGGTCTTGTTATGCAGCACGAGGTAGACGTGCCAGCAGAAGAGCACCCCCAGCCCGATCGCCAAAGGCAGCACCAAGATTGCTGTAAAGATCTGCGCACGAGGGCGATATAAGGTGCCAGATCATGGGGAACGATTACATTCAAAACTCCTAGTGAGCACTGTTCCCATCAATAGTACTTCCGAGCGCAGAAGCGAAGCTCGCAGTGCATTCTGCGATACAAAGCAGGGACACGACGTGGACTGCAAGCGGGTGCCGCATCCGGGTAAGGCAGCCATATAAGGATCCGCAAGAGGTTCATGACGAGCTTCGAAAGCATTTAAGAACATTCAGTTGGGACGAACTCAATTCTCCTTTTAACGGGCGGACTGCGGAGAAAAGTCGACCACCAAATGAACGTCAGGAGAGCGCCCAGCTGCCTTTCCAGATTGCATCATTGTTTGATCCAAATGCGAAGAGGACGGACTACCTAGCGGAAGATAATGAGTGCTTGCTTTGCCACTAGTGCTCTGACTCACCCGATATAAGCTGTCCCACGAGATCTCGAATGACTGGTGGGGCAGCCTCCTGCGGTCCCTTTCCTGCGCCTCACTCGCAGTATCTTCCAAACTATCAATGTCTTGCAACAGCTGGTTGATGAGAAGGTACTGCAACAGTGAAAGGGATGCCTTCAGAGCTCCAAGGAAGGTGCCACATACGCTTCCTTTTTGGACTGCTTTTTTGGTGGTCACTCCATTTGGTGGAGGGGACTGCACGCTCAAAGATGGCGCTCAATGAAAGACAGTGCACACATCCACCTCGTTGGTCTGTAGTGCTGATCCTGCATTCTCGCCTGCTTTTCTGGCTTATCAAAGAACTTACGGCTTTCCTCTTCATTTTTTCACCGCAACTATCAGCTTCACTAGGCTCCTGATCTACTGAGATTGTGGAAACATCAAGAGACGGAGTAAGCTGATGACAAAGCTGACTCGACTGCTGCTACTAACAACAAACAGAGCTTGTGCAGAGGTCGCTGATTACTGGTTCGAAAACTTACCAACGCATAGGCGCAGCCGACCAGGAAGTAGAGCACAAAAAGGAAGAAGGGGTGGTAATTGTGCTGGCCAACGCAGTTGGCAATCCACACGCAGTGGTGGTCCATGCGCAGCACGCAGGCCTTGCATATCCGGCAGTGGTGGCAGCGGGGGGGCTTGTACGCCTGGCACTTGCTGCAGAAGCGCGCCCCCCCATCCTGGTGAGAGCCAAGGAAGAAAGGTTTTTCAGATTCTTGGATAGCTCAAAAGAAGTTGAAGAGGAGAAGCTGGTGCTAGCTCAGCCAGGGTGACTTCGATTGGGTCTTTGGGAAGGCTTCATGATGCCCCAATATGCTGGGTGCAAGCTCGGGGAGGCAACACAAGCTAGTTCTGAGGTCAGAGAGGACAGCCACTGAGCCAAGCTAGTGAGGGCTTGTCACCGCCAAATTGAGGGGAAGCAGTAGCCTTCAAATGCCACCAATAACCACTGGAATGATCGATGATGCCCGTCACAGACAAAAGTTGAAATGACAGGCATCCTAAACCGAATGCACTACATAAGAGGCTACAATTGCCCGGATGCTATTATGCAGAGAGCTAACAGCAAGGTGAAATCAGAAGAAAGTCAGTAAGCTTGAGTGAGCAGCTGCTCAAAGTTCCAGGTTTTCTGTCACTCACACTCTTCACCTCCTGGACTGCCATGTCATTGTTCTCCTCCGCATCCGGCATCCACCCAGGAGGAACGCTTCCAGGATCTATCATCACTGCCGCAGCATAGGACACAATGCCTAGCAGAGCAATCGCACTGAATGCTGACAGATGAAGCACCAATGGAGTAGTCAGCTCTGGCCCCATCGAAGGGAAGATGACGAGCTGGACCGTTGTGTAGCAGACGAATGCATAGGCAGACAATACGAGGCAAACAGTGATGGAGAGCAGGCGGCTGGGAGTCAGCGCCATTAAAGCCTGAAGCCTCCGCGAAGTCTTAACTGAAGCAGCATGCCAAGCTTCTCCTTGTCACAAACGATTGAGGACATCTTTCTCTGGCCTTGATAGGAGCTTGATCTCCATGTTAGCCCTCAAGCTCCCTATTACGCTTGCAAGGACACCGGCCAGATGATTTGAGTTTGGAGAATTCTAGCTGCTTGTCAACAAGAGTCAGTAAAGTGGAATTTGGTGGCAAGCTTGCAGCGTCTTCAACTTGCAAGCTCGCCATGGAAGAAACCTCGTTCATGAGTCATGACCCACCTGTGACTATGGCTCTAACAGGATTGGAGGAGAACCGGGTTAAGCATGCCTTGTAGATTCGTTACCGCTCGATTGCTCGAGAAACGGCAAGATAATTAGGAGCATGCAGCTCCAAGTCCGCCGGCCTTGAACCGTTATCGCCCGTGGGCCAAAAGGGTTTCGACTTTCTGTACTAGCGGGTTGGGGATAAACCAAACCTCCAACCTCAGGCAAACCGAAAGAAACGTACCATCTCAGATCTTGCCAATGGGTAGAGGGGCACTCAAGAGTCAGGGTCAGTCTTCACTAGCTGTCAGTGTTGACACTGACGTCAACAGCGCAACTGGCAAGTTTGCCACCATTGAAGCTGCATATGAGCTGGATTGATCAGGAAGCATTTGAAGAGCAGAGCAGAGCAGAGACGACGAAGGAAACTTTCGTGCAACCTTGATTGGTACTGCAATCATGTGCACTGCTTGGGCACAGACCAGAGCATTCGCTTTTCCCAAACAAGGCTTCCAAGAAGCTAAAGCGAACCGCTTGGTGTTTGGTCGGGATGCCGGTGGGCACACGAACGGCACCTTGGCCGGGCCAAGGATTCTGGTTTGTGGGGGAAGGTGGCAAGTATCGAGGGGTATGCGAAGAAGGTCACAATTCTCTTTGAGGGCACTGACATGGCAAGGGCAAGCTAGACGGTGGAAGCAGCTCGCGGACAAATCGTCATGCACAGATGTCCGATGGCAGGGGTGGTGGTCAGGAAAACCCTCGGACATGGCACACAACAGCCGGTGGTGTCAAAAGCAAAGGTCGTTACGGCGGGCGGGAGGAAGAGGAAATGGAACCAACGCTTCAACAGAAAGCACAAGTGGGGGGGATGCTCAACCATACGATGTGGAGCTGGAATTTGAAAACTGGTCGAAAGGCGAATTTGCTGCAATGCTGTCGAAAGACAAGGACTTTTCTGTGAGGAGCGATCCGTGGGCCACTGATTCAGAACCTGACAGCGGTCCGTCCACCAGTGGGGGAAACAGAGTCCCTGGCGAGGTCAGCTCGGAAGCTGCAGCAGTGTTGGGGAAGTCTGGGACAAGAGCGTCATTTCCGGTCAGTCCTTCTGAGACATCTGGATTAGCTGATGAGGCCATCAAAGTCGAGGTGCCTGCGCAGGATCATTCTGGGGTGGGGATCGAGGTGCTGACACTGCTGTCAGAAGTAGACAAGAAGAAAGCGTTTGAGAAGGCGCAGGCAAAGCAAACATGGTGGGGGACATTCGTATACGAGACCTGCAGGTATGTGATACTAAGCGCGTGCTACTTTCTGATGTCTCATCATGAGAGTTCTGGCGCTTCATTGCATAATAAGTCTCCGTCTGCAGATAGCATGTTCACTTCGCTGTTACAAAATTGGTGTCCTTGTCCTTGTCCTTGACCTTCTCTTAATAAGAAAGATGCTCGATAAAGTGTGGCAGGATTTCTCATTGACCGTTTCTGTAGGGGCTTCTGTTCAGATTGACGTTTGTTCCAGACTGACCAGCATGTGCACTTGGAACCCCTCTAAATGTACACCGCAGCAGCGCAATCCAGCTCCCAACCTGAGAAACTGCCAACGTTTACTCTTACCGTGTGCTCCTCTTTGCTGCCACTGAACTGCTCGACAGGACGTGTTCTCAACCAGCTCTGGAAGCTTCCTGAACTTACAGCTTGTTGTCTGCTTTTGCAGCATAGCGCTCTTCATTTGGGGCTGGCTGCGCACTGCCACTTTTGCCACTTTCCATTTTTTGGTGAAACAACCGGGGGAGCTGTTCAATCTCTCATGGCCCAGTCCTGGGGAGACAGTGAGCCCTGGCGCTTTTCATGGTCTTGGAATTCCTCATGCAAGTTTGAAAGTTGTACTTACTTCTTGACAAACCCATGCGAAGTCTCTACTGATAAGGTCGCTCAGCCCGGATCAGCTCCATTCTCTTCTCAACATGCAAAATCACGACTTCCTTGATTGTACTTTGGGGAGCTGCACCGTTTTGAAACATCCTTCCCTCGAGGATATTACGAAAAGACGCATGAATTGTACAAAGACGAGTCGTTTTAAAAAATGATTGCTTGTTTTCAATGGCCACCTTCACTCTCTTTCAAAAAGCTTGTATCACATATTCAAATCGTACATCGAGATGCGGCACCGGTTTGAGGATAAGTTTTGATATCTTTTGAGGATACGTTTTGAATCTTTTGAGGATATCACGAAGCATTGCAGAATATAAACAGTCGTTTGAAAAAAGAACCGTTTATTCTTGACGACAAGTCATCTTTGATGACACGTCTTCACAATGTTTCCAGGTCAGCACAATGGGCCTTGTCACGGGAACAATTGCTGTGCTCCTGGTTCTCATTTCGACCATGGATACAGGCTTTACATACGTTCTGGCATCCCTCGTTCGAAGAAGTGCGAAGTAAACGGCTCCAACGGCTATAACGAACAGTTGGCGAGGACTGTATAAATAGACACTTTTGCTTGGGCCCGGCCATCACTGTACTGGCACTGTTTGCGAGTTAGTATATATATGGAACGGTTTGCCGCTCTGCCAAATTAAGTCCCATCTCAAGTTTTCCATCAAGAAAGACGAATTTTGTGAAGCGTCCTCGACGTCCTTCCCAAGCCTGATGTAGTATTGATGGGCCGATTGTAAGCGGGGCCCATGCAAGCTTGCATGTGCGCATGTGCTTTCAATGACCGTTGAAGAGCCGAATGAAAGGGCCAGCCCTATAGCTTTCGCACTTACGACGTACATGTGGCTGTACTATTCACTTGGTACGCGGTCGTATTACACAGATTCATTGTGAATTTGCGTGTTCCTTGAGAAGGTGTCCGACGTCCAGAATCCACGTCTACTAAGGTACGGTGGCTGCGCCTATAATGGTCAAATGATCATCATGGTGCGCACGACCCTAACAAAGCTGTACGAAGACAAACAAAGACAAATC